CGACGAGAGAACCAGGATAGTCTGCCGTCCCTCGTTACCCTTGCGGATTGCAATCTCACTGGAACCGGTGTAGATCGGATAAGATACGACATCATAGTACTGCGGGTCGACACGGCCAGCTTGCTTGCGGACCTTGTTCAACGTGGCGACGAGCTGATACAGAGGGGCGTTGGTGTTATAGCCGGAGGTCCATAGGGCTTCACGGTTATAAGGGGTCCCATTGCCTTTAAAGTGCTGCTCTTGGCCCTGATAGACCATCGGCACGCCGTCGAAAAGGATGGTGAATGCCAGGACATTCTTGGCCAGCTGAAACAAGTACGGTTAGCCCAGCAGCGCTCAGTGAGGCCCGGACGCTTACTTACCGCGAGATCATCGGTATATGACGCGAAACGCGAGATATCATGGTTTTCGGTGAAGGTGGTCAGTGCGGTAACATCCGGACATAAGTCCGACATGAGCTGAATTTCGTCCGACAAAGCGCTGACGTTCCCCTGGGTGAAGGCACTGATCACGGCGTAGTAGATCGGATAATTGGGCACACTAGGCAGGTAGTTCTTCTGATAATTGCAGATGATGTCTGCGCTCTGCTCGAAGACCTCCCCCGTCATGAACATCGAACCGGTAGCTTGGAAGAATTGCGGCAGATAATTCGGATATACATGCTTGGCGGCGTCGATACGTAAACCATCGATCGAATAATTAGCCAGCGTGGATTTGATCCAGGCATTCAGCATCGAGGCTACCTCGATTTTCTCCTGAGCCAGGTCGGGCAGCGCAACGATGTCATCACCGGTCCAGCATCTTTGGGCCAGCGGGTAGTCTTCGTAGTTGGTGATGGGACAGTAAGGATGGTAGTAGCTCGCCTGGTTGAAAGGCGTCAGAGCCCCGTAGTTGACCGATGTAGCTGGGTCGCTTCCATTGGTCATCCACGCCATGTTGTTGATGGTGGTATCCACCATGAGATACATGCTCCGATTGTGCAGAGCCGTGATCAAATCCTGGAAGTCCTGTTCCGTGCCGAAATGCTCATTTAACGCGTAGAGATCTTGAGCCCAATAGCCGTGGTAGGCCTCGCCATAGGATACGCGTCCTTCCAGGTTCTTGATGATGGGGGAGACATAGATGGCGTCGAAACCCATGCCCTGGATGTAGTCCAGATTGTTGATGATCCCCCTCCAGGTACCCCCGCAATAGAGTCCTGCGGCGGTATCGCATGGCGCCTTCGTGGACAAGTCGGTAAGGGCAAATCTGTCAGTCATAAGCTGATAGACGCTCCGAGATTTCCAAGCCTCGACGCCTGCTCCCCATGCGGAGTGCACCAGTCCCAGCAGGGAGAACGACAGTATTGACGGCCGCAGCTCCTTCATTTTGATATGATCTGCACTTTCTTCGACAGTTCGAATCTGATGTTCAATGCACGTACGCAGTTCTCTGCACGATAGAGGAAACCGAATCCGTTGAAAATAGTTAAGAAGCCTTTAGATGGCGGGCATGATGTCCTGGCTAACGATGGTAAAGAATATAGCGTATAGCTCCCTGAGGATAGAAAATTTAGTCGTAAAGATATCGATCTGGTGACTTGTCCTTGGATAGAAATGAACGGAGTGAGGACTTGATGATAGCGACAGTCGACGCAGGGGAAATGAATGGAAGCAGTCACCACTGCTGCAGAAGTGACGGCGCAACACAGCACAGTAAGGACTGACACGTCGAGGTGACGGCGGAAGGAGCGACGGAGAGCAGCGAAGGCTCTACCAGAGACGAAGGGAAAGAACGAACGGGGGTTGGTCACACGATGTCGGCGGTGGGTGCATGACAGGAAGGAGCGAAGAGGAGCAGCAGTCCGGAGTAGTCAGATCGAGGCCAGATCCCCGGAACAGACAGGCCAGGTCTACGACCTTGCCCGCATAGCCAAGCGAACCAGGCTAAGCCAGGACCTGGGCAGCAATCACCGTTTCGCAGTCTTCGGATTCACGCAGGAACAGACCGAGCAGCAAACTTGGCAGCGACCTTACTATTCGGAGTTACTGGCGGGGCCTGCGGAGCAACGGTCAGGCCCCAGGTGCCAATGAGAGTGATAGGGCATGAGCCTGCATTGGCCGTCAAGATGCGAACCTCGGAAGGAGCATCGTTCTATTGAAAGGGGGCGGCCAGGCTAAGCAAATCGGTCTTTAGTGAGGTGTAGATAAGGCCAGAGGCGTCTTGGCAGGACGCCACATCAGGGCACTGGAGTGGGCTTCTATACATAGTGGTTTGCTTTAGCAGGGATCTGCTGGATCTTTCGCAGAGGAAACATTTCTCACGACAACACAGACTGTGTATATCACTGTCGCTTGGCACCTGCCAGCAGTGGTGACGTGGTGATTCCGGTTCCTGGAGGGAGGCATAATGTAACTCGGGACTAGACAGTGCTAAATCGATTCCCTACAAGAACTGCATCAACACGCAAGACATGATTGGCTGGGCCACGCGGATCACAGGAGCATTTCCCTGCGAGTGTAACTCTGCTATACCCAAAAGCCCAGCTGAGGGAATTACGGCTTACGCACACTCCGTCCGGAGCACGAATACTCCGTCCTGCTCTCCTGTACGGAGTACCCGAGAAGAGAAATTTTCGAACAAATCGGGGCAACTGCAGTCGCTAGCTTGGGTGGCTTTTCTTGGCTATCCCGGGGGAAATCCCTGTCCGCCACAGTCAGAACATTATTCTTACTCCGTACTGTACTTCGCAAAAGCCTTCTGTTCTTTGTGCTCCCTCTTAATGTAGACCATCAAATAATACATGCGATGCAATACTCCGCACGAAGGAGTTATTCAAGACAGGTCTTATCTGTGGACCAGTCTCGACTCACTCATGATCGGCATACGCCAGACCCATTGCATGCCGATCACAGAGATAAAGAACGTGCTGATCCAACTTCCGATAACCAGGCTGTTCTTGGAAGCATATGCGATGATGATTGTAATCTTCTATAAACAGTCCTTGGGAGCTATGTAGTCGAGTCTGCATTATTATCTCTGTCAGTCTCTGCTTTGTCGACAATGGACATTGCCATACCCAAAGGGCAGAATCTAACCCAAGAGCATAGTCATGTGACCATATCATGTGATATTAGACTAGCCTATATAGGTAATAACACGTGACACAGAAACTTCGCATCGAATTTTGCCAATTTCTGACCTTTCTGCTCATGCCATTGTGTGTCATGATTCCGGGTGAAGTGAGAGTTTGGTTCTCTGGCAGGTCAGGTCAGAGCCAGGCCACTGGGGTCATGTGATAGCAAGTTTGGCAGTTCCGCTCCATCCTCCAGTTTATCCTGCCTTGTAGCTTTGTTTTTACCCAATTAGGAAATCAGAAGGAGCTGATCGTTCACCGTAGCACTGCCCCTTGTTGAGATAGTCTTAATACTCAATCATAATACGCCAAATGCATCAGATTTCTCAGTCTTGTATCGAATGGAATGATTAAAAAAAGGAGCCAAAATGTTCTAATCACCCTCAACACACCCGTATAGATCCATGTCAGGCATTTAAATATTCAGACTCAAAGGGAGTAAACATGGCCGAATCTGAGCCAAATATACGTTATATAAAGTCTTCAAACAAACACCTTTTCTTCTGTATTGACGTGAAGTGTTCGACACTTATGGTCGATCCTAGTTTCCGTCGATAACGACTAACTTGATTGACCACTGACGCTCTATCGAATTTCTTTTGTTGGACTGAACGGGAAAAAAAGCCGTCTCGGACTTTATTCTCGCTGTACTCATATTTTCAATTACAGATGAGATATCATAAGGAGAGATACATGTATCCATCCTACCAGATTAGCTAGTGAAAGAAAGAGACGGATAATCTCCGTCACACTCAAGAACCATTGAATATGTAGTCATAAATAGTCACTCGTCTTGCCACTGTTTTTCAGTAGGATTCTCTTCATGGCAGCAAAGCAAAGTCGTGATCGTGAGCCCCCCGCAAATAATCGTAGCCGTCCTCAACCCACTTCACACACGGGTTGACCGACCCCCAGTTGATCTTCCCCTTGACGCTCTCCGGCAGGATTATTTCCAGATTACTCCGGTACCACCGCGGAAACAGTACCGTCACGAGCATCACGCGCGGCTCGTCCGTCTTGTTGGGCATCCCCGCGTGCCAGAGCCGAAAGTCGCGGATGATCAGGGACCCCTTGGGCAGGGAGGGCTGGACCGGCGGCCGTACCTGCCGTCGAGCCTCGAGCAGGTCTTTCCTAATCCCTCGCGTGGTCGGGTCAAGGACGCTGCAGTCGGTATCGATGTGCGTCCCGGGCCAGACTTCCGTGGCGCCGTTCTCCGGAGAGGTGTCGACCAGGTTGATGTTGATACAAAACCCGAACGGGATGCGGGGGAAGTCGAAATCAACATCGATGTGCACCGGCTGGCGGTCCTGGGCGTAAAATGCCGTGTTGGCGCTGTAGAACCGCAGCGCCGGATTGGGGCCCAGCATGCATTCCACGACGGCGACGGCGAACGGGTTGGCGATGACATCGTCGAAGATGTAGTCCGCCTCCAGCACCGGTTCCTGCTGGATGTTGCCCGTGTTCGCGCCGAAGTTGCGGTGCGTTTCCTCCTTCGCGTAGAGGATCTTGGCTTCGGGCACCATGCGCGCGTTCAGCTTGTCCAGATGGGCCGGGTCGACGGCGTTTTCCAGCACGCAGATTCCATCCCGATGTAGAGCCTCGACAGCCGCTTGCAGGTTGTGAGAGCCAATCTCTTTAGTGGCGAGTTCGTCAGGAGTGAGCCTAATGACTGTGATGTCGGAGGCTGCTCCCATCTTGTCTTGAAGATCTCCTGCAAGCCAGTCAGTTAGATTATGAAGGGAGATATTAATCACAAGCTGCTTCTTACCTTTTTTTTCCCTAAGTACTCTGTCCAGTCGCGTGGAATACTAATCAACACATTTGTTACGTACGTATATATATCATCTGCAACGGTCAATAATAGAGCTAAGACAGACCACCTGTCTAGACGTTCATCTCAAGCTCAAGGAATTGATCAAGAAGTCTTTCTCAGGTCTTATTTCCTGCGAATGGGTTCAAGACCATCCAGAAATAATATCGTTCCATTCATCGGATCGACAGTATCGAGCTACTATTCTCGAGATGAGGAGAGTAAGTGGAATTCGGTGTCTTCTCCAGACTTTCGGGGCGGTTTCCCGCGTTTGCCGTTGTTGGGTCCTTTAGGTCGGAATGCAAACCCCGCATCTACGGACAATTTATCTGTTATCTATGGAACACCGTATTATGAAAAATGGAGGACGAATTAAAGGTTTATTCATGTCCTTTCAGGGACAATATATACACAAGAATCAACAAATGCAGCGTAGCCTTCCTGTTTCCTTCCTCACAGATCCTTCGGGGCTGTTCAACCGTACAGTACATAATTCTCACCGTTTCTGACAAAGTCGTTAAGACCGCTGGTATCAAATGTCGTTCATACTTTATGCAGTAAAAATACAAAAAAGAAATAATTAAAAAGAATAAGCAAAGGTATCACATCAGATCACTTCCGAACGCGCCGGGCGTGGTTGACCAGGTTTTCAATAACCCCTTCGAATGCTTCCTTCTCGCTAATAAGTCCATCGCGTCTCTTGAGCCAGTACTCCAGCACCTCACTGGCCCGTGCGGTGGCATCCTCCAGTGCCTTGACGTGAGCCTTCAGCTCGCTGTCAGTGAGACCATCCAAGGCTGCATCAGTGGTCGCGCACAACCGCCGCACTGCAGAAAGGTCCAGCTCAGGCGGCGGAGGGGGTCCTCGACGGCGACTGGATTTCTGTCGTGAACCAGAACCCGTCGAGTTGGCCGAAGTCGAAGATGCATTTTGAGGATCGTCCTTCTCATCCTTTTTCGGTTTGTTCAGGGATTGAGACGGATCTGAAGGCGCCCCCGATCCATCAAGATCGATTGATGGCAGAATCAGCTTCTTCTGCTTTGACGCCGGCAAGATCTCGTCCAAATCGACAGGGACCCCCAGAGAAACCAAAAAGAGCCTCCGGATCCGAGATTTTACCCAGTTCGGGGGCTGCAAGGGAGGTGGTGCAACCAGCTGGGACCATAAAGACAGGGAACGCTCGCTGGTGAAGATAGCAGAGGAATCAGGAATAGGTTCTACGGGGGGAAGAGACGCGAGGTCCTTGGTGTCCGGGAATAGTGTATCAAGAGAATCGTTGGTAGCGGTCATCAAATCAGATAAGGACGTAATACTGTTAAAGTCGGCCAGGGGTTGCTGTAGAAATTGCGGTCAACATCATATATTTCCAGGCTATAGTGTAGAATATGATATCTGTCATGGCAGGGGCTACTACTTACAAGAGAGGGTGGGGTGAGAGGCTCTTTGGTATCCATATCTCCAGTAACCTCCCCGCCGGGACCTTCAAAGGGCTCGTCAAAATCGCCGAAATCATCGTCTGCAGCAACCTGTCCACCTTCCTCAAATTCATCAAAATCACTTCCAAAGGCGTCATCATCTCCTTCATCATCATTAAAGTCGTTAGCAAGATGATCAACTACTTGAAGGCTAGGATGGTGCTTCGCTGGTTTTCTGCGCGCCGGGGACTAGTCCGGGACATGGATCTAATCGACAATGACGTCCGAAAATCCAAATTGGTCATTCGTCCCCCGAAGCCCGGTGAGCCAAGCGGATGTCAAGCTTACCAGGTGTGTCATGAATAGTCTCCGTTGCGTCTGGTATAGCGTCACTGGGGCTCCTGCGGTGAGCGCGTAGCCGCGGTGATGTTGGATCTTGGTTGGGAAGAGTGTCGACACGGGTTAGTAGGGTCTCGGGAACAGCGTGCGCTGGCGCCACAGGAGCCGCAGGGTCCTGTGACGCGGATTGCTCGCCGGCTTGAGACGCCTTCAGTACGATATCAGGAACGGTATCTGCTTGCCGCAATTGATATGCTTCTGTGCCGGGAACCTCCCCATAGCTGGGTGAACTTGGATCGACCTTCTCGAGAACGGTTCGCGGAATGGGAGTCCCTCCTGGAGTCACAGGATCTTCTATCCCCGACAGTCTTTTGCTCTGTGAGCCTTCAGGGACTATTTCAATCTCATCTGGGACTGCATCCTGCTCTCTCTTCTCGTATGCGGGCGTCCCAGGGACCTCCCCGTAGCGGGGCTGATCGTCGACCTTTTCCACGCGAGTCCGGGGAACAGGGGACGCTGAGCGGGAATGGGAGTCCCGATGGCCCTCACTGGCGTCGGAAAAATGCTCATCCTCACTTCCTAAAAGTGCAGAATGGTGAGTTGGATGGACGTTTGCAGATGCTTGTCATGGCGGGGATAGCTTCATACCAGACGAGGCGCCGGGGTCCTCCAGCTCGACCCCCTTCGGGGGAGGCTCCAGATGGGTGCTGGAAGGACGGAAGGGCCGGTCCGACATTGAGATGGCAGTGGCCCTACCCCTTCAACATGTATATAGTGGATGGCGCAAAGGTGAATTATCAATACCGGTGGTGAGGCGGAAGTGAACTGGCGACAGCTGTCTGCTGGCGGTCCTCGAGGGCCCAGGCCAGGCGGAAGATAAGTTTCTGCCTGAGGCTGCGAACAAGCCGCCAGGCATTCACCGGCGGAAGCTCAGACCAGCGAGTCGCGCGTCTATCTCGAACTCCCTACAGAAATAATAAAGAAGCGAGCTGGGCCAATACTCCAACCTCAGAGGGGTGGTGCACCACGCCGTAAATCCTCTCTCGTTTGCCTCGTTTGCAGGCATTTATTATCGCCCAACCCCAGGCCACTGTAAGTGTCGCGTTTTTCTTTGTTCTCATCTCTGGCTAACAGTCACTCGCCCAGCACACTGAATGAATCCTTGCGCCCAGCCACTGCAATAGCCATGTCGAACAAGAATACCTTTTCCTTCGGAACCCCCGCTTCTAGCGGAGCCTCCAGTGGCAGCCTATTTGGATCAACCACTCCGTTTGGTTCGAATCAGAGTGGTTCCGGAGGCAGCTCTGGCGGTGGTGGTCTCTTTGGCAATGTAGGGGCCTCTTCCAGCGGCACCTCTTCGTCCTCACTGTTTGGGACAGCCAACACCAGCTCTGGTCAGAAGACATCGCTGTTTGGAAGTGCAACTACGACTTCTGGCAGCGGCTCGAATACTCCGACTTTCAGCTTTGGGTCGCAGAATCAGACTACCTCAACCACCCCATCGTCAACCTCTCTGTTTGGCGCGACTGCTCAGACGCCCAACAAAACCAGCGAAGCATCTACGCAGGGCCAGACAAAGACCACCGGCCTTTTTGGCGACACTTCAAAGCCTGGTGGGCTGTTTGGTAGCGCTACCGCTACTCCTACCCAGTCTGGTGGAACTTCGTCTCTTTTCGGCACGACATCCACTACCCCAGTCGGTCCTCCGCCGTCTGGTACGTCAACCGGTCAAGGACAGTCTCTTTTTGGCGGACAGAAACCCTCGTTTGGAACTACGTCGGCGGCATCCACGACGCCAGCTACTACTTCTGCGCCGTCGAGTGGTGGTCTCTTCGGACAAGGCGGCACATCAAAGCCCTTGTTTGGCACGACGCCCTCAACTTCAAGCGGAGGATCTCTGTTCGGAGCTGCCACTACTGACAAGCAGGCTGGGGGTGACCAGAAGACGCCGGCTACTTCGGATAGTGGCTCAAAACCCTTATTTGGTGCTGCAACAACGGCAGCATCAACAAGCACTACACCCGCCATGCAGTCGTCGTCGTCACTTTTTAAATTTCCCTCCACCAGTTCGGACTCGCAAAAATCTCTCTTTTCCGCCCCCAGCACGACAGCAACTTCACAGCCCTCCACCACCGCTTCGTCTACCGCGACTCCACAGAAACCCCTGTTCCCAAGTCTGGGCGGCACCACTTCCTCGACGACTCCGTCCTCAACCCCTGCACCGGCTGGAGGATCTCTGTTTTCCCGGGTCAGTGTGCCACAGAGCACTGCTGCGAGCAATGCGGAGACGACCAAAGCGACTGCTGCTCCTACACAGGCCCCGAGTACTGGTGGCTTGTTCTCGTTAGGGAAACCGGCTGAGACGACCCAGCCAGCGTCTACTACTGCCACTACTACTACTGCTACAACAACTGCTGGTGCTGCAACAACCGCAGCCACCACAGCTCCGTCCACGACGGCACCAGCTACAACAACCACTACCACCACTGATGCCGCTAAAGGCGGAGCGCCTTCTACGACGGCTGCGACACCTAATCTCGGCGCCTCGACTGCTGGCCCCGCTCCTCCAGCACAGTCGCGTCTGAAGAACAAAACGATGGATGAGATTATCACCCGCTGGGCGACGGATCTTACCAAGTATCAGAAAGAATTCCGCGAACAGGCCGAGAAGGTGGCCGAGTGGGACCGCATGCTGGTGGAGAACGGATCCAAGGTGCAAAAGCTGTATGGGAGCACCGTGGACGCGGAGCGTGCAACTCAGGAGGTGGAACGCCAACTGGCTTCGGTGGAAGGGCAACAGGAGGAATTGAGCTCGTGGCTCGATCGGTATGAGCGTGAGGTTGATGAGATGCTGTCGAAACAGGTGGGACCTGGGGAGTCGCTGCAGGGACCGGATCAGGAGCGAGAAAGAACGTACGTACTTTCTCTCAATTTTTTTGTTTCTACGAAAAGAGGTTGGCTAACATCTGTGAAGCTACAAACTTGCCGAAAAACTTTCGGAGCGGTTGGACGAGATGGGTAAGGATCTCAGCAGCATGATCGAGGAGGTCAACAACGCGTCCTCCACTCTGAGCAAGACCAACAAAGCCGACGAACCTGTAAGAGAACTGCTGAATATGAAAAGCCTCGGTGAAGACAACTAACCTGGTGTCCTGTAGATTTCCCAGATCGTCCGGATCCTGAACTCGCACCTGTCACAGCTGCAGATGATCGACCAAGGCACCGCCGAGCTGCAGGCCAAAGTCAGTGCCGCGCAGAAGGCGAGCCAGAGCCTTGGATCGAGACTCAGCGGATACGGTTATAATGGCGGTGGCAGCAACAGCAGTATCGGCGTCGGTGGAAGTGCGGTTGACGACTTTTACCGCTCGTACATGGGGCGACGATAGATGTCGGACGATTTTAAAGATTTTTCACGCTTCAAGCTAGGCACAAGACACAAAAGTACGGTTAATGGGTCCCGGTATTGATTCTGATTCTCTCTGGCCGGCAAGGTCGCATTGGTTTCCTGTCTGATGTACAATACAAACAATACAATACAAAACGTCCGAATCGATCGATGACACATTTCTTTCTTTTCTTTTTCCATTAGATAGATGAATCTAAAAGAAAAGAAAAAGTCGGAGTGCTTCAGAAAAGAAAAGAAACAAGTCCCTTACGTCTAGATCTAGGACTGTATCTGTCTATCTGCATTCTTTCTCAGTAATAGATAGAACACGATTAATCTCCACGCATGTGCGCCGATATCAGGATATCAGGCCATGTGAGATTCTCGAGACTGACTACTCAGTAATGCATATCCCCTACCTACCTACCAGTTAATCGAAGTCCGTTTTCCTTTGCTTTGATTTGATTTTTCCTACCTATTAAGCCTTAGTACTTACCAACCTACCTACCTATAGACTATGTAGAAATTAGGTCCTAGGTTAGTACTTAGAATCCTCACTAATATTAATGGTTACAATCCAGACTTGGTCTTCCTTGTCCGCTTTAATAATAATGATACTACTATTATTATTAATATTATTATCATTATCATCTTCTGTCTACGGAGTATAATGTACTGTACACGGAGATATGTTTCTGTGCCTGGTCGGGTACGTATGTACAGTACGTACATGTAACCTAGTTATAGGATTCGTAATATTAATTAATTAATTTGAGGCTGTGCTGCGCATGGTAATAGATAGATAAATCTTGTAAGAAATAATTTTAATTAAAGATCTATAACATACAGTACACGGAGTATAGTATAATGAATGATACGTGTTATTAGCTAACTTTGATGAAACGACTAAGTAGATATATATATCTATATCAGTATTATTGATAAACCTTTAGTTTATACCTAGGAGATCCTTGTCTGCAGGACGGGACGGGACGAGAAGGGTTAAAGGAAGAGAGAGAAAGAGAGAAATCACAAGACCACTATTATTAGATTGAGGAATCGGAATTAAGAGAGCAGGTACTCTGTACTGTTTATAGTAAAGTACTCCGGAGTAGTTTATTGTCTCGGGATCTCTACCTGTCAAGTCCATCAGGTACCTACCTAAGACCTAAGTACGGAGGAGGAATAGTGTTATCGATATAGATAGACGATGGAAGTCGATAAAGATCGTCGATGGTCAGTTATGTTAGAGAAGATCAAAATCATGAGGGACAATCCATGTAGACAATCTACTCCGGAGTATGTAGGTTGATTGATTATAAGCACGAATTCTACTATAGGTTGGCATTCTTTGTCTTCGATATCAGCCTTTTTCTTTTGTTTTTTTTTCTTTTTTTCTCTCTCCATCGAAGTCGCTTTGTTCCCGGAACTGGAATGCCGGACTCTTGACAGGGTTTCTTTCTTTCTTTCTTCCTGTACAGCGAACAGATCGCAATTGCCAATGGTAGTTGTTCCGGAATGTTGGTCTCCAACTACGTTGCAAGACTGTTAACAGCCTTGCTTTTCTTTTCTTTTCTTTCACTTTTTTTGTTTGAACGGTGCAGCTTGCAGGTTGTTCATCCTGCATGCATTATACATACATACATACATAGATGCATGCAGAGACAGACTCCTGGTAAAACGGTCATTACTGCTGTTACTGTACATACTCTGTAACGAGTCCACTGTTAAAAGACCGAGTTAACACCGAAGGACCAACCAGGTGTCTGCTCGGCTAATGAAACTGGGACTTTGACATCGGAGTTATCTCGGGGGCATAGGTCAGGCACCTAAGCGAAATATTAGATACGGAGTAGTTGTGCTAGAATAACGTGGATAGGAATTGCATAAATGTTCGCATCGAACTAACCTGTCGGTCGGTAATAATACTACTACTGAAAGAACTCTGATCAGCATCTTGCAGGCTTCTCCTTATCCCTGCACCAGACGTCTGGCAAGGGTCGGGAACCTGCTTTAACTACCTAACTGGGTAGGTAGCAGGCGAGAGGCCTCCCAAGTTATCTGTAACGAGTAATATTAATCCAACATATTAATAATAATAGCACGCATGATGGACTGCAGAGTACTGTACGCACGTCACAGCTGATCGATAATATTGCGCCATCCATCGGGCAGCAACGACCTTCCTATATGTACGGAGTTCCTGGGCCGGTACCGGGCACCGGGCACCGAAGGCCGTTAGGGACAGCTGCCTGGACAGTAATTACCGTACAGTACTCTGTGCCTATCACGGGAACTATCGAACTGGACCGTTGTCGTTGCGGCTGTCCAGATCCGAGTCCACGCGGACAGATGCTACTTACGATTATCAATGATCATCTACTACGGTTGAGTCTTGACAGAGCATGTTCCCAAACGTCCTCGTTCTCAACCCAGTAACTGTTAGTTAGCAGCCATACTTACCTAATAATGGACCCCACTGAGCGGCCCCTCCGAGGTAAACAATTCTCCCCGGTCAAGGGCGGAAGAGGCAAATAAGGCCAAAGGTCACGCGCAGGCTGGAGTTGGATACTGTGCCGTACAAATGAAACTCTTTGATTTAGCTGTTGCTACTGTATGGAGTAATGATATTAATGCAATGGCAATGACCTTACAGACTACAGTAGTCTATCTACTCCGTGTAACCTACCTAGCTAGGTAGGTACAGGCTATCGATCAAGCTTACACCGCAGGAACGATCCTGTCAGCCACCACGCGTCTTAGTTTTGCGTAGTGAGATACGGATTCTATCTCCTGTCCTTTCTCGTCTCAGCGTTTGCTCAACACTTCAAACACTGATGACGACGACACTGATTCAAAGTCCGCCTGTCGCTGCCAAGACTTCCCGTCGTGTCGAAATAATAATAATGAGATGAAGTGACATAGCGTACGGATGGGGGCGCAATCATACTCGGGGCCCGGGGAGTGAGTAAGACGAAACTCCCCGCGATTCCGCGACACCATGGCTGTCAGATTATGATATCATTCCGCGGCAGGGACATTGACCAGAGGTTTTTCTGGATATCCGCCAAAATACACAAACGGAGGGATCCTGATTGAAATCTACTCTATGCTCCTGCTATTCTTTGTATGCTGAATCCTGGCGTCAGTGGCAATGTTTGCTGGTCAGCTGAACGGAAGCCTCCCCACGCGGAGAAGCAGCCTGCCGCCGCAGACATCACCAATCCACACCATTGGTCTGCTCTAGACTGACATCATGGCTGGATGGGCAGTTAATTCGGGAAGAATGCACGATCACTGGAATCAACTCCGACTGTCTTGACGAACGGTTTCGCGTCTGTCGGAGAAAATGGCCCACTTGGCCTACTTTGGCGGCCACGCTGCGACAGGGGTGTTTGGTCGCTGCACACCAGTTACCGTCAAATGAACCACGGCCTGTCGGGACGATCGAGTGACATGCCGGCAGCCAACCGGAGCCTGTCGACGCGGATGAGGGGTCGATCAAGTGATGAATCCCATGCTTATTGTTGTCTGGTCGTACCGTCCAAGGCTGACTCGCAAACTCTCTCCCATCCCCGTCCTTTGCGATACGTGGCGTGGCAGGTGCGCTCTTGCCTGACGTGGTTGGATCTCAAAAAAAATTCTCCGTCGCGATCCATCGGATCGATCGAGCATAATACAATTGAGGTGAATTGGCAGCTCCTGGAGGAGCCAATTTGGAGGACTGAGCGCACGCACAGTGAGAAACGTCCGCGAAAGCAGGCTGACAGACCTCAGTCCTGACTTTTTTCTTCATTGGCCGTCCCAAGCCGGGCGTGGGAAGGGCACTTGAAGCATTCAGCAAATCAGAAAGACAATCAGACCTGGTTTTCTGCCGTCTGCCTCCATTTCTTCCTCTCTCCATTCCGGCACCAGAGGCTTGGAAGGGATAGTCCGGCTGTGACGGTCGAATCAGACGGCACGATCGCCCGAAGATCTACATACCTTGACGGCATTCGCGGCTCCGCCAGGCAAGATTATCTGGCTGATGGCCTGCCTGGTTGCAGCGGCACTTGACGACTCGAGAGAGCCGTTTCCGCCGCACATGTGGTTTGATTCATTGATTAGTCTCGCCGATTGACTGCTGTACAGCCTCTGCGAATTGTCCTCTTCCACACCATACGAATACGAGCATTGACTACCGAGATCACGGGATTGGCCGTGTTGTTGGGAAAAAGAGAGATGAGTGGCGACAGCCGATGGTTTCAGCTTCACAGTCAACCGATGCAGATTCTCCCACCCCAATGTTCAGTCACGCGGGTATGGGGAAAAGCTTCGATGCGCCAAACCTTGCGATCCTTCACACTGTTGTGACGTTGTCATGCCCGCCTTACGGTCAACACTGTCGAGACGGATAACGATTTACGGAGTAGAGAGAGTACAGGGGGTGATGGTGATTCTTATTCACTGGACGCTGGCTAAACTTTTTTTTTTCTGACAGAGGCGACACCAATCAGTTTTCCTAGTACGTCGCGATCGGTATCAGATCCCCGGACTGGGGGATGGATGGCATGTATGTATGTCATGTTATACAGAGCACAGAGAAAGTCATCTGATGACTTGAGAGATCTCTGCTTACTGTCATCACCTAAACACTTTTTTTTTTCCGGCTCCACAGAACCTGGGAGAATGCCTCGTGTCAGGACGGAGTAACTCCACCCTTTCAGTCCGACAGCAGCCGACAGCAGCTTTCTTCACCATGCAATGGACTAGACGATATGTAATTCCTAAGGCCCCATTTGTGGCAAGCTAAAGGAATACCCCGAAGCTTAGCACCTCCCGCCCTGGGCTGGAGGTCTGCCAAGTTCCAACTTTGCGTCCACCGATGGAAGCAGCATTCTACGGGCTTTCCTATTCTAGCAAGTCCGGCGAATTTGGGTACCTATCTAGGAAACTATGCACGCAGTACTCCGTATGGAGTACGGAGTACGTTCGCAGCACAGAACTGGGCAGCAGAATTGTCGCGATCGAGATGGTAGCATTCTTCTTTGGACAGGTAACGAGTCGACGACCAGCGGTGAGAACCGGATTTTGAAAATTGAGATTTCTACCGGATCATGGCCGTTCGGGCGACGTTCCGTTTTCCGTCGGAAACAAAGCAGACGCATGCCGTGCGCTGATCCTTTCTCTTTGACTAGCGAAACCGCTATTAACTGCCCAGCGATGATGTAAGCAAAAATTCAGCCAGGGATTTGTCATTACCCGCCTGTTCTATTTTTCTCTGTGTCTGTTTTACCGTACACGATTACATCACAGTGCTCCACGAGGATTGTACCCACCATCGATGAATTCCAGTACGTCATGGCGCTGGAGCTGCCATGATTACAAATGATGCGTGTCTTTGAGACACATTGAAACAAGCAGCAAGGGACGTTGACCTTGTGCTTATTGGACGGACCAAATCCTCCTGTTGTTTACGGAGTATGCAGTTGACGGTAGCAGGGAGTATTGCTTTGAACGACCAAGAATTTGGGATCGATCTGAACAGACGATGATCAGGATTATTTTTACCCATTGCAGCATCATTCCTGCCGATTGGGGAGTGCTTGTCTGCTCGCTAATCGATAGTAGCAACCAAGAACCACAGGGCCGGTGCCAGCGGATTGTGCCTTAGTCGCCAGACGGACCAGTTGTACAGCCATGCGGTGCGTGAACCAAGTCCGTAAAACAGCCCAGGAGCAAAACGGCCTCTGTTCTGTTGCAGTCTCGACTCTCCTCCCCGTTTCTGGGTGGTCTCGATGCCTGTTTTTCCATTTGATGATCATCACTTGTCTCAGGATCTGTCCAATTGCCGTCATTGGTGACGTGGAATGCGCTGCATGTAGACATTTCTTTATCCAACCCGATTGCCGTACGAGGAAATCGACTTTGTAGGGACGCTGTCCGAATTTCGGAGAGGTGAATGCTACTCCGTACAATCACCACGGGTTCCTGTGATCGATTTCGAGGTCCTTAGGTGCCGTCATAATGCCATCCTATCTGATGGCGACGATGGGTTAATAGTGCGATAACTACTCCGTAGTCTGCCATCTTCAGTACGGGTATGTAATGATCTGTAACCACCTAACTAACCTAGGCACTCTGCCCGCTGCCAATCCAGCTAATAATAATGACTGTCGCTGGGTGGGTGGGTTGTGCTAGTTGGTGATGAACCAGTAGGGCCCTTTGGGCGCCAGGGGGCCTTCCCACAGGCCATACTCCGTACTCCCTATGGCCTATAGCCTTAGCCGACAGCCTACGACGATCAACTAGTGCACCGCTGCACGCGCTCACCAACCCCCACCGGACAACTAATCGCAGACTATCTATCATCCGGAGGAGAGCAAAGCTGTGTGATAGGGACGGTGAGCCAACCCCCCCCCCCTTCCCACCATCAGACTACGAGGTTAGGCGCTTTCCTCCGCTGCCTTGATCGGGAAGCGTGCGTCCTTCTCGAAAACGTCCGGATTCCTTTGCAGGCAGTAAAATGGCGACGTTGCAGGTGCCATTAGTCCGCCAGGGGTTACAGCATCGCATCGACGGCGATCGAGTCGCTATACGGCGGATACGGAGGATATCGCGGGCCCGGACGAAGGAGAAATACGTATCGAGGCCCCTCGACCGGCCTGCCACCGACAGGTTGGGACCTCGTGAGACGACGGACCAATTGGCCACGGCCAGATTGTCGGGACCTCTGAATGACTCGAGCACTTGGGCACGCGGTGCTGGCAAACTGGCGGAAAGGCATTGTATGCTCCCCGTACTCGGTAGGGCGGACGCGGTAATGACGAGCAAGAGAACGGTGTTAATGAGGATCTTCACCCAGAAACAGAATAGCAGCCGTGCTAGCGGGCGCCCCTCGCAGGGCGCTGGAACGGGCTAATCCCGGCTGCCACCCTGGCCAAGCCCAACTGCCCGACTACGCACGGCCGCCCAAGCAGCCCGCCCGGAGAGCCCACAGGAACCACTTCGCCCTCCACTCGCCGCGCCGCCTCTAGCGCGCCTGGCATCCGGCATATATCCTATTCTGCCCTGTCGCTCCCAAAAATTTACTCCCGCTGGCAGCTGAGCGCTGTTCCTCTTCCTCTCGTCCTCTGTCCTGCCGTCTGGTCTGCATTCGACCGGATTGAGTTCATCTCGTCCCAGCATCCCGTCGTCGTTCGTTCGCACCCGTGCCATCCTCGTGGCTCCTCTTTGTTAGCAGCCACACGTTGCGTCACAGTCCCTCGTCCTTCATTCGTCTCGTGCAGCAGGGCCTCGTGTCTTCCTATCCACGTGCCACTGTTGCTTTTCTCTTGCGCACAAAAATCCGATCACTCTCTCTCCTATAACAGATTGGAGATCCCTTGGAAGACTCCGGGCGTGGAGCGTTCCTTGTGTAGACAACAGCGGCTAGTGAATCGTCATGTCTGCTGATTCTGGTGCCGTGCAAGGCGCGGATCCCGTGCCTGCGATGCCAGAACCGAGCGACAACAACCGCACACACACTTCGTCCTTGTCGTCGTCGTCCTCGTCCATCTCCGACGGCGAGCCCGAGCGGGGAAGGTCCAGGACGGGCCGCCCACGCATGCCTAGCCAGAAGCCCAGCGCCTCGATCCTCGTGCCACGGAACCACCCGGAGATTGAGATTGAGGAGGAGGAATTCCCTCCGGATGATGCTCGTGCCATGAGCCCTCGCCGTGATTCTGCGGATGTGGAGCGCTTGGGGAAGGAAGCGCGGCAGACGTTGCAAGAGTGAGTCCTGCTGTCTGGTTCTTGCTGTCAATCGGTGATGGATTCTAACAGAGACGTGTTTCTAGGCAAGCAAGAAACCTCCAGTCGTCTCTTCAGGCGCTGGCAGAACGCATCGAAGAGGTCAAGAATGACCATGACAAGCTCGAGAGTGAAAACAAGTTTCTACAAGACTACATTGGCAGCCTGACGCAGACCATGTCCAAGAGCGAACTGTCGAGCGGGAGGAAGAAGAAGAACCGGAAGTAGATGACTCGACATGGGCATCAGGGGATGGGGAGCTTGTGGCGTCAAAGGGGTCGAAGGTCATTGTCACGACAATGGACAATGAGAGGAAGGAAAGCTCAGTCGATACCGCCGTGTCTCCTTGACGGTTCTGTCCGCCTATCGTACCAGCGAATCGTCGATATTCTACCGCTATAATTCCGTTGCACCATCAGTCGAGCTCTTGGCTGATCGAGATTCGCTCGCCAAGGATCATTTTCAGCTTACTCTTTTTGTTCTTTTATCTTTTTTTTTCCCCCCCTACGTCTCGGTGAAAACGTCATATCCTTGTCCCAGGCATTAATGGAAGGTACGATTATCACGATACGGGGCATGAATTACGGCCGTGTTTCGGGTGGACTTTTGCTTCGCCCTGTCATCGAGTTGTTCTCGTCGACTTGCATATGCCTGCTGGATGGACGGCATCGGCCATCGTCAGCGCCTCTCCTGCAGAGCACAATTCGTCAAGCCTGTTGTCGCGCTGGTCGGATGAGCACCAGATATCACAACCCATCACACGGACGGTCTAAGCTGTGGCGCACAAATAATTTGAGAATTTATTGATATGCATACGGGGAAAAGGGAAGCTTGCGCCACCGGAATCGTTGTATTATCCCACGGTGAAATGGTATCTGGTTTTTGGATGTCGAGGGCGCCTGGCACGACGATCCCGGAACGCCTTCCAGGGGTTCTCTGCCAGTCAATGCTTGCCGTGTGTCAGCTTTGGGGCTTAGGACTGTGGTGGCTCGTGTTATCCGTCCAACTGGCAATTTTCATTCTTATTCCGGATGGTTATTGATTGGGAGCCTGGTTCTTTTTTCGCCTTGACTGCCTGCCATTTCCACATTATTGACCGGACTGAGCGTTGCGTATGTCTGCTTGCTTGCTTGCTTGCTTGCGTGCTTTGCTTTGTGATGCGCGATCGATCACATTTGGGCGTTGGGCGGGGACAACGAGCGGGGTGGCCCAAAAAGAGTAAAGGGGGTTTGTTCTCGCGCCTATCGGCAGGGGTGCAAGATGCATTTAACCGGTGCGTACCTAATTCGTACATGTGGTTTGGTTATCGATCATCCGTTTTCCTCTTCAATTTTCTTTCTTTCTGGTGTCTGTGGATCGTCTGGTCATGTTTCATACCCCGGGGAGCGTTGACTTTTGTTGCTATTGCATTTGTTGGGCGTCGATCACGTCAGACTCCCAACCTCTTGTACACAATTTTTTTATGCAGGAGCTCTGGCAGGCGTTGATTGATGACAGTGGCACAACTTGCATAGCATAGCGATTCTTGTTTAGCATCAGAATGGAAATGTTCAAAATCAATCAGTTGATCAGGCGTTTCTTTTTCGACCACCTTGAGGACTAGTATGTATGCATACCTTCGAATAGATACGTAGGTAAGTGCCTAGTCACCGTCTGCAGAATTCTGGCCGTACATGTACATACATACATAGGTGTATATCTATCGCGTATCCTGCAATCTTATACCCTATACACCCTATACCTAGGTAAACACCTAGGTAGATACAGATTACCTGCATAAGCAGACAAGCCTTCAGACGTGAGATGGAAGGAATCGAGCTACTTCCTTCGCTTCGTTTCCGTCTTGAGTCCTAACGACTTACTAACTACTCGATAGATACGTAGTTCATCATTTTAATTTTTAGGATAAGATAATAGGCTACGATGGTAGATATTAATTACCTAGATAGGTAATGGTATAATATATAGTATACCTAGTCCAGTATCATTATTACGATGGTAAAAGAAAAATAAAAGAGAGAGGGTGAGAGATGCTACTATCCATCCATCCATGTCGATTGATTGACTCGATTCGCAATTTGCCTTCTATTCGTCTACATATACCATGCTACTACCTATCAATCAACACTATCTACCTAGGCACAAGGCACATGGCTTCATTAGGTGCTTGCTTGATGAACTCGTCTCGAGATGCTTCGTATAGATAAAGACTAGAAAAAAAAAAAAAGAGCAAGTGTACAGTACATACACATACAGCAAACACACTTTGAAAAGAGCCATCCATCCGTCTGGGACAGTAAGTAAGCGAAGAAGGATACCCTTTATAATTTATCTTCCTCTTAGCTAAGGAATGCATAATTATAATTAATTAATATTGCTCCTATTAAGACAGTTAAATAGGTGTATACACATACCATATCATATCATAAGCAACTTTCACTCGGCCAGAGCACACAGCAATAATAATATATATAGCATTAGCACAAGTAAGCATAAGATATCTGTTCTGACCTGATGATACCTACCAAACCAACATAAATACTCTCTCCTTCGTACGAATTGTACCTGAAATTGAATAAAGTTGTTCTTCAACAGAAAAAAAATTACCTACCCTAACATATCTATTATTTCTTACCTACCTACCTACCTACCTATCTATCTATCTATGCACCGCTCCGGACAGATATCTACCTATCTATCTACCGATGTAGCATACCTAAGTCCTAAATCTAGTGGCAAGCTGAACCTTGTTCTGTATTTAAAGGCTTCATCGAACTAATTAACTGACTGTACTGGACGACGACAAGCAGCAGCAGCAGCAGCAAACTATGGATGATGATGACGATGACGGCGCCACATATACCGAAACAGGGAAAAAAAATGTGATAAATGTGGCTGTGGCTTGCTTGCTTGGTAAGTTAAGTTTATTTTTATCTATATTATTCTATTTATATATTTATTTACTATTTTTATTTCTGTTTCTATTCTAAAAAGATCCAGAATTATTAAGATCAACTAAACCTCTCTTTCATCAATATCAATATCGAGGAAGAGTCCGAGGTCGACAGGTAAATAAGTTCAAGTCAGCCAAACACAAGCCCGATTTATCAGATAGATAGGTAAAGGACATAAGACAGACGAATTCTATCTATTTTCTATAGTATAACGATTGTATATCCGATATATTGGGGATTGATTCGACTTGGGTTGTTTTCTTTGTCTTATGCTGTCGTCGTCTTCTTGGTTTAGTTCTAGTTTCATCTCATCTGCATGAGAGAGTTACAAAGCAGGACTGCCGCAGATGCAAGAGACTATTGCTAACGGACAAGATTGATTAAAATAAAAAAATAAAAACAAAAGACGACAAAAAAAGAAACAAAAACGGGGAATTCTTTGGTTGGGGGGGGGGGGGGGTAATAACTGGGTGTAAAATGTTGTAGTAGTAGTAGTAGTAGTAGTAGTAGTAGTAGTAGTGTATGATAGTAGTAAGAAGAAAAGAAAAAAAAAGAAGAAAAGAAATATCTAGGACGGACCAGGCCAGATAAGAGGACAGGACAGGACAGGACAGGACAACAGAGCAACCCCGCTCTAGACCATACAATCAATCATTCTGCATCTGCATTGCATGCATTACGGTCTCTTTTAAAGCAGCAAAGCAGAATTGAATGAATGAACCAGAGCTTGAGAAATGAAAAAAAAAGGAGATCTCGAACCCGCGAAACCCAATTCGTTTCGTCCTTTTTATAGCTTTGGCTCCGCTCCCACACACAATGCCCGAAAAAAGCAATGGTGCCCATTCGCCTCTTGGCTTTCCTTCTTCGTCCAATATTTCTTTCTTCTTTTTTTTCTTTCTTTATTTGTTGTTTCAGTTTTTTTGTATTTTTTTTTAAAATTGCTTCCCCTCGCTCTAGGCCCGTGCGCCGAACTGCATTCTGCCCTCTAATATCCACACTCAAACTATGCCAGGATGCGAGTCCACATGATCTTTGTTTTTTTAAATTTACTCCGCAGGCTTGTCACCCTCGCCAGCGGGGGCCTCCTCCTTCTTCTCGGCGGACGCCGCAGCGCTAGGCTCCGGAGCAGTCTCAGCCTCGGACGAGGTCCAGAGGGTCTACAATGAATTAGCACGATCCAAAACAATGGATAAATGACGGCAAAACTCACCAGGTTGTCCCTGAGGAGCTGCATGATCAGAGTCGAGTCCTTGTAGCTCTCCTCGCTCAGGGTGTCGAGCTCTGCAGATTCATTAGCTTCCATGCAGACACCAAGTGTCCTTGAATTACACACCTGCAATGGCATCATCGAAAGCCTGCTTGGCCAGGTGGCAAGCCTGGTCAGGAGAGTTGAGGATCTCGTAGTAGAAGACGGAGAAGTTCAGGGCCAGACCCAGACGGATCGGGTGGGTGGGGGCAAGGTCAGTCTGTGCGACCTCGGTGGCAGCCTTGTAGGCCTCGAGAGAGGCGTCGGCGGAGACCTTGCGGCGCTCGCCAACAGCGAACTCAGCAAGGTAACGGTGGTAGTCTCCCTTCCTGTATTCGGAACGTGTTGAGTACGAGATCAGGACATATATGAAGCACAAACAAGACTCACATCTTGTGGTAGAAAACCTTGGACTCGCCGCTCTGGGCAGACGGGATCAGGTGCTTGTCCAGAACCTCGAGGATGTCATCGCAGATCTTGGCCAGCTCAGTCTCGATCTTCTGGCGGTATTCCTTGATCAGAGCAACCTGGGCGTCGTTGCCCTTGGACTCCTCCTTCTGCTCGATGGAGGTGACGATTCGCCAAGACGCCCGACGAGCACCGATGACGTTCTTGTAGGCCACCGACAGGAGATTCCGCTCTTCGACGGAGAGCTCTTGGTCTGAAGAGGCAACCACCTTCATGTTCTCCACCATTTCTGCACCCAGTCAATCCTGCGTCCCAGGCGCATTTCACGGGAGATTTACGGATACGGACCTTCGTAGCGCTCAGCCTGCTCGGCGAGCTTGGCGAGGTAGACAGCATCTTCGTGACTCTGACCCATTGTGAAGGATGTAGCTGTCAATGAGGCGTCAGCACAGTGATATTCAGTAGAAATGATGGCCCGACGCGGGCACGACGCGGAACGAAGAGTCGGTGTGACAGGGTCCAACAGCACGAGGATCACGACATGGAGCTGTCCAGAAGATCCTCCGGCACAACCAGTGTGATCTCATGCGGATGATGGCTAGACACGACATGACGAGAGAGTGCTGTGGCCGCTCGCAGCCATGTTGACGTCCTACGTCACACCGGCCCGTTCCACGCATCGCCTGAGGGCAAGATCGGTGAAGAACCGTGTCCCAGACGCTGCATGAGTCCCCAAAGACAGCAGCGACAGCAAGACCCAGATGATGCGATCCACGAGGATATCATCGAGACCGTGCAGACGTCGACCCAGACGAGGCGGTCGGGGGAGGGGGGGGTTGCAGGAAACGAAGAAAGAGGGGGATGGCGGCTCACCTGAGAGGACAACGCGTACGAGATAAACAATACAAGAAAGAAAGCCTGGTGGTCGAGAAGACTGCAGACGCGGAGAGTCAGGGACGGCGAATGGACAAGCAGGGATTCAGGAAGAAGGGAACGGGGAAGGAAAGACTCGAGGAGGGAGTATGGACGTGTTTGGCAGAAGTGAAGTTTGGGATGGGATGGGATGGGGATGGGGTCTGGCGGTGGTGTGGGAATTGGGAAAAGGGAAAAAGCGGATCTTGGCCTAGGCGGGTGGAGAGTGCCAGACGGGCCTCTGACTGGCGGGCGCGCGCAGGCGGTGGGATGATGAAAGAGGACACGCCTGTATATCTGCGTCGCAGGCTCCGACTCGAGGCAAACGGGTTCGCGCCGTTGATTGTTTTTCTTTGCCCTCTCCTGCTGCTGCTGCTCGCCTGTGTCGCGCCTGGCGAGAATAACGCCCGGCCGGATCGCGGCCTCGTGCCTATCCCCTCTGCGCTCTCACAGCCAGGAGGCAGCCTCACTTCGGTGTGGTTCGGTGGGCCGGCCAATGACCCCTCTCTCGCCCATGCCCCCGACCCTCTCCCATGCTGCTAGTTGCTCCCTCTGCTCCCACTGGCGGCAAGCCGGTCACCACTGGCCGCCCGGACATATCTCGCAGGCCTTGCACAGGGAGGCTCTGCTCATTCAGCGTACCGTGGTACGCTCTCTACGCGCCCGCTGCAACAGGCTCAGATCATAAGTGGCCCAGCGGCCTTATCGAGATCTATCGACTTGACGATGTGCAGAGCGCATGGTCCACGTCTACCATACAAGAGAGGTCCGGAGAAGAGTCCTCGGGGCGGAGATAAGAGCAACCACATGACCTGCGACTACCTACTCCGTATGCTCCGTAGTCGCGTTTGATTATGCTATAAATGTACTGCTACTTCGTAGATCTGGAAGGACCAAATCCTCAGCGAGATCCAGCACTCGTACTGCGTACTGTGTAGTCGTGACTCGTCAGCAGCAACTGCCTGCATGGCGCGAGGCCCCTTCACCAAGCACGCAAGCCACGGCCTGCTTACATAAGCAGCCGTTGGCAAGCAAACAGTGCATACATGCCCGTTGCATGACTCACCAACATCACATGGATCACATGATGGGCCTGCTTCCGCAGCTGGCTGGCTAACGTCACTGCCTCCGCGGCTAGGTAGATCGACACCTCACACACCCTATCACAGCCATCTTCTCTCTGATCTGCTGAAACTCATCCTTCGATTTCGTCTTCTTTCCCCCTCGTCATCACAATGTTCCGCCAGGCGGTTGCTCGTCCCCTCCTCCGTGCCAACCAGGTCGTCGCGACACGATCATTCTCTGTTGCTGCTGCCAGAATGGGCGAAGGCGACACTGGTGCACCTAAAATGCACGGCTACCACACCGAGTACGTGCCACGAGGTTTATTCGTCCGGTAGATGGATGCAGGACGGCTGCTAACATGACATTGTCATTGAATCAGAGACCAGTTCACCCGCCGCGAGGCCGCTCAAGAGAACCTCTACGTGAAGGAGAAGGAGCTCGAGAAGTAAGCAACGCCATTGAATCTGCCAGATGTCCAGAGGACTGGAAGCTAACAATCACACCCCTCCAGGCTCCGTGCCCTCAAGGCCAAGCTGCAGGAGCAGCGTCGTCACCTCGACGAGCTCGACAAGCACATGTCAGTCACACATTCGTCTGCAGAACGTCGTCCCTACGATGAAGGAACAACATATGTTTGCTGACGCCATTGACATATGAACAGTGACCAGCTCACCCGCGAACAAGGCGGAGAGAAGAACTAGATTTTTCTTTGCTTGCGAAGGCGATCCACCAACCCGGTTGGACAAACAGAAATACCTCCACTCAAATCTTTTTGACAACCTCGCGTTTTGCTTTGTATATTAGACGACATCACTCCAACGCCGTCATGTCAGGTATAGCTTAAGAATGACAATTCCCCTTGTCTTGACTCTGGACTTCCGACTGGGTTACAACGTCATACTGTAAATCGAATAACGCTCCTATATCTCTACAGTTGACTGGATTCAATACTGCCATATCACGATCAGTCGTATCATATCAATATTCCATCGTAAAGATGAGCATAGGTATCCGTTCCCGGACACTAAGGATATTTTTAATTTATATACACGAAGCAAAGGAACCGCCATAGGAATGCGAATGAACTAGTGCACTGCTATACATACGCCCAAGGACCATCATCAAAGTACCAGTACCAGAGCCAGAAAATCAGGCGAAGGAATGTTCTTTGCAGGTCAATGCAGCGACGGCGAGATTTTCCATTGATATAATGCCCTCACTACCGCCAGACCTCCCGACTGCGTCTCAACGGTGCGGCCCCGCCCCCGGTCATTGACTTCCGGTGGATTTCTGGCTCTCTCGGGATGCTGCTTGTCGTGGTGGTGTGAATTGGTTTCCGTGGCAAATATGCCCAGTTTGCGCTGGTCAATTTCGGTACTTTCCATGACGGGAGACTTATCGGACTGCACCCGCATCAGCCCAGCGAGGTGCTCCGTCTCCTCCGCCATTGCTCCGTAATTCCGGTAATCTACGGCCCCCGCCGGTAGAGGAGAAGCCATCTCTGTGATGTTGGGATAGATGTCAGGATAGGGTCTGCCCCACCACATGCCAAATTTCCCTTGGTCATTTCTTGTTACGAGAGCCGCCTGGGCATTATGCTCGATCCACGCTCGATACGACCGGCATCTGGCCTGGTGCCATTCAAAGACTGACCGGCTGCGCTCGGCATTGGGATCCTCCGGATCGGAAAACTCGACCAGGAGTTGTTCTTCCTCCGGTCTCAGAGGGCGGCAGAATTCGGCCAGATGGTGGAAGAAGATGCCCTTGAAGGTATGGCTGTTTTGAGAACAGTCTCCAGAGGAGTCACAGATCTCCTCGAGCACCCCTCCGCGGCCCAAGCCGGCCCAGCTGGTGCTGCTGGTATCCGGCCATCCTGTGGCCCAGATCACCTTCTCAATCAGCTCATGACCATCTTGCAAGTAGTCCCGGTCCGCCGTGGCCAGCCAGAGACCTCTCAGCCCGCTGAGAATAACCCCTTGGTTATAAGTATAAACCATCGTGTTCAAGACGTCGCACTTGCGTGTTCCCGGGTCCCGAGCGCTTTTCCACCCTCGGATATGAAAGCCATCTGCATAGAGGCCCCCGAAGCCCGTCATATTTGAATCCTTCAACCATTGGTAACCCCTTACGGCGGCAGCCAAATACTCAGGATCGTGGACGTTGCGCTCCCCCGAGTTTCCTCGCGCAAGGTATGGGGAATCGATGGGATCTCCAGGGAAATACAGGTACATTCCGATGCTGGCGGAGATGAACAGCTCATTCGTGATCGCGTTCTTGTACGGAGTGAGGTAGGGACTCCACACCATCCCTCCACCACAGAGAACGTTGTCCCAACCCTGGGAAGCGAGCTCGTAAAACAGTCGCGCTCGGTGCGCAGCTGGCACACGAAGCTGCGTTCCATGCCATGGTCGATCGACGGTGCTATTCCGATCCGACTCCGAAGAGTAGTGCAAGTCCGAATGGAGGTTCTGGAACTTGATACTCTCCAGCCAGCCCAGGACGACCCAGAGCATGTCGTCAAAGGCCTGATTCCGCAAGCTGATTGCGTTCTCCCCGAAATAGAAAGCAGACACTTGGTCGAAGTAGCGATTGATCAGATTCTCGTGCACAAGCGCATCGCGAGCCAGACTATCACCAGATAACGAGACCAGGATATCTTGCGGGGTGGACGTCAGCGAGGACAGTGCGGCAGAGACCTGTGTGCCCAGGACCGCAGCCGTCCAGTCGATGCTCGTGGGCCAGGTACCTAGCCAATGCTCGAAGTACTCATCCTGCATCACGTCGAGGGCATAGATCAGGTCATGGAGAGTCGCCCTGATGGAAGCAAGATCATCTTCCGGGGAGTCCTCTACTCTATTGTTCCCTTGCGGCGGCACAACGATATTCCCCTTCTGGTCAGGCCGCTGCGCCAGCACATTTGCGGTTGTTGCGACGGACAGAACGTTCAAAAGAACGACCACGCAAGCAATAGGTGACATGACGACAGACCGTCCCCTCCTGAACAGCCAAGGTATCATTCTGCAAGTCGACCGTTTATCCAGGTTATATATGCTTATTATCCCTGCGCCCCTTCGTTCCGCAATTGGCTCACGAGCCCCGCGACACCGCTAACGGACGGACCAAGCACGGAAAGCTGCGAGAAGGAGCGATGGAAAGGACCATAGCAGCAGGGGAATCGATGGACACATCGATGAAGACAAAGAAGAAAAATAAAGAGGAGATGGGAAAAAAGACTGGGAGGTAGTCGTCAGCGCCGCATGGGTCAGAGAGCCTTGCGGGGAAGAGAGTGGATTGGCCCTGGCGTTCCTGGCCAAGAACGGCCACTCAAGGCTGGCATTCGCTGCGGGGAAGCTCTGGAGAATGTTCGGCGGCAGTTCCAGATCTTGCACTACGCTGTATGCCACACGTATTGTCGTACCGCCAGCCATGTGGTCAGTGGTTTTAGCGCTGTATTCTTAACCTTTTTACTCTGCTTCGGCCTTTTCCCGCCTACTTCGGTCACGCGCCTCGACAAAAGCGTCTCTCTCTTGAACAGTGTCCTGTATTGACCGATACACACAGCTCTACTGATACAGTGGCGATCGTCTTAAAATGACACAGCTTGTGTTTCAGGTTTTTACAAACTTCATTCTAGCCTAATAAGTCTCGATCGAGTAAAAAAGACAAAGAGCTACACATATGGACTTTTAAGAGTCATCAGTGCCGTCATGTCGTATTACATTCATATCACTGAGGTATCTCTCTAGATCTGTCGAACCCAACGCATCCCAGGCCATTCGTATCTCTTTTACCGGAGAATTGAACACATTTTAATTGCCATTTTTTTTTATTTATCCGGCATCCCGGCAACTAGGCCTGTCACAAGATTAGCATGAGATCCCAAGAGCAAAAATAGGACGAAAGACCTACCTGAGACGACATAACTTGAAGAGCCGACAAATGTCTCTGTGCGCGTTGCTTTCATTTTCCTCTGGGGAAAAGAATCTGCCGCTCGCAGAGACACTGTCGGCGCAGTGGAATTTTTTCAACTCTGTCGCATCATTTGCCGCAACAGCTGCTGTTTCAACATATAACTCATCGGGGGAATCATGCGCTCCTCAAAATAGGAATTTGTGAAGGAAAAAAGAAAACGGTACGCCTCGTAATCATGCCCAGTTCTCTTAAGCTCTGCCGTTGTCCACCGGGCTACGGCTCCGGTCGCGACTCCTGCTTCGTGCCCTGCCGCCACGAGGGCCTTTGGGTCCTCCGCCCTTGCCCTTAGCGGATGGCGGAGGTCGAACAAAGGCGTAGTCAACCTGGATCGTTTGGTCGAGCAGTTTCGCACCGTTGAGAGCTTTGATTGCGGCGCTGGCTTCGGGAAGGGTCGCGTACTCGATCAGCGCGTATCCCTACGTAGTGATCAGAAAGTCAGCTTGCTGGACGCTCCAAATCTCGATATCAAGTGAGGATCTGCTGGAAGGAGGAGATCTACCTTAACGTATCCAGTCCGACGATCCAAATTCAAGTTGAAGTTCTTAATCTCCCCATACTCGGCGAACAGGTCCGTGACGTCCTCTTCTGAAGCCTCCTCGTGGATGTTGGTCGCCAGCACGATCCAACCCTCGATACTGCGGACTGCTACCGCTCCAGTCTGAGTTCGCGGCTCGATATTGCTTGCAGAATGTGCTTGCGAGTTTGCGCCGTCTTGCGCCACCGGAGGGTCGATTTCCATCTCGTTGGACATGTTGGGCAAGCCTGGAAGTATGACTCGATTGAAGGACGACAGAAGATCGAATTGGAAAATCTCTTTGGTGCTCCCAACGAGAAAATTAGAGAGAAATGGGTAGAACTTGGTATTTTACGAAGAGTCGCGCCGTGGAGAGTGAGGTCCAAGTCCGCACAACCAGTGGGGTCGAGAACTTAAGCTACCTGATTATGTAATACAGATGGTTGGAATGTACTCTGTACTGTACGGAGGACCATTGAACTTCGCGGTTGATAGGTATCGTGAACACATCTGTGGATATCCTTTTTTTTTAACTCTTGAAAAGGCGAAAAAGAAGGAGAAACGAAAGAATTTCATCTTTGAAGGCCTCCACATCACCGAGCTCTCCAGTCATAAAGTTATCTCAAATCACCACGATAAGGAGCCTCCAGTATTTTTCATATCTGTCGAAGTTAATCACCCAGACTGACTGCCATGGAAAACAACCTACCGACCTACTTGAATCTCGCATTTTTTTTCTGTATCTTTCTATCCTCTGATTTGCTTGGGAATGTGTTGGTAGATAATGCATAGGATGATTTGTTGAAATTTGCTACCGAGATTAGGCGATTTCACAGTATGTGATATTTATGATTCATTACAATTTTATGCCATGACTTTCGATTTTTCTTTTTTTTATTGTTATTATTTACATATTACACCATACCTCTATGGCAGAGTGTCATTAGAAATGATAAATACGCCAAGAATTCCGCTGGTAAAAGAGAATCGAGGCCATTCAAAATACAAACTGCCTGGCCCTACAATAGCATCCCATGCAGCCTGCCTAATCCCATCGCTCTTTTTGATAAACTCCGGAATAAATGACCCTGGGTATCCGCTCGCAAAGGGTGTTAACGGCAAAGAACTCCCCCTTAATGCCTATGATGATGGGGGGAAAAAAGGAAAAGAAAAGAACACAGAAAAGAAAAAAAAGAACTGTCCAAAGAAAGGAAATAATGCTGCACACGAATGACCTCCCAAAAGGTTTGTGATTCAACTGCTCCAGAAGTTGTGTGCGCATGCGTAAAGGCCACCCTAGTCTTGTCTGCATTGCATGGCTAATCGAGTTCGATAACTTCGGGTGCAGAAGAAGGAACCTGTGAGGGAGCATTGTCATGATCCATTTCCGCCTTGGCAGTCTCAGACCGGTCAGCTTCAAACTCAGACCGATTCCGTTTGGCTGGGACAACACTGCCACTTCTACTGGGTTGTGGTGTCTCCTCTTCCAGAACAGGCTCCCAAGACCCATCTGTCTTGACACGAATGGACCGGGTGCGCTCCAGCCTCTGGGTCCGTTCGAGTTCTGTTCGTATTTCCAGGAGAAATTCATCCACAATCAGGAGAGAGGGAGCGGCGAATTTCCGGCAAATCGGGCACTTCAGATATGGTGACTTTTTCCCTGCTGTCGCTGGTGCGATTACAACAGTCTGCAGGAAGGTATCAAGATCGAAACACTCCCTATGTAGGCAGGATCTTCCGCGGACTGGAGTGTCAAAAATACGCGCAGTAAACGGATCCCTGAGATCGATGGTGATGTAATCATCCATGAAAACCAAGTCCTCGTCGCCGGTGTGCATGGAAAGACGATTCCGAATCTGCTCGCGTGACTCGGCTGCTGGCAGTCTGCAGACGGCCGTCCTGATGCTGCTTGAGCTATTGACTTCTATGATCTCCACTGCAATGGCATACTTAGTGCCTTTGGACTTTTCGTGTTCGCTCCGCAACATGTTCAGAGATATCTCGTTGGTTCCCTCCTTGACGTAGCGTGTGATGTCCACAGGAAGATCCTTGCCATGATGGAAGGATCGACGGACGAAAACTTCCTCACCATTGACGTGGATGTACACCGCAGTTGGCCATCGGCATTCGGTACCAGCCCAAAAATGTATATTTTCGACTTTGGAGGAATCCTGAAACTGAATGCAGCGAAAGCGATATGTGCGGGCACCACTAGATAGGATCCGGGCTGGACCCCCCTCGCGTTCCGAAATCCAGCGAGCGCGTCGTTTGTATGCATCAGGAGGGACGGAGAACTGCCACCGGAAAGAAGACCTCTCGAATTCGAGAGGAGTTGGTTTGATCACAAAGGCCGATAGGTACTGAACTAGATCTTTGGCCTCTCCTCCATCTGGTCGAACCAGTCTCGTGGGGGGCGTCCGAAGATGTAGCTGGTGGAGGGCAGTTACAGTCGGATTACGATGTAGGGTGGAGGAAATAACTCCGGGGGACGGGAGAAGTGGAACACTCTGCACCTGTTGCTGAGACTGTGGTGGTCTGGCCCGAGACACGGCCTGTTGGGAGGGAAACCTCATGGTAGATGTTGCGGGTGGCATCTGTGAAGGCACACCATGCGGAGAACCATACATTCGTTGCTGGTTCGCGATAACATTCTGAGGGGCACCCCTTCCTAATCCTGGGGCGGGGTACGCCTGAGGATATTGAGTGGGGGCATACAGAACTCCTTGTCCCTGACCATTGATATTGTTCGTGGATGGGTAATTGGCAACATGGGGCCCGGTAGATACTGGTGGAGCCATGGAGTGCTGAACAGGTGGTCCAACAGGGTACATATGTGGCTGCGAAGGAAAACGTGGATCGAAGTGGATTCCTGTGGCCTGAAGCGGAGCACCCGAAGTAACAGGGGCGTGAACCGGTGGTTGATTTGATGCTTGGACAGGGTAAGGAGCAGAACGTTGCTGCATGAATCCGTGTTGTTGTGGCAGCGGCTGTCGTTGTGCTTGTGGTTGATTGTTTGACATCATGTTAGAAGATACTATTGCACTCGGTGGGGGTATCGATGTAGAGGTGTATGTATTCGAGAGAGGGTTGCTAGATCGAACAACACCAGAGTTTGCTGCCAAGCCTGGTCTCATTTGTGGATGTGTTACTGCAGTGCCTGGAGGCATATTCACTGGAGGAACATTGACCGGAATGGTGTTCACATGTATTGGTGGTGATTGCATCTGAGAGGCGCGTTCTGCTTCTGACACCATCATCGGAGCTGGTCGGTGGGCCGCTACGGCATATTGCCGGGAAAGAGCTCGATAGGCCCTGACGAAGGCCTCCATTTCCCTCCGCACATCTTCAACAGGAGCACTGGTTGGTCGCTGCCTATAACTGCCTTGATTCTGATCAAATAAAGTCAGGCAGGCATCCATCAACTGTTCGTTGCCAGATCCAAAAACGTGACGTGTTAATGAGGTGAAAATGATTTTTTGCATCACTGGAGACGTGACCCCAAATTGCATCACTAATTCTTCAACAAGGGGGGGATATGATCGAGACTGGAGCCGTTTCGCGAAGGGGACCCAATGTTGGGAGAGCAATGCTAACGTCTGCCCAACTTGCTGCAGGGCATTTCTGTAGTCATTGTTTTCAAGCATAGACCGCAATGGTGATGGATAGTAGACACACCAGTGCAGAAAATTGCCCGAGAGTTGTTGATTGTCGATCAGGAGTTGCTTGATCACCTCCAACCAAAAGCCCTTTTCGATGGCAAATTGGGCTAAGCCGGTAAGTTGGGTGGGGGCGTATGAACTCACGCAGTACACCTGATGAAGCGCGAGATAGAACATGTCCTCGGAGCGACATGCGTCTTGCAGGAGGCGGAGTCGAGGTAGGTCGACGGTCTCAGACAGACTACCCCGTTGTGTTGATTCCTTGTGGAACAGTTGTAGCCGGATCCTAGCAATTTGCCAAAAGGATGATGGGTCTTGTGTGCTAGGAGATGGTTGACTGGAGCCTAAATTGGCCGATACTGAAGATTGGGCTGTGTGCCCTGTGGCTCTTACAGCAGGACTTGAAGCGACATGATGGGCATTAGCCTGCGAAGTTTGGAGGCTTGGTTGGTCGATTGCCCTCTCAGGGGGCCTAGCTGATGAAGCTGGGGTAATGGAACTGGTAGGGATGACTGCCCCTGCGCCCGCCTCTTCAGGCAGCTGTGACGGCTGCGGTCTGGGTGAAAGACCGACATCTACAGGATGATTGTGCTCTTGGTCCCCATCGGCTGCACAGGCAGGGCTAGTGTGTGAACCATTACTAGGTTCCGGAGATGGAAGCACAGTGGTCTGAGCCAACCCTGGTGTTGTCTCAGGTGCTGCTGAGGTCTGTTGAAGGGGTAAGGAATTGCAGGAGACTGGTCCGGACTCAGGTAATTGGCTGCCAGGAGTGATGGGGGACACCGGAGCGGGACCTGCATAGGAAACAGCAGTGGTCATGCTCTGTGCGCTCTGCACAATCGATGATGCTAAAGCTGGGGATATAGACTGTTGTATCCCGGCTTGAGACTCTTCTCTGGGCGAGCTAGCAGTAGGGGCAGGAGTCCGGGGTGCAAGAGAGGAAGGCGTGCTGTTCGCATTAGCCCCTGGTGCCGGCTGCCTCCTGGGGGGCACTTCTCCCAACATCCATGGTCTGCGCGTGGTGCCTAGAAATTTGTTGGCAGTAGAGTTGGAAGACTCGACTCCCCGCACAACCCCAGGCGGGGGAGGTCGACCGTGGTGGTGGGAATTCATGATGTGGGTAGAACATGGTAGGAGGTTGTCGAGCGCCAAGCAAGGGCTTCAGAGCATGTGATGGGCCGTTAAATACTGTCAGGTCGATCGGTGCGTCACTTAAATGACTGGAAGTCAGTAAATTTTGATCCAAGACAAAGTGATCGCGGGACATGCATTTGTGAACGGAGGATGCCAGCGGTGAAGAGCGGAGGACAGACAGGTAGCGGGGGTCCAGTAACTTAGGTAGTTCTCTTTTGACTCATTCACCACATCATTCCCATGTTGCTCTGTACAGTGCTGCATGCCAGACGCCCCAGAGCCTGCTCTGCGGAGCAAATAAAAGAAAGATTTGAAGTCAGCAGAAGGAGATGGTGAAGGTTGTTGTTGTTGGCCTCTAATAGGGAAGTTAGGAATCGCAGCGGGAAAGCGCATCGGCCTGGACCCGTGGCAGGCGCGCCGCGACTTTCTTATTCGCGCCAGCGAGAGTACAACCTCAGGACAGCAGCTCTCAAGCTTTTCAGCTACTGCTGTCTGCATCAGCCTCTTAAAATGAAGAAAGAAAAGGCCATGTGTCGATTAACATATAGAGTATAATATTGGCATACTGTAAATTAATCCACTGCAAAATCATAACTACCACGTTACCACGTAGAATGCTGCCAAACGCCCGTGTTGAGCGGTCTGCAGAGCGGTCAACCACAGGCAAAGTTTGCCCAATGCCAATCCCTCATTGGTCCTTGCGGCGCCATCATTCGGAGCCGGGAAGGACTCCGTACGGAGTACTCCGTAGACATGACAGCAGGGAGAAGACTCATTCACATCAACGCTGTGATTACAAACTTGACTACCTAGGGGTGTTTGTAGAAAGGAATACAGTCACTGGTTAGAGGCCTGGTAATGTCATAGCATACGCATTGCACTGGATAAGCAACAATTTATTTTTTTTATTAAGAAAAAAAGAAAAAAAAGAAGGGGAGAAAGAAAAGGAAAGAAATAGAAGTGCTCCGTAAAAGGGGGAGCAGAAAAGGGGAGAGAGAAGAATCGGGATCTCACATCTCGGTGTCCATACAAAAATGCCCTGCAGACTGCTGCTAAACCGCCTCTTGACTGCTTACGGCGAAGATGCCCCGTTTTGTCTGTTCGTTCGCGGCAAGAATAAGCCACTCCGGGGCTGTCCGCCTGTCCCCGGGCCCCGATGGATCGTCAAGCCTCCATCAGCCATTCCTGGGAATCCCACGGCATACTTATCGTCGTTATCGGGCGGTTGTCGAGCTTCAGAAAAGTATCCCTTCCTTTTTGGGCGACGGAGCTGCCTTGCGCGGGCATGCCAATGACCACCGTGAAGAGGTATTATGCCTGCTTCCGTCTGCTGGTTGATCATTCCACGAGGCGATTCCAGCCTGGCCGCTCAGTCCTGGCATCTGGTGGCCTGGGAGTTGAACACATCATAAACTGGGCCATCCCAGGGCGACGCCCGTTCAAACGTCGCAAGGCCCCCTTCTTTGCTGGCATCGCCTGTCTCCATTCGTGGCACGCATCGCCTGCTCTCTGGGCAGGAGATCAAACAGCTGGCGCACGAATAATTACTCGACGACATCCATCCACCCCGCGCGACAACGCAAATCGATAGTCTGCCTCCACGCGCCACGCCGTCGCCGCGCCAGGCACGTGTTCTTGCTCACTTGCTGGCAGGCAGGAGAAGGTGGTAGCACTAAGTCAAAAGGGAGACATCTCCCCTGGATTCCCAGCTTGCTTCGACTCTCGACTCTGGAGAAGTCGCACCGTCACCACCCACCGTTTTTGCTCCTCCCTCCGCCGCACAGACTCAGGCTCGGGCTTTTTAGGTCGTGAGCAAGGATCCTCCGCGGCGCTGTGCGGCTGGCATCTACCCGCGTCCCGAAGTTTGGTCGACCCCCGAGGAGGTGCGGATCTGGCAGCAAGCACTCCTACTCCTGGTGAAATCATCACCTCCTCATTACTGACTTCCCGGATATCGTTCAACTACGCTTTTCGCACCAGCAGGCTCGTGTTCGCCGTTGCACAACCGCCTGCCGCGGTGCTCTCGTCGGATTGCTACCAACTCGCACATTGTGTGGTGGGCTGGAGGTCGCGATCGTCTCGTCCCTCCGCACCGTTTGCGACCGCCACTGTTGTCAGAGCTCTGTCGCCTCCCGCTTGCGCTCTCCGCCCTGTGGTCCAATCCACTCATCCTGCTGTGGAGTTAAGGGCTCGTGGCTGGAATACCTGATATCTCACTCTGCGAGCAGAAGCTGCGCTCCATGTCGCTCTCAACTCTCCCCATCCGACCATCTGCAGCCGCGCGCTTTGACAATTGAAATTCATTCTGCCCTTTTAAAATAGAAGGTTTCGCTCTGGGAAGAGGGTCTGTCCATGGCTCAGGCAGTGCCACCACGCCAGGCTCAACCCGGCGATTTCCTGGTCGTCGTTCGTAAGTCCTCTCCCTCGAATCCGTATCCGATCTTTTTTTTCTATACAGGAGATGCCCGATCGCTAATATCGTGCTTGTCTCTAGACGATTTCGACGCCCGGTCAGAAGATGAGTTGACCCTGCGGCGGGGTGAGAAGATCGAGTTGGTCGAGCTTGACGATGGGTTTGGGGACGGATGGTACCTTGGCAAGCATACGGTTACCGGGAAGACCGGTCTTTTCCCTGGAGGTACGCAGAGACCTTTGCTTCCGATCCAGAAGCTGTAAAATAGCGACGGCAGCTGATGCGCAGCAGTTTACACCGCCCTCCCACCGAAGCTCGGTGTGCGCAAACCGGATACCGCTTCGTCTTCGGCGGATTCAGATACAGTCGTCCCGGATGAGAACTCCAAGGCAGCCACTCTAGGCAACGATGCGGGTGATGTCATATCGATGTCTTCTACTACTATCGAAGGGAGAGGAGAGGTTACCCCTCAGGCTTCAAGACGTGGCAGCGCGTCGGAACTTCGAGATCCAGGTCCTGATACGGAGGAGGAACTCTCGCCCAAACAACCACCGAGGTCGAGTTCCGGCCCGCTGCCATCGGCGTCCCCTCTTTCTTCCAACATGCAGAGATCGATCAGGGATGCTTTCGGAGGCCCCCTCAAAGAGGGCGACAGTCCCGTCATGAATGAGACACTTAGTGTCATTGACGAGCACATCACCGATCTCAGCACCCCCCGTCACAGCATCACCACTCAGGATCAGAAGACCGTCACCGATTCTGGCAGTGAATACAGCAGCCACATCGATCATCGTCTTTCCTACATTCAGGGACACGAGACAGATGAAGAAGAAGAGAATCAACCGACGGAAGAACAGGTGCGCAGGTGGGATCACATCGAGACGGCGCGCCAATTGCGGAATCTTGGCGTCGAGCCGAAACATTGTGAGATTTTCCAGGAGCAGGAGATTACGGGAGATGTTCTGCTGGAGATGGATCAGGAATTCCTCTTCATGAAGGAATTTGACTTTGGCGTGATGGGACGGCGACTCAAGACCTGGCACAAAATCAAGGCGTTCCAAGAACAAGTTAAGGGGTTTATGCACAAACCTCGAGGCTCGGTCTCGAGCTACTATCACCCAGAGGAGCATGAACGCACCTCGAGCCGTGCCGGACACACCGGACCTCTCCTACCCAGGATCCCCAGCTTGTCTGAGAAGCCGTCGTCGCCTTACCATTCCCCGAGACTTACCGGCTCTTCGGTTCGACCGCCCCGACGGAGGTCTTTGCTCCTGCATGGCAGTCCCGGCTCTCCTTCGACGGCTAGCACGTACGGGGGAAGGGAGCTATCATCGCGGCCTTCAGCAGCGTCGATTCGAGAGCTCAATCACCGTCGTCATTCATCCATCGATACAACCAACCGTTCGGGTCTTCCCGGCCAGTCACCGCCTTCTGTACGTCAGAAGAAAGGTTCTTTCGACCGAGGCTGGACTATGTCGGCAGGAGCGCAAGCACTGTCCAGTCGACCTGGAACCGCCGTGGACGCCACAGACGAAGACAGGTTCCTTGAACAGACCAATACCTCCGACACTTCTCTCAACGCGGCCGATAGGGACTCTCTTGACCGGGGCTATTTCTCCGGCGGCGAGGTCGACTCGCGCCGAACTCGTAAGCTGCTGAGGAAGCGAGACTCCCTTGTGGGAAGCGCCAATCATTCGAGGAAATCGAGTTACGTTGACGACCAAATTCGATCGACGTCTGGCAACCATAGGTATTTCCGCTTCGGCAGCACCGATTCCGGCCGGGAGCCGCCAGGTCATGTCTCTGCCGCTGCCAAGGCCTATCATAGCGGTTCCCTGAAAGGCCGGGCCAGAAGCTCCGGCAGTCACGATCAGCGATCGACCAACCTGGAGGAGAAACAAAGCGGGGGTCCTTCATTCTTCTCGCCGTTTGTCCCTAGGCGCGATTCCGAGAGTACGGGCCGTTCGTCACCAACGCCTTTCCAGCAGATCAGGAATGTTGGTCCCAAATTTCGCCGTGCTGTTGGTCTCCGTGCAACGTCGGATGGTGGGAGTGAAAAGACCCAGGAGCAATCTCCGGTTACGACTTCGCCCGTCAAGGAGTTCTCTCTGCCGTCAGGTCGAACGGGGTCGACTACACCCTCCGCAACGTCCAAGAGTTCCGAACGCCATAGCACCGATGGGTCTGGGAAAGCAACGGAGGGAACTCTATCTCTGACGCGACCAAGGGCACCATCCAAGGTGAGCAGCAAGTCGAAGAAGGACACGAGCGCGTACATGCGTGGGTTGGAAAAGAAGACTCCCCAGGAGCAAATGGTGGGTTGTGACTACTGTGGCTGGATGAAGAAAAGGTCCGCGAATATTATGACGACCTGGAAGCCTCGTCTCTTTGTTCTCCGTGGTCGGCGGCTGTCCTATTATTACTCGGAAGATGACACAGAAGAGCGGGGCCTTATTGACATTACGGGTCACCGCGTGCTGCGTGCGGATCAAGATCCTTTCACCGCACTGCATGCTACCATCACCGGGGCGATGACTTCACCCACATCTCCAGGCACTGTAAGCAATGACGATGCCACGTTCACTCTTGAAAAATCGTCGGATGCGTCGGGCTCAGGGAAGACCGCTTCGCATTCTCAGACTCCGTTTTTCTTCAAGCTGGTCCCTCCCAAGAGTGGCATGTCTCGTTCTGTGCAGTTCACGAAGCCGACGACTCACTACTTCCAAGTCGACAGTGTTAAAGAGGGCCGACTTTGGATGGCCGCGCTGATGAAGGCAACAATCGAGCGGGATCTGTCACGGCCCGTGGAGACGACCAACAAGCAGAAGACCATCAGTCTCAAGCAAGCGCGGGCCTTGAATCAACGGCCGCCTGCACTGATGGACCTGCCGAGCAAGGAGACTGGCGACTCGGACGCCAAAGAAGAAGACACCGGTTTGAATATCAAAGGTCTCAGCCTTGAGAAAGAAGCCGACTCCAGCGCCGACAAGTCCTCTTCGGCTAGCGGCTTTGAGCCTGTTCCCTCGGCTGCACTCCCAGAATCACTCGCTGAGTCGATCTCGTAGGAAGCCGACCGGCTCTCCCCTTATTGAGGGATCTTTGCTGGTCGATTTTCTCTTTGAATTTTCTTTGTTGGTCCTTAATATCTTTTCTTCACTGTACCAGAGCTCTTGAGGTTTCTACAGATTTATGTGCATTCAAGCTTGCTTGATGACTTTAGAGGGCGTTTTCCGAGATATACCCTTCGTTTGACGACTTCTTTCTTTCTTTCTTTGCTTCTTCAGCCCCTTCTTGGTTACCATGATATGATTGGACATGAACATGAATGAGGATGGGATTGCGAGCTACGTTATGGATGATAAGGGTGATCTCTGCTGGTTTAAGAGGTGGAATTGCCTGCCCAGCGTTTGGCTGGGGTGTATCTGGGGCTCGTATGATGTATATGCATAATTGCTTTCCCCTAATGTCAATTTAAATTGATATTCCAACAACGTTTTGTGTAAAAGTAAGTGATCTGTAGTTATTATTATTTATTTATTATCTTTACTAGGCAAGCCTGGCGGGTACCGGGAGCACTGTTTAGCGTCCCACTCTCCCTTTCCAGAGCGGCAGCCGATACGGAGTAAACTTGGAGAAGGACAAACATAGCAGAAGCCCAACGGGAGCAGTCATGTTCATTGTTTCCTGCGTCACTCCTTTCTTTTCCTTCTTCGTCTGTTGATTGGTTAGATTATGCACCATTGGTATATACCGTAACTTCATGCCGCCGCTTTAATTTCTAGTCTCTGGTCTATATACCCCATGTTCCTCCGCATCCTGCTCCGGCGGCTTCTCACTGTCCTTCTCCCGCTATCTGTCGCGTCGGTTCTTTACCTCTACCTGTATCCGGTCTTTCACGGCTGCGCGTTCCCTCTCCCTAGCAGCAGAACCAAGAGCGACTCTTCCGCCTCGTCGTTTGCGTCCAATGCCTTCATAAACACCGTCTTCCAGCACATCACCACAAACGGGAACCACCCTGCACCGGAACCTGCAATCTTCCGACTCCTCGTTTTCGCAGACCCTCAGATCGAAGGCGACAGTTCGCTCCCCGGGCCGGACGATGAATTCGTTTCGCGTCTGCGCCGGCATTGGGCTGCTATCACGGCAGCGCTGAGGACGACGGCAGCGCTGAGGACGACGACGGATGGGAATTCGAATTCAACCACCGCCTCCTCCTCCCTCTCCTCCGATGATAATAACACCGTATCGCCGGATTCTCCTGACCGGCCGGCACCGTTCCTCTCCGTCCTCCAGTCCGCTCTTCGAGCCGTCATTCTCGACGATATCCCCTCTGCGCTTCGCGCGGCGCGAAAACGCTTGGATCTGTTCGGGAACGACTACTACCTGGCGCATATCTACCGGACGCTGCACTGGTGGAGCCGTCCGACGCACGTTGCGGTGTTGGGCGATCTGATTGGGAGCCAATGGGTGTCGGACAAGGAGTTCGAGCAGCGGGGATGGCGATACTGGAACCGCGTCTTTCGCGGAGGGGAGCTGGTGAGCGATGATATTACCATTACTGGGAAGAAGAAGAAGAGAGATCAGAAAGAAGGGGATGATGGGGAGCAGGCACCCCGGCTGGAGGTGCTGCAGCGATACGACTCTCCCTGGGCGAGGAGGATCATCAACGTCGCTGGGAACCATGACATTGGGTATGCGGGTGATGTGAGCGAAGCCCGGTTGGAGCGCTTCGAACGCGTCTTTGGCCGTCCGGATTGGGATGTGCGGTTTCAGCATCCGCTCGAGGAGGGCATTTCCTCTAATTCTACAGTCACATCGTCGCCTACCCTCCACATCATCAACTTGAATGACCTGACGCTCGACACTCCCGCGCTCGTGGAACAGATCCAATCCGACAGCTACGACTATATCAACGGGCTCATCAACCACCGCTCCTATCCTGTCGAGGATCGCACCTCATTCACACTCCTCCTGACGCATGTGCCCCTACACAAGCGCGAGGGCGTCTGCACTGACCCGCCATATTTCACTTTCCACGAGGAGGACGACCAGTATGGCGAAGACGGCGTCCCGCGCTTCAAGAGCGGTGGACTGAGGGAGCAGAACCACCTCAGCGAGCACGTCAGCGTCAATGCCATCTTGCAAGGGATCTTTGGCATGAGCGGGGACGAAAACACCGCGGGCGGTGGACGGGGTCGAAAGGGGCTTATCCTGACGGGACACGATCACACCGGCTGTGACGTTGTCCATTTCGTCAATCGATCTTCTCGTCCTTCTGACTCACCTTCCCAGTCCTGGCACTGGGACGCAACACGCTACTCTCCATCTGCCTTGTTATCACCATCACCATTGAAGGAATCTCCCTCAATCCGAGAGGTTACCCTGCGGTCGATGATGGGCGAATACGGCGGAAACGCCGCCCTCCTGTCGGTATGGTTCGACCCGGACCCGGCCGTGAAAGAGTGGCAGTACGAGATCAGCATGTGTGCCGCGGGCGTCCAGCACATCTGGTGGGCCGTCCACGGCGTTGCGCTGGCTACGTGTATTGGGTTGATTTGGGCCACGGGCTTGTCGATGGTGCACGCCTTCCAACTTGTTGGAGGGAGAAGCACACCGACAAAAAAGATGGCGACGAATAGTCCGAACGGAGGAGTCAAGCATCCGATCCAACACGTAGAAAAAGAAAAGAAGTCAACGTCGAACTAACTAATGTAAATAAGAAATAGGAAAAAAGGGTCATTGCAATATATACAATGTAATATCATCATCTAGTCCAGATAGATATCTAGACGGGATACCAATAATCCGATTGATCCCAATTAATCAAATCGAAAAAAAAAAGAAAATAGAAAGAAAATGAACACTTAAAACTGACTTGCATTGTGGGATATCTCATCTCTTCTCCACTGCCTACCTAAATAATAATAATTATCAAATCTTAAACGCCGATGCCTTAGAAAACAAAGAAGCACAAAAGGGGATAATTGTAATAAAAAAAGACAGCACAGTCTCTCTCTCTCTGTCTGATCATCTGCCACAACCAGCTTTATCTTTTTTTTGGACACAGCAAGCAATCAAGCAAGCAAGTAAGCAAGCTGTTCTTTGAAATCGAAAAAATTGAACTTGAAACAAATCCCCATCCGAATGAACCACAAATGACACTGGTGATGCTGATGATGCTGACTGAGATGTACACAATAACAAGACAAGGCCAGTTAGCAGATTGTGGGGAATAAAAAGCACATGATGCACAAGATCGTGTAAAAGGTTAGGTCGTCATACGCCCAGAGAGAAGTGGATATTAGAACCGATGGGGGAAGATGCAATGCAAATCAAGTCAAATCGACAAGCTGGAAGGGCACAGGGAGCGTCTAATCTGCAATCGGGGTCATCATTTCCTCGAGAACGGCCTCCTCGTCCGACATGGGGTGCTCAAACATTTCTTCGGCTCTGACGTGATTGCCATCCGTCTGAGTCTGAGTCTGAGCTTGAGCCTGACCTTGATCGGTACCATCTCTGCCTTGGACCAGACCCATGAATTGACCCGCAAATTCGGCGACTTCGTTGGCCAGTTTCCGCTCGAGGATATCCTCCAGCATCTCCATGTCCTTCTTCCACTTCTCCTCCTTTTGGCCCTCTCCTCCTCCGCCCGTCGGCAGGTGCCGTCCTCTTCCCGCAATTTCTGGCAATTCGGGCAAAGGTAATTGACCTCGCAGTAAGAGCAGGTACAAGGAGGGTTCTTCTTGATGCAGTCCTGGCAGACGTGAACCGAGCAATTCGTGCACTCTCGCAGCACGCTCGTACAACGCTGTCGTTGGTCTCCAACTGGCCGGTACTGAGGGCAGAAAAATGACTGGCAGCCCTGCCATTTGGGGATTTCCACAGCAGCGTCGTAGTACACGGACGAACGGGATGAAGAACGTGAAAGGTTCGAGTTGGTTGGGGAGCGGCTCCGACCAGCCCGCTGATCGGGTAGAGGGTCCTCGTCCGCGTGCTCGATGAATTCTTGCAGGACACCGGGATGCATTTCCGTCATGCTCGGGGCGACGCGCTCCCCCGCAATACTGCTGGACGCAGAATGTGACTGCAATCGGGATTCATATTCTGACAAAGCATTTGTTCGTGACCTGTTCAATGCTGGTTGCTTACTTGATAACCCAATTGAACCGCCCGATCTGCTTCCAGCTGAGGCTTGCTGATTTTGTAGCGACATCTTCTCCAGGGCCAGGTCTCGATACCCACATATGCGTAGACGAAGGCCGCGGAGATCGTGTTCCATGCAAAGAGGTTTGGAGCAGCTCTTGCAATTTACCTTCCACTGTGGGGAGTCATAACATTCCTGGCAGAGGTTGCGCGGACAGGTCGAGACCTGACGGCCGGGTGGTCCCAACAACCAACGCATCATCTCCATGTGTCCCGTCTTCAACGAGTAGTCTGGTCTCTTAGGATCACCGTAGGCATATCTGGGGAAATTTTTGCACCATTCGCTGGGCGAGTATTCAGGGTCCTCAAAACCTTGTCCCCTGGGTAAGGGTGCTGCACGGACCAAATCTACATCCCGGCTCGTCGTGCCAATGCTGATACCCCCTCCGCCAGAGAAGATAGGCTCCGTGCAGCACCAGTGGAATTTGAGAGCGGGATATTGATTAGGCCCGGCAGGAGTCGGGTTGGTTCCTGCCGCTTCTTCCGGAGAAGGAGGTTCTTGCATGAGGCAGGGAGAAATGGTTGCACCAGGCGCCCACCATAGTGAGTTTCCAGCACCAGCGGTAGTAGAATTTGCTGCAGGACGATGATATGGTCGATCATACGCGCAGCTCGCACAGAGCGTCTTGCGGCAGCCAACACAATGCATAAGAACACTGCATTGCTCACACCTCTCGGGGATATCCTCGAAGCACTGATCGCACTTGATGTTCTCGACAAACCGTCTATGACTCTGGCGTAGATGAGCAGGAACCATCTTCCCTTCGCCACTGCTCCATCGATCGCCGGTTCCCAGAGGTTCTCCATTGAACCCGGTCTCGTCATGTTCCCAGAGTCTCCCGTCCCGTTTGGTCTCCTGTGTTCCACTATCCGGCGAGGAACCAAGCCAATTCTTGGACCGCCATAGTCGATCGAACACCACCCAGACCTCCGGAGATCCGTGTGGGACCCTCATAGAAACGTAGCCTCTTCGTCGAAAGCACCGGCCAGCGGGCGTCGTACACCATGCAGTATCGGTCCAGATTCCCAGTTTGTGGCACAAGTTGACCAGCTCATGCGTAGGCTCGGAATCAGAATCTCGTCGCAACAGCGAAGAAGAAAGGTACGGTCGTCGCCGATGGTGACGACATCGATAGGTGTAAAGGCTCTTCAGCGCAAGTTTCTTCTTGGCCGGAGAACTGCTAGGGTTCTTTTCCATGTCCACGTCGTATTGCAGCCCAAACATGGTAAGATACGGAATGATGTGGTATTTGAGAGAGACATTCTTGCATCCGCGGACGGAGAGATGCTCCAATGTCTCCCGCCGAGAGTGCAGGACCGTCGAAATCAGAATCTGACCAGAGACTGCGGTGTTATCGAGCTCCAGACTTCTCAGACACGGGCTGAGCGGCACCACGACCATCATCAAGAGCTGGTCCAGTGCATATGGGCGTGACTGTCGCTGGGTCGCGGGATCTGGACTGCCGGGCAGCAGAGGCCGAGTCTGGGATCCGGACGGATAGAGCAACCGGAAGGAAAGGTATTTCCATGCTGTCGGGTAGGACTGGAGGAATTTTCGGAGGTAGGAGGAGGTGTGATACAGCTGAAAGATGGTATCGGTCGGAATTTGGAGGAGGAGGGACTCGAAAATGGGGGCATGCGTGGAGAAAACTCGCTCGAAGGTGGACAGACGACGGTGACCAGGAACCGATGTCGAGGGATCCGCTGCGGCATCTACCCGAGTATCCATTGATGCAATTCTCCCGTCAGCTAATAGGCTGGCATTCGATTCTTGCGTAGTACCCGGGCCGTCACTGTGAGACATGATGGCGAGGTCTCACGAGGGAGGATAGACTCGACCGGGGGGAACGGAGGACGAACGCGGAGAGCGTAGATGAGGGAGCGGCAGTGACCAGCATTATCAGCAGAGCTGGTTCAAAGAACCCAACGAAGAGTTGTCAGGAGCAGCGAAGGATTGACGGCCATCTGGCAAGGTAGGTGGCAGATATCAGCGCGCGACCAAAGCGCTGGCTGGAGCAGAGGTTGTGGAATACGGACTGTCCACGACGCCCAGCTGCAACGTTGGCGCCGGCACTGCGGTTGGTTGAGAGCGAGCGCCGTCATGTGATGGTGCATTCACTCAACTACGCCAGCATCTACTGAACACAGAGCGAGTTTCTCTCAGAATCAGTTATTTGCCGATGGCTTAAGTACTTTTTTTATTTTATTTTCAGGCTAGAGATCATGGTCTCTGCCGTAGGTATATACAGTACATGCAATGATCTCGGGAGTCAGCGTCTTTCTGTAGACTCCCCAACCGTATATCCTCTTGCAATTCCTTTGCGCCCCTCTACAACAAGCGTGCTGTCTGCTTGATCATCCTCGTCGTATCTAATATCGAAATCACTCCCCAGACCTCTCCACGTCCGTTGGGACCGCAGAAATTCTGCTCCAGGCGACACGGTCCCACCGATGGTAGCTATATCCCCCTTTGCACGCTTTGCCAATGCTTTGGCAGCACCAGAGCTTCTACTAGACGATTGTGTGCTTCCGGAGCCATACCCTGCTACATCCCGCATAGGACGAGAATGAGAAACATACTGACCGGTCCGTAAGTCGAATTCTGGGGGAGCGGACTCGAAATCAGACGATTCGTCTTCACCAGTCTCTCGGGCAGCGTCATCATCAGCGGAGGGAGCTGATTCACCATGGTGGTTATCTTGATCAGCCTGCGATGATTGAGCAGCATCCAAGATGGTCTGGTAGTCGCTTCGCCACGCGCCCGTCCAGATACGGTCCGCGTCGCTCTTGAGAGCAAGCTCCAATTCGAAGGGTGTGATCAGGGGTTTCCAAAAGTCCTTGCTATCGACAAGAGAGCTCTCCCAGCAGCCGATTACGACCCACCCTCCGATTTCACTGAAATTAGCCACTTTGGCCGCGTTGAGCTTGCCCACCACAAACATGTAGCTCTTCTTACCTGCGGCGGCAATTTGTTTCTTGACATGGTCCACGATATGGAGGTAGTTTTTCACACTCAGAGTGTTGACAAGAATACCAAATATCGGTACCGTGCTCAATGAAGTCAAGATAGCATAGCGGCGGCGCAGAGCTGCCGCAGTGGACGCCTGCAGTGGCTTCACTTCCTGATCAGACCCTGATTGTTCTGTAGGATAGATATGAATGGCTGCAACCCTCGACGACAGGGTGAGGAGCAGCGCCGTTGGAGGGTCGGAGATGTGAAACAGCTGCCACTCGTTCAGAAGTTCTGGATTGTCCTTGACAGACTCTGGAACTGTCCGGTTCGGTATTGGGGATGAGGGATCATGAACCACCGAAGTGGCAAAGAGGTTAGTATAACCCTCCTGGACCAGTCGATCATAGACTGCGGGGACATGGTCTGAGTAGGTCACATCGGCAGCAATGATGATCTTCGACGTGAGATCCGGATAGGTTTCCCGGAATGCCTTGACAAGGGGATCCAAGGGTAAAGGCTTGTGGGTAAATACATATATCACCGGCAATCGTGCGGTGGGCGAAAGGCAGGCTCGCCCATAGTGTACCACGACGTCGGCATTGACATGTTCTGCAGCAACTTCATCGACACAGCAAGTTCCATAAGAGGTATCTGCAAGGATATACAGCTTGGGAGGCTGTTCTTGTTCTTGTTCTTTTTCTGGAGGACTGTCATTGACCTTCAACTGGGACACAGGTTCGACTAGATCGGGCTCAGACTCGGACGTGTCCTTCGCGTGGTCGCCAGAAGCGAGCCCGTTGGCATGAGTCGAAATGTCTTTAATGTCCTTTTTCTGTAGACCACGACTTAGAAGCTGGAAGACACGAGGCGCATCCGGTAGCATCTCATCCGGAAATTGCAGGGCGATTCGCTTCCATCGTCCCCGGCGAATCTCCGTCAAGGTACGCTCAATATCATATATGACGGCAAGCTCCTCATCTGATCGTGCGGGGCCTGAATCATGGGGACTTGCCACTGGAGCAGTGGCATCTAACAGGCGTGTATCTGGAGTTGACAAAATAGGCGCCGCTTCCATGTTGCTGCCAGCCATCTTATCGAAAATCCTATGCGCTTCGTGGATGCTGGCTCATTCTCTTTCTTGCAATCACAATGGTGGGGTTCCTGTATCTGGAATTTTTTTGTCTGCAAAGCTGCACACGTGGTCTTCCTGGGCTGCCGTAATTATGCACGGTACGGAGTACTATTTCCGTATGGTTACCGTCTCGCAGCCAATCATAATCTAGCTAATTACAAGGGGACTGTCTAGTACAACTTCTATGAATCAGAATATGCAACAGCGATACTGGCGCAGGAAACTTCATTGCGGCATATTATTTGGATACAATATATCTATCGAGGGTTCAGAGGTCTGCTCTGGCAGGCTCGCCAGCCCACACCCTCCGGATCAGCTCGCGAATCGGTTCCCTTTCGATCTCTCTCGGGTTCCAGTATGGGTTGCTCACAGCGATATCTGCTGCCTTGTCGATATCTTCTTCCTTCATGCCAAAGTCTTTCAGACCCCTCTTGACTTTGAGCTTCGTCAGGAGGACATTCAGGCCATGAATCGCATCGCCGTTGCTCTCCGGAAGAGCTTCTGCCAGCTTCTTCATGGCTTCTGGGATCTTGGGAGCGTTGTAGGAAATCGCGTGAGGCAGCACTGCCGTGTGTGTCTCCGCATGAGGCAGGTTGAAGCTGCCTCCCAGAGTATGGCAAAGCTTATGGTGAATGGACATGCCCACGCTGCCCAGACATGTGCCACAGAGCCATGCTCCGTAGAGCGCTAACGACCGGGCAGATGGCGACGACGGGTTCTCTACAATCTCCGGGAGCGCGCTGGCCAGAGCACGGGTCCCTTCGACGGCGAAGAGGTTGATGACAGGGTTGGTGTTGCGGGCATACAGAGCTTCCACTATTGACCAAGAACTATCAGCGCTGTGTTCTGTTGGCGCCAGAACTATGTGTGTAAAGAAAAAAGCGTACCTGCGTGAGCGATAGCGTTTACTCCACTAGTCGCGCTCATAGCAGCTGGCAGGGTCATTGTCAGATCGACGTCGTAGATGACAGTTCCGGGCAGGATCTTGGGATCAGTGCGAGTCTTCTTCAGACCATCAGCGGTCTCTCCCAGAATCGGCGTCATCTCACTGCCCGCGTAGGTCGTCGGAATGCAGATATGCGGCAGGCCCGTCCGGATGCTGATGGCCTTTCCCAGGCCGATCGTGCTCCCTCCACCGATGGAGACCACGCAGTCGGCTCCCTGCTTCTTTGCGTAGTCGAGGGCCTTCTCAGTCACGTTGACGGGCGTGTGCATGGTGGCTTCTGTGAAGATACCAGCGACCTTGCCTTCGAGCACACTCTTGAGGTCTTCGGCCTGGTTGACCTGCTGAGGCGTCGAGAGCAGCAAGGGAGCAGACAGGTTCAGGCGGGCAAGCTCTTCCGGAAGCTTTTTGATGGTGCCATTGCCAAAGATCACCCTTCCGGGATTGGGGCTGTACACGAAGGGATCCATTTTCTTCAACTGTCGTGTGCTGCTTGACGCTGTCGAATAATGCAAAAACGACGTCGAGCGCGTTTTGAGGAAGGAGCAGAACAGCCGGCTGTAGTAGAGCATCATCGAGTATATAAACGAGGCCCTGAATTTCCCGACATCACCTTTTCATACCCCCCACCCGCAAAGTCCCTGTTCTCCAGTGCCATTGGAGAAGACCGTCCATCATAACCCCATAGCATTGTCACCGTGGTCGCAGGTTCCAGGGAGTAAGATAGTTTCGTGGGGCAACCGGCAGTTCGTGACGGGAGTAAATCATTATTTACCCGCCGATTCTATCAGCTTCGGTCGACCATGGGTTTACGTAGCTCTAGCTCTACCATACCAGTCAGGATGGATCATCATAATCCTAGTTGGATTTTTCTGATAAGATACTTAGCAAACCTACTTCTGAACGATTGATTCTGATCGACAATACAAAGGATATCAGCATGATGCCGGGGTTCGTTGACCCCACTCCCCACTCCATCCCATCCGAGAGCCCCGCTATCTCAAGAGTAGAAGTTGCTGAATCAGCTCTTGATCAGCATGCGGAATGATGCCGCTCTTGATTGCGATTTCGTTCTATCCTTCTGCTTTGCGATTCCAATTTTTTTAAAAAAAAATGTGGTTGAGAACGATTGATTTTGATGGCTAGTATGTACAGTACAGCATTGACATGATATCATAGAACAGGATACATGAGGAACGACCAACCCAGAATGACTCCCGAGAACACCAACGATGCAATTCCTTAAAAAGACCTGTTACTCTTTTGCATACCAGTCCAGCCTGATATCCGCTTCGTTCTGCTTGTGATATTCAATCGAGATCCTTGAATGCCATAACGTGCTGTCCCCCGCTTCGGTCCTTCCCCTTGAATCGCTTCCGCTTCTTGCGTCGCTTTTTGCTCTCCTTCTCTTCGTCACTGTCGTCCTCGTCGCTATCGTCGTCGCTATCATCACTATCACTGTCCATCATCCGCTTCCCGGGCGCCCCATTCACGTCCCCATCAGCTTCATGCCATACTTTCACCACCTGGCCACCTCCACTGACCATGCGTCCCTCCACATCAAAGCCAAGGCTAATAACTCCTTCAACCTCATCATGAGAGACCCGAGACACGACCTTGTTCGTGCCAATTTGGACAAATGAGATGCGTCCGTCAGCCTGACCGACGGCGATCATTTTGCCTTTGCCCAACTCGTCTGGCACCAATGTCAACGACTCGAGAGCTTCCCCGCGGGCAACATAGATCCTCTCATCCTGATCGTCCCAGGCACCCTTTTCCCACAAAGTCAGGACGCCTGAACCACCACCAACGATGATCTTTTCTCCAACACTAGTGCCGCTCGAGGGTAGGCCTCCGATGTACACAGAACTAATCAGTTCTTCCTCTTGATCTTCACTCCGAGCTATGACACCCTTTCGTAGGTCCGTGACCGCAAGCGTGGTTCCGCCTGTGGTGACCCATTGTTTGCTGAAACCGGAGGTGCTTGTCTCGGAGGGAGGTAAGGGGGTGAGAGAAGAAACGTAGTCGTCGTGCGGATGATGCGTCTGCTCTGGCCGTGCAGAGACTTTGGAGTATGGTACACGGAGGTCATAGAGATAAAGGGCACTGGAATCTGTCGCTAAGATGAGAGTCTGGGGCGAGAGAGCATGGATAATCGCTGGCGCATCAATATCTGAACTCGAGCTACAAGCACAAAGTGTCAGTAATTCGTGGACTGTAGGTAGAGCAGCTTGAATGAAAACAACAATTGAAAGCCGCTCTCTCTCCTTCTTTTATTTTTCAAGATCAATGGGCAGCCCTACCCGTCCGTCACCGGTGGAATCGCAATTTTATTTTCCACGACCCCCGTTTCGGCCTTTGCGGCTTTGACAATCCCATCCGACCCTGCAGAGTAGAGAGTCTGGCCGTCAATTCCAAAGCCTAAGCACCTGCAACTCCCCTTGTGTCTTCTCGTCGACCACATGGTGTCTATATGGCCGGTGCCATTCGTCGACGAGCTCCTGGAAGCTCCGTCATCGTCGCTGTTGACCGCCGTGAAGGGAAGCCGAAAGGTCTTGACATGGCCGGTGGAGAGGCCGACGGAGACAATGGGTTCCTTGGGATGGATCGCCTGCGAGAAGAGATCGGAAGGTAAGGGAAATGTGCAGACGGTGTCGAACATGGCGTCTGGCCGAAATCTCAAAGTCAATGCAGATCGCGAGGCGGTCTCCGCGAGGCGGATCACTTGCATTTTTATCCCGGAGCTTAGTACTATGGAGCACTAGCTCAGGGTCTGGACGGGCCGACTATCTTCCGAATGTGTGGGGTGCGTTGTCTAGAAGACATCTGCATCGGACTCAGGACTCATCGAAGTTGAATTTTTCAACAGGTGAGTGTTTCTGGGAGGCGTTGAAATTGAAATGCTCTTGATGGGTGCGTGGGGGGAGAGATGTCTGGTGCTCGAATCATCTGTTTGACTCACACTGAACCTTCCACTCTCAAACAACATCTGCTCAGCTAATCAGCGCGTCGAGACGACACAAACAGAGAGTCTTACCTGCATTCCTTTCTTTCGATGTTTCGCTGCCACTTCTGATCTTAACAGAAATGGACATCTCACTGTCAACAAGAATAAGAGTTTGTATGTCAGTAAAAGGACTATTTTATCCACGAATCCACCAGTCTCTTCTACCCCCTTTGCAAGGATACACGCCGTTAAGTCACGGGACTTTGACAGTGCGTCCGACCTAGGCTGTCTTCATGATCCTAACTTTGATGGATCTGTCTATTGAAATAACTCTGGACGAAGGAAAGGGAAGAAAATATATTACAGTTGAGAAAATGTCGATTGGACGACTATCTTCGCTGCAACAAACGAAAACATCGCCGGCCTCACGAGTCTCAATTTTGATTTCTCCTTGGTGAAGTTTGAGGCTTGACAAAGCGCCAGGGGACGGAAAGACGCAGAAGAAGGAACTTTCACAAGACCTGCCATGGATTGACTACGTGACAATTTGCTGTGAATTCACATCATACTCCTAGGTTAGTTTCATCGGATCTCCCTTCGGCAGATGTATTAATTTTATAATTAGCATATTAGCATACGGAGTTTGTTGAGCAGACATCCTTATCTGTCTTTAGCGTAAATATCTTCAAGATACGCTAAGCATCCAGGAAAATCCCAGGCCCTTCAGAATAAATGCAGGTACGTCTTCGACAATTTCCGGATATTTATTTCCCACCATCCAAAACCATCGATGGATTATTCGTACTCAGCAGCAGAGAAGCAAGGAGGTGGAGATTTCCTGCGACGTATATTTACATTTTCTTTAGTTTCGGCAATTACCCGGCGCTAAGTTATCCACTTCAGTATCACTGTCGGGGAGATGTGTTGCTGGATGCAGATATGCTGTATTTCGAATATCGTGACCCGAATTACGTGCTTTCGCCCTCAAAACATTCGCACACATTCGCCAACCGCAGTTCAGACGCGATTTGCTATTGAGTCCATATTAATGCACCCTTTAAAACCAAACAGGAAGCTCGATCAAATCAAAAATGGCGTTATCATTATTCTCCATTTACTCCGCAGCACTGAGGGTGCTATTCCAGATGACACCATCTGTCATGAGAATGCCACCATGGAAAGGGTCTTCTCTAGTCTCATTCTATCGACCAGGATACAAAACAATAATTGCACTGGGCTTGGCTATCAGCTAAGAAGGCGAATACTGTCTATATATTGACCATATTATTAGCATATATATATGATAATGGGGTCTCGTTTCTTCTACCGTCTGCGGACTTTGTTGGGAGACCGGGGACCGTCTTCCTCTTCCTCATCCTCATCCTCACCATCTCTTAGATATATACAATATAGTCTGTCGTGACCATTTACCCCTCTTCTCGCCCATCATGTCAGGCCCGGCTGATTCTGATCCACAAAAAGGCCCCTTGGAGAACAGAGTCAAGGAAGTTCGAGACCCTACCACCACTCCCGTGGACGAGAACACACCTCTTCGGGGCACGATCAGAAAAGAAGATACTGCTGTATCCGCATCGAGCAGCATCACTCCCAGTGTAGACGCGTCCGAAGTTTCTGAGAACCCCTTCGCCGATCCTGCGGTCGCTGCGCACTATGCCGCATTGTACGAAAAGGCCAAGTATGAATGCCGTCATGTATTTGATCCGAATCTGCAGTGGACGCCACAGGAAGAGAGGAGACTGGTCCGGAAGCTGGATTGGCATGTTTGCTTGTGGGCTGTAAGCAGAGACCCGGCAACATGCTCACATGACATTGTCTTGCTGAATATTCCTTCTGTCAGTGTATCATGTTCTTTGCCCTGCAGGTTGATCGAGGGAACCTGAGCCAGGCCGTGTCGGATAATATGTTGGATCAGCTTGGTCTGACGACGAATGGTACGTATGTGCATATGTATGTACTCTTTGCTAGCCGACTTGATACTAACGCCTCATAGACTTCAACCACGGTAAATACTCACTCTATCACACTTCATATAAATGGCGTACTGCGAGAAACCCAATCTGATATTTTGTAGGAAACACCATCTTCCTGATTTCGTTCCTCTGCGCGGAAATCCCCTCGCAGCTCATTTCGAAAAAGCTTGGTCCGGATCGCTGGATTCCGACGCAGATGACGCTGTGGTCGATCGTGGCCATGTGTCAGGTGGCTCTGACGGGGAAATCGAGCTTCTACGCGACACGCTCTCTTCTGGGAATGCTTGAGGTTAGCCAATGTTTTTTGGTATAGTGGACCCTGGCTGTCTGTGGACTGACATATTTCCATCAATACAGGGTGGCTTCATCCCTGACCTCGTGCTGTGGCTGTCGTATTTCTATACGAGTCGCGAACTTCCCATCCGGCTGAGGTATTGATATCCCCTTTATAAATATGGATGTTCACAACGATAAATAACACCAAATAGCTTCTTCTGGGCCACCTTGAGTGTCACCGGGATTGTCACCTCGCTGCTGGCATTCGCCCTCCTCCATCTTGACGGTGTCCATGGACTGGCTGGGTGGAGGTAATATCTATCTCTTCCATATGGGGATTGTTCCGCGCTAACAATGCTCTATCATTTTAGATGGCTATTCTTAATCGAAGGGATGATTACCCTGTCAGTGGGCATTGCAGCCTTCTTCCTCATGCCTGCGTCCGCGGTGCAGACGAAGACCTGGTTCCGGCCAAACGGGTGGTTCACAGACCGGGAGGTTGCTATTGTCGTCAACCGTGTTCTCCGCGATGATCCTACAAAGGGTTTGTCAGAAGATCTATATCACAAAGTGTTTAATTACTAAGAGAGGAAATCTAGGTGACATGCATAACCGAATGCCCATCACCCCGAGTCGGCTGTGGCGATCTCTGACCGATTACGATCTGTGGCCGGTAAGATAAATCTCTAGCAGCGATTCCTTTATCAAGCACGTCCTTCTAATAATGAGATAGCTCTATCTCATAGGGTTGATTGCGTATATCCCGCAATCGCCTCCGGGTACGTACCTGACGCTATCGCTCCGAGCTCTGGGATTTAACAAGGTATGTACATGCTATGAAATCCTTTTATATACTTCTTTGATATCGTTTGATTTTTTCCATTCTATCTACGTATGTACAGGATGTGTGTGCTGATCAGTTTACGAACGGAATAGTTCAACACCAACCTCCTAACGATCCCTAACACCGTGGCCGGCATCTTCACTCTTCTGGGCATCACCTGGCTGAGCGAAAAGGTCCGCGAGCGGACCTTTGTCAGCATGCTCCAGCCCCTCTGGACACTGCCTTGCATCATCGCATTGCGGTACTGGCCAGGGGCGCTCTCGGAGCCCTGGCCGACTTTTGCGCTGATTACCGTCCTGCTGAGTTATCCGTATTGTCACGCTATAGTAGTGTGAGTATACCTCATAATAATCCACCCAGTATGCATTCTGACAATGTCACGAATCCAGAGCATGGACATCGACAAACTCCGGCTCGGTTCGTACCAGGTCTATCTCTGCCGCAGCATATAACAGTGAGTTTCCTCTCATCTCACATATATAACCTGCCAAATCTGGTAAGAAAGTGAATGACTGACTGACTGAAAACTACAGTGTGCGTCCAACTCGGCAACATCATCTCAGCCAACATCTACCGCGCCGACGACGCGCCTCTGTACCACCGCGGAAACACGACGCTGATGATCATCAACCTCCTTGTCATCGGGCTGTTCATTGCGACGAAGATCTACTACATCTCGAGGAACCGGTGGAAGGCGAGGAAGTGGGATGCTATGACTGAAGAGGTGTGCACCTCTCTCCTTTTTCGTTTCTTGAGGACCATGAGACTGACATCCATGGCGCTGCTACAGGAGAAAAGGCATTATACTCAACATACGACGGATCAGGGGAACAAGCGGTTGGATTTCAGATTCGTTCACTAGAGCAAAATATAAATATAAACAGACATGTCTATATATACAAACGATGGAGAATATAGTCTCTCTCAAGACAAACAAATCCAAAGATATAGATGGAAGAGCTTCAATCTGTGGGGAGGGTGAGAGCATATTATCCAATTTCAATATAATATTAAGTTAAGAAGTTAATTAATTCTCTCCCTCTAGCTCTCTAGGGCAAGGAAACAGATTATTCAAGGACATAGGAATCAATCTACCATGCTGGATTATGTAGTTAATTCTCTTGTTATGCCACATCCTTTTACCAATTAGGCATACAACTTCAGATTCTGGCATGATCGGCTGGTGATGCGGAAGCAAGGAGATCTTTAGTAACTATTAGTAACGTATTAGTAAAGTGTCACAGTGGTGGCACAACAGACGAAATGGCGTGCAGTTACCCGGTACGTCTGTCTTGGTTCTAATCCTGACAGTCTGTTTCAGAGTCAGGCAAAATCCGTCCAGATGGAGGGGCTGTGCAGGTACCTAGGTACCTAATGTCCGGCCTATCATCCGGCCGGCTGATGTTTTTGACGAATTATAGAGTCGGGGAGCCTCACAAACTAGCATGATAAACACATACTGACTGGTTTATAGAGGATGCTACGGAGTAGGAGTTTCTTCCTGGCAATTGTGGTTGCATTGAGAAGAAGCATCTAAAATGTCTTACAAAAAAACCTCGCACTCCCCTTTTCTTGTAAATCTACGGAGTATAGGTATGAACTCGATAAAAAAGGAAAGAGAGGTGGTGGACTGCCCTTTCCTCATGGAGCTAGTTTGCTCGCCTGACAGCTCTTGCCTGTACGGGCAAGTGCCCGTCGTGCTATCCGGGCAACGGCGGTCGAGCAACTGCATAGAATCTTGCTTTCTCATCCATCGTCAATTTTCGCGTCGAATTGTTCGATCATAACTGTGAGTTTGACCTACACATCAATGTTTGCACTCTACATAGCCACGTGGAATATTATGTTATTTTGTCTCTTGTCCTACTCCGTACGGAGTATATGCCTAGTGCCGTCGCCGGGAAAATGCCGAGGTTCCGACAGCGCGCTAATCGGATCTCGGGTGTAGGACTATAACCAAGTCCCCCACAGTGTCACGATGTCTCTGCAATTTACATTCTTATGGAGATACTGTTCCAGACCTCCTACATTGTAGGATACTCGGTCTGACAACGGCCATGGCGTGGCTCAATGAGGCGGTAGATTTCTTGACCGCTTCTGTTGCGCGTCCCGAGACCCGAGGCCCCTTTCTGGCCGTGACCGGGGCATCCTTCGCCCTCGGCCTTGCTCTCAGCTCCGTCTTGTCGTCGAGAAAACCACAGGAGAAAGTTTTCCCTTCTCCGTTGAAGACTCTGATCCCTTCTTTGTCAGACGCAGAGAAGAAGGCCTTGCCACTGCCCGTGGATGTGTTCCCTGGTGCGCGAGACGTTCCCACGCCCTATGGCTCGATCCGAGTCTATGAATGGGGTCCTGAAGACGGGCCCAAGGTTCTCTTCGTCCATGGCATCACCACCCCCTCGCTCGCCCTTGGTGGGCTGGCCCATGCTCTGGTAGACCGGGGATACCGGGTCATGCTGTTTGATCTGTACGAAATCACATGACCTTGCGTTGATCTTGAAAGACGGATGGCTGACTGGCTCGTTGACAGCTTTGGACGAGGCTATTCAGAATCCCCGTCCGATCTCCCCCAGGATGAGCGCCTCTTTACCACGCAGATCCTTCTGGCGCTGGCTTCCTCGCCGCTGTCCTGGACGGGCGCGGGATCTGGGCGATTCTCCCTGATCGGATACTCGCTGGGAGGCGGCATCGCCGCGGCATTTGCCTCTCATTTCCCTGAATTGCTATCGTCGCTGGTCCTGCTGGCCCCTGCAGGTCTGATTAGGGACTCCCACATCGGTCTCCAGACTCGTCTCTTGTATTCCAAGAACCTGTTTCCCGAAAGCCTTCTCGTTTCCCTGGTTGGCATGCGGCTGCGGGCCGGGCCGCTCCTGCCGGCCAAGAAGAAGGAAGACCCAAAGAAGGATGCGCCAGCAGAGAAAGCAGTCGATGCAAATGCCGCCCTCACGCAGGAGCTGTCTGCCGCGTCCCAGAAGCAGGTGCTGTCCAGGGCATATCCGAACCTCACCACCCTCGCAGCGGTTAGTTGGCAGGTTCACCACCATCCTGGGTTTGTGTCCGCCTTCATGTCGAGCATGAGAAATGGACCCATTCTACAGGAGACGCAACTCGAGTCCTGGAGACGACTAGGACGGATTCTTACGCAGCGGAAGGAAAAGCAAGAAGTCGCCGGTCTCCGACACGACAAGGTGCTGATCGTTTGCGGTGTGGACGACAACATCATCATAAAGGATGATTTCGTCGCCGATGCTACTGCCGCGCTGGAAGGGAATGTGCAATTCCGCTTCTTTAACGCGGGCCACGAATTCCCCAGCACCAGATATGAGGAACTGGCACAGCAGCTTGTGGAATTTTGGCGATAATTGTTAGATCTTACGTTCTCCTGGTCTGTGTTGTAAATTTTCTCGCGTTTACTTTCGACCACATAGACATATTATATTATATATGATTAGACGATATATCTTTTGGTTAATGGCAAATATTCCATTTCTTTCCCACGTCCACATTTCCCCCTTGTCAGTGGATGTCAAGTTCCCCACACGGGATTAAGCATTTCTCATGCGTTTGCCAGTTCTTTTCAGATCTTGCTGTCGTTATCGGTCTCCATATGAGGCGACCTGTCTCCGGATCATATTATCGCATCAACCCGTCCACCCGACGAATTTGTTCCTTCAACCTCACTTCATGCGCAGGACGATCCTGCATTCGTGCCAACGCATAGTATGACTCGTCTGCGGCATGGCAGTCATGAAATCTCTCGAAACCAGGGCGGTTCCCGCCGCCCGGCACTTGAGCCAAGTTAAGGGCATTGAGCTGCCCAGACGTATCGTTCTGATGGTTTTGAGTGGGTCTTTCAACATTAGTATGAGCATCCAATAGACCGTCATCTGGGAGAGAGTCATACTGGGCTGAATTGTTGTTGGGACAAGACATGTTGAGATGCTCAAGTTTTGTTCTCTGACGACTTTAGGGAACAAGGTTATTCTGGCTATGCTCTTGAGAGGAGCGAACAGTTCAGATGACGATGATGTGATGCGAACCAGGGAGCAAGTCCCTGGCTTTAGAGGGGTATAACAAGAAGGAACAGAACAATCTTCTCAGACTGTGATCTTGGTGATTCAAGTCGAGGATAGGCTCTTGAGGGCCTTTATATATTACAAATAGGAGCAAGCAGCTGCGCGAGGAAAGGTAGTCTGAAATGGATAAACAAATGGCAGCAAGATTCGAGCAAGGCAATTAAGTCGAAACATGGGTTCTAGCTGGGGGTGAATCCATTATTCGTCGTCCGCTGTCCACTGATATCTCGAAATACCTGTTTTGGTTTGGACTTGACATCTTTCACACCATGCTATCGCATCTTCTGCTGTCACAGCACGGCACGGTAGTGCTGTATGCTTGGCAATATCGAGAGTGGCGATCCTCAAACTTGTTCATCCGCGGCATCACAATTTCTGGATTGCGTGTGCAGACTTATTGGTTTCATGAGGACATGGAAGCCGGGCAAGATGAACACAACATCTGCCGTGTGGGATCAGGGAACCAATTATTTCTGCCATGTCAGCTCACAAATGGACCGGGGCTGATGGACTTTGATGGACCTGGCTGTCCCACAAAAGACAGGACCCCGGAACTGAAATTTTGGCCGTTCCCCACCAATAGGGGAAATGCGAAGACAAGCTTCATGCATTATAAAGCGGAATCTTTGATGTACTCAACCTTAGTGCTCACAATGGGATCAAGTGTGCCAAGCATCTCCATTCGCAGCCACGATCGGGCAGTTCATTCTGTCCGCTTCCGAGCGACAGAGCAGGGATCCTGCTTGTGTGATGAGGCAACCTGCGCTCAGGCATTGTTACCATGCCCAAGTCCAAACGGTCTGAATACATGTACATACATACATACATGTAGCTCGACACAAGTGTGCGCTGCTGCGAAGTCCCGCCGGCGCCATTATCACCGATGTGGAGACAGCGGCCATCGTCCGGGACCACTACTAGCTAATCGACTGTAAGGCTGGAAGTGGCAGGGGAGGGAAACATGGATTCACACAACGAACTTTGGAGGGGAATGCCAAGGACAAGCCCCGGCAGTTTGAGACTTCTGATGCATACTTATTAATGCGGTCTGTTTGCCACCAGGTTCGCATTTCCTGAATTTCTGAGGCTGGATAGTGCATATGTGTATGTCGTTCAGAGCTTCCCTCACGTGGCGCGCGGATGGCTTGCAGTCGATCCGCTGCGGGAGAGTTTCTTGCAGCCCCGTACGTTTGGTTTGGCATCGGACATCTTCCACTCCGTACGGCTCTTGCTAGTGACAGAGCCTCATTTCTGAGGTCCTGGAGGCAGGATCCGCCCCGGTTGGCATATCACCGGCGTTGGGCCACCCCGTCGTCTTCCGATCGAGTGTTCGAAGCACCAATCACGATGACAACCACGCAGCTACAGCCTTATCTACACACTGGGTAATTCCGACCTGTCCCTTGTGACGTTTCTCAGGTTCTGCCGTATGATTGCGAGGACGTTACACAGGAAACGGCGCGGAAAAGGGGAAAACAAAGAACGAGATCTCGTCAACACGGTCAGCAAGTCTGCTGAAAAAGAGGATAATGGCAGTGTTTGTGCTTGAGAAGAGATGCATGCCATATGTACCACAACTCCATTTGCAGTCGATGAGGATTGTTGTCGAGGGTTGGTCTAGACTGACATCCTTGCTGGCCGTCTGTTCCTGCGCTGATCGCTCTCGCCAACTGTTGGTCGAAGTCTGGACCCCCGCGTCACCTTCAGCTGCGTTGGGTCCTCCGTTCATGGACATCTACATGGAGGTAGCAGACTACCGATCCCCTCGTTATTATTAATATCCTATTGCGATCGGCCTCCTACGTTCCCTGGGCTCTGTGGGTTTTCCATGTGTCGGCTGTGTGCTCAATGCACTTCGTCCTCCATTGGGCAGCTCCATCCGAGACGGAGAATAATACAATAATGCCGCAGCGCGGTTAAGGCGGCATCGACCGCCTACAAGTACGTCGTCTTCTATCTTTCCTAGCTGAGAAATGATCCCTCTCTCCTCGCGATGTGTCCGCTTCACCCTCTAGTATGGAGCAGATACGCCACACCTAGTTATCTCGGGCGCTAAGGCACCGCTAATCATTCGCTTGGGATCGGATGATCGAAAATCAGGCCTGGAACCTAATCGACCATGGTCTCGACAATTCTCACCGGCCCCCTGTCGGTCGACGACGCCCCATTATTGCTTATTCCTTCGTCAAGGCAACTTTGCATATCGCAGCCGCTGAACAAGGCTTATATGACATACATGAAGTCCATAGGTCAACAACGGCACATCGTCCAGCCGGCTGCAGCACTGCCTCTGAGAGATGCAAAAAAAATGCTTGATGGACCGGCAGTTACGAGGACAACAGCTGCCTAAATTACGGAAGTACGGCATGTGCCCATCCTAATGAGAGGAGGGAACATTGTTGGTGTCGACCTTCCTCCGGACGGGCCAACGAGAAAAAAAAAGAAGAAGAAGCAGAGGCCATCGCGGACTAAAGTCTTACGACACGCCCCATACTCCCAAAGGATCGGCACCGCCACTGGACTGGCCGCGCTGGCGCTGAAGTTTCTTCACCCTCTTTACCAGTGTTCCAACGGAGATGGGGCCGACCATGGTGCACAAAGTAATAGCCCAAGTAACAATGAGAAATATTTCTCCAGAAGATCGTCCATCCTGATAGTCGGGCGCAGATCGCCCAAAGACTCCGTTGCTGTCCGCCACGGAGGCAATGAAGAACCCGATTTCTCCTCTACAGACCATGGCCAGACCGAGGATCGCAGCTGGATAGAGAGAGCGTGGCTTTGCCGGTAGGCGAGGCTCAGGTAGACTGGCGACTGCACGGTCGGTCTCGACGCCAGGGCCATTCTCTGGTGCAGCACGCTGTAGGGAGCCTTGCGATCTGTTCGACTCCGCCGTCGTTCTAGATGGCCCTTGTTGGTCCTGCAATTTCCCTCTGCTGGAATCTAGACCGCTGCCAGGTCCTTCTGTGGGTTGGGATCTTTTCTCTTTCCAATGAGCGGCACAGAAGGCCAGTCTGATGATGGGCGTGGATTTCAGCTTATCAATAAGCGATGAACATGAGAAGGAGATCCTAATCAGCCAGATGCCGGTCATCATTTTACCGAGCATCATCAATATTGTGTATATGATACCACGCCATGCGACGTCTCCTCGAAACATTTCCGTAATCGGAATCGAGAACCCAATGGATGCCTATATCATTAGCGATTGTTTCTTCGGCTATGAGGTAGGCAGCTTACAAAGAACAAAGGTTTGAGTATTCTGTTGACAGGCTCCTTATAGAAACGCTCGTAGACAGAAACACCAGTGGGAGCGTCTTCGTTCGATATAGCCTTTTCCACTGACTGGTCGCGATCAGAATCAGATAAATTTGCGAATCTTGATCGCTCAATATCCTGACAGGCTGAACCAGGAATCAAGTCTGTCTGGCCGGTAGGGCCTTGCATATTCGTCATTTCAGAGCCTTCATGGTTGTTGCTTGCGACCTTCGCTCTGTATGGGCGACTAGCTGAGGCGATTCCAGACGTCTCATCGAACCAACTTATCAGCGTGCCAGCCAGGTACGCGGCAAAAAGGTTGGAAGTCCCTGCATGTGTTGCGCCAGCTACCAGCCCGCTCAGTATGCAACTGTGGACTAAAAAGGCAGCATTGAATGACTTTAACACTGGCGGCAACCGTGTGGCTGCTGAGAGACCCTTTCTCAACAATGGCCCTACAATAAGCCAGCAAACTGCGAAGAGACCCGCGGCAAAACCGATGGAGACAAACACGGGTCTCATGACAGTTCTGGGACTGAATGACGATGCTGAACTTGTCCCGCCAAGATTTATAATCACTTGGACCATGACGAGGCCAACTACGTCGTCCATCATTGCTGCTCCGGTGAGCACGACCCCAAGCCTTGTCTTGGCCAGGTCGGTGGTAGATAGGATGGTGAACGTCGTTCCAAGACTGGTAGAGCAGAGAGCTGCTCCGGCAGCAAAGGCCTGCAAAGGAGTCGCGTCAGCCAGCCTTAACAACACAAACGATAGACCAATAGGGACTGCTATGCCAGTGATAGCCACCAAGGCGCAGAACAGAAAGTTCGCCTTCAAGACAGAGAACGATGTCGACAATCCGCCTGCACCCTATTTAGAAATAAAGGACACAAGTATGATCTGAAGGGTGCATTCTACTGACCTTCATAAACCAGCAGTATCAATCCTAGGTAGCCAAGTTTCTGAATCACCAACTGGGCATTCAGGTCTAGCCAATTCGCCCCCGGCACGCCCCAGGCAATACCAATGAACAGCTGTCCAACCAGTCCACAGTAGACCAGCTTGTCCAGGGCGGAATTGACCAGGTTGAGAGCCAGCAGGAAGCCTCCTTGGATGAGGACAGTGATGATGTCTGGCTCTTGGTAGGGTAGAGAAGAAGCAGTCATTTTCCCCAGTCATCGAGGTGTTCATGCACCACAGGACAGTACTATGTACGACGTGTTGTTATGTCTTCAACATTCTTCAATGATATAGGTTAAATTATGCAATCTCAAGCATATCTCAGTGGATAGTATTCTTTGTCGTCGACGTGGAGTTTGCTTCGTCGCACAAAATCCCGAGTCTTGGCATCGATATGACAAGATCAATTAAATCGCTCAAGAAACAAGATGGAATGTTTTGGGGTGCATCAGTTATAATATCATACCCTAGGGAGTTTTGTTGGGCAAATTAATCGTGGCTTTGGAGGACCCTTTAAGCCTGAAGATTCAGGCAGAGAACCCCACGTGTCAGAAGCACGTGATGGGCGGGCTACCTGACGGTTGGCGACGCATGACTGACCAACGTCAATGCAATGAATTCTAGAAATACTTATACATCGGTACGACCCAGGGCGTCACTCGTTTTTTCTATCCTTCTTTTCCTTTTTATGTCCAAGTATTGCAGGAGCCACGGCTATCGGCATGCGCTCCCCACCCGCTTGATCTGATGACTTAGTGCTACTACATCATGGTATTCCCGTGGCAGACCAACTACTACTACCATTGGCATCGGCAGAGTTCATTCATCCTCGCATTAGGTATGTGGTACATAACACAGTGGATTACCTGTTCCGAGTCTATTTCGCAATTACATGCCGTTATCCAAAAAATAATAAATTCTGGAGAGAAATCCTATATAGAACTTATTTTCTTTTTACCCCTCTCTTGAAATTGTCTCCTCTGTAATTACTCTAGCTGATTGGGTTCGAATTCTATAGAGTAGGGCTGCAACGGCCCATCGTCTCTTGATTGAGCCTGGAACATGGCCAACACCAACACCAACCCCCCATCCCTCAGCGCCATTCAGCAGCGAGTCTGGGAGGGGAGGTTACCGTTAGAGATCGTCCTCGATCCTTCAGAATGTCGCACTTATGACCAGTGTGATCCGTATCTTGTAACTTACCCCGTTGTTTTCTTTTCCTGAAATTTTTTTGTTCGCATTGCTCCTTGATGGACGAACTATTTATTAATTCGTCTGCAGATCTCCTATCCACGCATCTCCTATCTCCCCTTTTTACTACCTAAACTCCATGCATTCTTCTCCTCGTCCCTGATCGACCCCGACTGTCAGCCACATCAGGGTTGGTTCTCATTCGAAGGTGTGCCATTAAAATGGCACTATCCTGTCGGTCTTCTCTACGACCTGTACTCTGGCGCCGACCCCGTCTCCAAATCGAGTGGTGGTGCTGAGCACAATCCGGGACACTCCATTTCGATTGCCAGGAAAGACGGCGGCGAGTCGCAGATCCTGCCAGAGGAGAAAGAAAAGTCCCCTCTTCCGTGGCGATTGACGCTGCATTTCCAGAACTGGCCGGACGAAGACCTCGTTCGACTGGACCCAGACGGCATGGTGATGCACGACGCGTTTATCAACAGCGTCAAGGAGGCTGATTTTCTGCGGAATGGGAATGCCAAGGGGATCATGAGTCTGTCCAAGGAGGACTCATCTGGACTGTGGAAGGCTGTGCAAGATCGTAAGAATACCCTTTCCCCCTTCATTTTATAGTCGTGTTTTCCATTTCTGCGAATACTTCTGCTGCATAATCCTTGAAAAAGGGAACTGCAGTAACGCCAGTACTAACATTCACTTCACTAGATGACCTCGCCTCCTACCGACGCATCACAAATATCCTCCTCCCTCCTCCATCCCAACCATTCCGCAACGTCCCCATCCGATTCTTCCTCCCCCTGCCACCCGACGCCGGACGACCCTCCCTCAAAGTTGTCCAGTCGCCTCTCCCACCAACGATCACGACCTCCTCCAGCTCCACCTCCACATCCGCCTCCAGCTCCAGCTCCGGCAGCACAGATTCAGCACGCGGCTCGCACCAGCGCCAACAGCCGCAAACGATCGGAACAGCCCTCCACTCCCTCCTTCCGAATCTCTTCCCCAGTCGCAGGATCCCCGTGCTCGCGAAGCCCGTGCTTCACGGCGCCGTCGTGCCCATGACCGCGCCCATCGAGGAGGTAGTCAGGAGCTCGGCGTATGGCGACGGGTGGGCGGCGATTGTCATCTGCATGGTGGGGTAGGTCTTTGTCGCCAAACGTATATCATCTCCAATACAATATCTTGTTTGTTACTACCCAATAGTAGCGAACTTGTTAGATGAAGATTTATGATCGGTATTTTTTTTTCGAATGAAGATGAAATAAATCATGGAATATATTTTCCTTTTTCCCTTGCTTTCCCCCTTGATTAATTGACTAATTAGTTAATTAATCACTTTCTTCCTTGTTAAGCTCAGATCAAATGTCTCGTGTCCTCGTGTCCTCCACAGCGCTCCACTTTGCGCGCGGTGTGCAAACAAGTAGCGAAATCAAATCATTCTCTATCCTTATTCTCATATCGAGAATGATTGCCACTAAATTCAGAAAGTTCTTCATTTAATTTAGCCTGTACCAAAGAAGAGGGGGGGGGGGAGAAAGAAAGAAATCAATAAACTCCATCGTCTCATTATCGCCATGAAAGTGGGAATAAATTACATAATATCAGTCCGTTAACTAGGCAATGAAAGAAGAATTAATAACCGGCGCTATTGAAGAAAGAACTTGAGGAGGAGAATGAAGATGATGGCAGGAAGCTCGGCCCTGAATCTGAGACTCGTCCCCGACGAGCGTCGATCCTCCAATCTCATCTGTCGCGGCACCGTCATCATCATCATCATCTTCTTCACCATTTACTGCTTCTGAACTTGAGTCGTCGTCGATGATCGTTGAGACACTCGTCGGACGGCTTTTCCCTGCTGGCGGTGGCCGCAGGTTGCCCTCCTCGTCGAACCAGAGTCTCCCCAGGGGGTTTTTTCGAGCGAGGTCAAAGGCCGTGACGCCTCCTCTTCCTCTTCCTCCTCCTCCACTAACAACGCCATTGCTGCTGCCGTCATTGTCATTGTCATTACTCCCGGTAGTAGTGTGGATGGCTATAGAAGGACAGCTGGACGACGGCGCCACAATTGACGGGTCAGCGCCGCTTTCCAGCAAGATGCGAAAGATGGACTCGCGACCCCGCTCCGCCGCCAGGTGGAGTGCTGTCTTGCCGTCGCGTGTTTTCATATTGACCGAAGCACCCCTGGCGAGAAGAAGGGAAACCAGTGATGGACGGGAGATTGCCGCCGTCGTGGCAAGATGGAGCGCGGTTTCGCCCGTTGCGCTGTCTGAAACAGCGTTGATATCGGCGCCGTGAGATAGAAGAAGATCAATGTATTCGCCTGTTTTGTCAAGCGCGATGTCCGGTGAACCCGTGCCCTTGAAACAAGTCTGGTGGAGAGGGGTCCAGCCCTGACTCGAGGTCCTCTTCACGTCGAGACCTTTCTCAAGGAGGGTTTTCAGGATCTCCAGACAGCCGTCGTCGATGGGGGGAGTGATATGCAGCAGAGTTTCACCACTCGGTGTCTCCACTTCCACGTTGGCGCCCCGACTCAGGAAAAAGAAAAACATCGCCTTGTTGCCGGCCATCGCGGCGCACTGGAGAGCCGTATAGCCTCGAGATGTCCGTGCCTCGATGTTGGCGCCATGGTCCAGCAACTTCGCGGCGACCAACATGCCAGCCGGGTTCCTGGCCTCGTTATGGAGCAACGACTCCCCCTTTGTGTCCCACGCATTGATGTCTGCGCCTGCAGTGAGCAACAGATCAAAAGCGATCCAGTTTCCGGAGTTGGCGGCTACATGTAGAGGCGTGATGCCAAACTGCGCACGAGCTTCGACCTGAGCACCGCGTTCAAGAAGCAGGCTGAGTGCTTCACAGTTATTCAACTTTGCGGCGAGGTGAAGTGGCGTCAAGCCTTGCTTGTTGAATGCGTTGATATTCGCACCCTTGTTCAGGAGAAAGAGCAAGATTCGTGGTCGCTTATACTCTACCGCGAGGTGAAGCGTGGTGTCTCCAGAGGACGGGTTCACTGCATTTACATCGACCTTGCTTTTGACCAACAGGGGAACTGTCGCTTCGTCATCTGCCGTTCCCACAGCGACCTGAAGTACCGGGAAGCCTTTTCGATTTGTTATCGTTGTGTCGAAATTGCGCGCAAGGAGCAGTTTCATGACCTTGCGCTGGCCTCTCGCGGTTGCGATGTGTAATGCGGTGTCACCATTTTCCATTTGGGCGTGCATGTCAGCCCCGTGGTCCAGCAACAGCTCTACCATTTTCTCATTGCCCTTGTATGCTGCACAATGGAGAGGGGTCATTCCATGGCAGTTTTCGTGAGCGTTGACGTCGAAGCCTTGTTCTATAAGACGCTTTGCACGGCAAACAATGCCGAAGTATGCAAGGCTATGCAGCTGAGTCCAGCCATCTGGATATTTGCCGAGGCCGAGTTCCTGGGGTATCTCGCACGAGTTCATTGAACTCTCGTTTCTAGAAGGTCTTCTCCACGAGAGTTTATTGAGAAAAGTTGTGATCAATACTTGGATGGTCTGCTCGTCTTCGGCAGCCTCGCGCGCATGATATCCCCAGTAAGTGGCCGCATAGTTTAGGAGGCTTCCAGTTGAGCTGCGTGGGGTATCGCTGCGATTCGAGTAACAATCATCGACAACCTCATCAGCGGAAATCAGAGTGAGACAAGTCTCTGCTATCTCCTTTTGGGCGCTGGACAAGTACGCGCTGGCTGCGGCCGTCCGAGTAAAGAACTCATTTGCCGTCTTGTGGACAAGGAGCACAGTCCCGGTAACACCGTCAATTGTGAGGAGCCCACAGGTCTCGGTGAGGATCTTCTTCTCAAAGGAAACGATATCCCCGTTTGCTTTTGAGGGCTCGGCGTCCTCGTTGGTGGCAGCCTTGAGTTCTGCCACAGTCAACGGTCTGTATGCATACACGGTCCAATAAATATATCGTCTTGCGTGGGGATTTTGGCTCACTACCCGTTTCATCGCCTCGCTGTACGCTTCATCTAGACTCTCTGGTAGGTGTGAAAGTGCACTATGAGCAAGATTTTTGTCGTTGTACCTTGCCAGTAGATCGATGTGCAACTGTGCCAGCAAGAACCTAAGAAGATTGTCAGTGAGGATATAAACACCTTAGAGAAATGAGTAAACCTAGCACATACAGCCCGTGAGATTTCTCGACTATGTAGCGAACCATATCCTCCTGGAGCCTAAGGCTAGACGAATCTTCCTCGACGAGATGTGTAAGAGTAGCGTCCTGACGGATTCGCGCAAGAACATAGCGGCGAATATCTTCTGCGGGGGTAGAAGCGGGAATGTATTGGATCGAATCACGAGACTTGACCTCTCTTAAAGTGATGAAGAGTTGGACATGGTCTGGGAGTCTCTGGAGACGATTCAAAAGACGTTCTTTATCGGAGAATGTGTCCAGGCCATCGATGACGAAGAAGACCTTTGAGAATCGGTTGACTTCCGCGCGAATTGCGTGTTGATACGCTTTTGAGGATGCTTTTGCCGTCGACAACGACTCAAAATGGTATAAGGAACTGGTTGAATAAGAGAGTTCCCGTCTGCGATAGACCAATTGAGCCAGGATGTTCCGAAGAATTGTTGTCGATCCCTGATCCTTCTCTCGTTCCTTATGGCAGAAAACAAAAACAACGCCAACGTCTGGAGATAGAAAGGTCCTTTGGAGAGAGTCGACAACAGCTGACCTAAAAAAAATTATCGTTAACTAGGTTCACTAAGAGGACATCTCTGTTGCAGAAACATACGAGAGGAAAGTTTTCCCAACGCCCGCTATCAAAAGTTAGCTATGGACCTCGAAATAGGGCCCAAATCTCTCTCAGAGAAACACATACCAGGACCGAGGCAGTATAGAGACCTGAATGCGCCGTGCAGCCACTGCTTATATGTTGGATCCTCTAGTATCCACCGGCATGACCCTCGTTGTCGCCTATTGCACAGATCTGCAAGAGTGATAAAGTTCTCAGACGCAAGTCGATCCGTTTGTACGAGGATATCGTCCTCATATTGTAGGTTGTATTGCAGATTTGCTGCCAAGGTATTAATTTTTGAATCAAGAGAGATAGATGACAATGTCACCTACCGGATTCAATTTCATGGTGCCGCCGAAGACAGCCTCTAATGTCCTGGTCTGTTGAAGTTCTCTCTCTTAAACTAAGTCAGCGACGAACATCATTCATAGTCTTCTTTACGACTCAAAGTAACAATTTGTGTTCAATCCAACTTACTCCCACTCTGGTTGCATAGAGAGTATGAAGACGACTTTGTACTGCTCCAATCGAGGGATGACTATCCGCTCGAGGAGCTTCTTTCGATATTCAGGCGCACCAACGCCGCCGGGGTGAAGATAGATTTCGATCATCCGCAGTGTTGATTCGAACAGGCCTAGCAATTCATTCAACGCATCGAGCCGTGCCGGGTAGACGATCCATTTCTCATCCGCCCAGCTGAGCTGGTCGCGGACACGGTAAAGGAGGTCGAGTAGGTCGCATAGCAGGGACAAGGCCTTCTGGGATGTGTCTGGGAAATCGCGTCCACCGCCAATGCAACGCATCACAATACGAGTGAACTGAGAGGCCCGCGCCAGGCGCTCCCTGAGATCTGGAGTTTCCACCATCTTGCTGATAGAATGTCAACAGTATAAATGATGAGACAGACACACAGACAAGATGTAGACAGAAGGAAATATGCCTGGAGTTAGAGCGGCAGGATGTAATAAGGGTGCGAGCCTCAGATGGCCGAAGTTCTCATGACCCCTCGTGGCCCTGTGCGGCCAGGGTTGATTTCCCCAGACTCGCTCTTGTTTCATTTTGATAGACCAACAGCTCATCCCTACATGAACAACACGAACCGGTGCCATCCTAAGCGCCCTACCGTGACTAAACACCCCGCGAGGCGCCATGAAGACGAGGCCAGCGGCAGCCAAAGCTGTTTGCAGGTGGCTGATCGTCACTGGCCACCCTTGACCATTTTGCCCACTCAGAAAGGCTGGTTAGGGAGATGTTTTAAACGCGCCTGTGCAGCACAATGATTCTGTCGGGTTGGGTGACCTTGCTTGCCAATCGCAACCCCGGAATTGGCGCCGCTCCTGGCTGCATCATCCAATGGATATTGATATCCTATGTTACCTAGATAGCAACAAGAGCATCATTTACGAAAGGTAAAGCTTTGCTCTTCTACACAAAATGGTCATTTTCATTGGATAAAGATCGAATTTGTTTGTTTGCAGGTAAGCTAGCTACATAACGTGGGTATTTTGATCTATCAACCATTCTCGTAGGAATTCATTCACAGGCGCTCTGATATGCGTGCAAAAACAGCTTCATGGGATATAACCAGATATCCCTAAAATTGAACACAAGAGAATATGCTAAGTCAACATGGCGTGTGCCCAGCAGTCTGTCGGGTATAATTTTCGTTCCAAACAAGATCAAAAAAAAGGTGAAACGTAACCAATATGCCTCCGAGCTTTCAAGAGGGAGAGAATCATTCACAGAGCCGCCTATTTCGTGGGAGAAAGAATGAAAAATAAAGAAAACAAGCTAGGAAATGTGGTATCTCGTAACAGTCGTAACATGTAAAAAAATAATAGGTTCCATCGAAAATCAAAAACTGTGCACCAGAGAAAAGAAAAGAAAGTAAACAAGAAAAGATTGATTGTAAACAAAATAGTAAGATGACAAAGAAAGATGAAATGAGCGAGGATGACATCGAGGCGTGCAACATCCAACTAGATGACATTTCCGTTGACTTTAACCGCGTCGCCGCTCTCTTTACCTCGCTTGAGTGCCTTGGCAAGCATCAACTCTCGCATCCAGTCAATCCGCTCATCTCTCGTCTTGACGGCAAAGTGGTGTGCTTTGTTGTTGTTCAAGAAGAATGCTTTGCGGTCGACAATGGATGAACTGTTGCTGTTTGATGTAGGGATCAACGAAAACGCAAACGCCGCCTCGTCCTGAGCAGTGTCCTTGCGCTTGAGAACAGTCTTCTTGAATGCTGCAGTCAACTTGGAGCGCGAAGCGAACGATGAACAGGCAACTGCGTAGTCGTCGACATCGATATATTCGAGCGCTTTCGAGTCACGACGAGCTGCTTGCTCGTCTTCATACATGGCGAGCTGGGTGCCCCGAAGAGTGAAGTGATGCTCCTCCCACTCATGGCGCAGCAAGCGGGTTGTCTTACGCTTCTTCATCCAGCCACTGTGTTGAATGTCGTTCGGGGTTCGAGGTCCACTCGAGGCGCGTGGCGTCGTCTGGAGATCCTCCGGTGTCTCTATGGGTGCAACCTGACCTTCATCGACGCGCTCAAGGGGCTGGCCATTGCATACATTCAGGGATGGACGTCTGCGATGATTTTCTGCCTTGGTAGATGCCGGACGAGTAATGGGATCTGCCATTGCACGATAATCGTGGCCAAACCGCATGTTCGGAGGAACCGACTGCGAAACTTCGCGTGGAATCGGGCCAGCAGGGATGGCGGTCACAGGAACATCCACCTCCGAGAAGGGAGTCTCCTGGCGATAAAGCTCATGAGAACGATAAAAATCGGATGGAGAACGATAGAAGTCTGCAGGAGACATGTCTTGTCCGTATGTGAACGGTGCCTGCTCCCCACCTTGATGCCCACTTGGCTGGGTGAAATTGGGCTTTTTCTGCAGAATGGACGGTGTAACTGTGCGCTGGGCGGAGACATTGGCAGATAGATTGGCAGCTGTGACGGACGATTGTGTGTTTGGAATAGTCAGTTTCGGGAGATGGCGAAGATTCTCGGCCAGAGACGCGCTAGTTTTGACTGAATCGGGGGAGTCCGATCCTGGCGAGGGAAACATCTCTCTTGGAGGAGTTGCAGGATCATTGACTGGCTGTAACCGGCTCAAATGTTGGAAGTTGAGAAATTGGCGGACATTCTCCTGAGGGTCTCGCGGTTGGACTTCGTTGAGCTTCTCCTCACACAACCGGACATTTGGGGTCTGACCAGGTCCGAGCACGTCAGACGAAGCAACAACAGAAGGCGACAATTCTGGCTTTTCTGACTTGGAAGCATGGAGGAGGTTTGGTGCAGTGTCAGGGTTTCCCGGGTCGCCTGTGAGGATGGTCGAGCCAGTAATGGTGTCGATAGGCAAATCTTTAGCCAGGCGCGCCAGCCTGCGTTGTTGCTTCTGCCACTTCCGGCAGTTTTCGCCTTTGGAGCACCGGTGGATTTTGGGCAATATTTGCTCAATCGCTACGATCGACGCGGAGTCACCTGGGCCAATGTCCTCGTGATCATGTCGGTGGTGACGGTGCTCACGGCGCCGACGTCGATGATGCTTTTTCGACCTCGACTCCTTCCTCTCTTCCTCGCTGTTTGACGAGGTGTCATCACTACTCGTAGTTGTCTTGGCTGCTTGTGGAACGGAACTCTTATCCCGGTTGGGTGCATTTGGTACTGGCGTTTGCGAGTCGCCCGAAGACGACATGACGCTGTTTCGAAGCTGTTGAATCGAGTTCATCAAACGATGGCGTTTTCCGAATGAATGGATATCCAGCTCCTTCAGGTCCTCTGCTTGGAGTTCAAGGAGAATCGCTCCTGAGATGTCGTTGATAAAAAACTTCTCAACGATACTATCATCAAAGCCAGCATTTTGCATCCATGTGACGACATCTTGTGGCGACCAGTTCCTGACTTCGGCTTCGTCAAGCTGTGAAACTTCCTTGTTGATTGATTTGAGCTCTGTCTGTGTCTGTGGAGTCTCGTCCGCAACGTAACCAGGCAATGGGGTATCCTTCCTCTCAGGCTCCAGTTTCGAAGCAGAATCGAAGAATGTTGCAGTAGTGGGAGTTTTAGCGAGGACGAAATCAACCTCGAGGGATGACTTCAGATCAGAAGAGTCGACGGATGCCCGGAACAGGTGTGGTCCAACAGGTCCCTTGACTGGCTTCTCATCCAAATGGAAGTTGAAAGCGGTTAGGCCCGCGGAGTCAGGAGTTGGAACGTCTCTCGGCGTCGATGCAGTAGTGACACTGTCTGCACCAAGCTACAGCATTGTTTCATTAGTTCCAATTCTCAGGATTACTCAATAGGTTACTCACAGAACCAACACTCCTCCTCGGGGAGTCACCAAGTTCCTCGTCTTCAAATTCCGATTCGAAATCCGTATCCAATATTTCAGTTGCTTCAGAAAGCGGTCGAGGAATGGTTGTCCTCGCCTTGAAGAGAGGGACTTGACTCGAGGTCTGTAGCATCTGCAGACTGGGTTGGGAATGAGTCTCAGTAGCCTGCTTAGAACGGTCAGCACCCCATTCTAGCGCTTCAATGCTTGTCTGTTGACGATAGTCAAGGGAGTTTATACCATCTTGTCCCTGGCCGACAGTCGGCTTAGGCGAAACACCAATGTAGTATAAGGACGGGGTATATATATACGTATGGTGGTAGTAGATGCTGAACTCAATACCAAAAGACAATTCACATATACATCATGCGTTGAGGATACACTTCATGTGGAGGATGGAAACAAACTCGGGACCCAGACAGGATGGGTGGATTCGGTGTTTATGTAGATGGCCCGCTCTTCTCCAGAGATCCCTCCGGGATGGGGAAAAGCACGGTCCGCATGGCTGGAGGAGCCCGCATGCGGGCGTTGACAGGACGGGATCGAAGAGATCGGGCTGGATGTGATGGGCAGGTCTGGCACCAAGAGGCTTGCATTGGCTAGGCGGTAAAGGGAAAAAAAAGAAATGGCATGAAACGAGGTTGGTTGGGCTGGAAGAGCTACCCTGGTCTGCCACAGGAAATGCAATTTTTGGATACAGTCACCCGTCGAATGAGCATGGGCCGACCAGCACGCAAAGGAAAAGATCACGGGAGTGCCCGCAGTGCTGCCTTCTCATTGGGCGATCACTTCGAAATGACGCTCTGATTGCCTGCATGATGGCTGCATCGCGGATCGCAGAGCAGAACGAAGCTGCAGCTTGGCAGAGCCAGGAAGACGCTGAGAGGCCGGTTGCGAAGGCGCTACTGCTGGGACAGCAGGTCGGCACATATCGACAGGCTGGGAGGAGCCGGCAGCCCTGCTTAAGCGCCGCACTAAAGCATCGTCGATTGCAACTGCAACATCCCGGTGAGGGGCCGCTAATTGCCTGATTCGCTAGGAAATGTTGATAAATATAGCCCTCTTGAGTTGAATTAGTCTCCATTGCCAGAATGAAATGCCATTAATTGTTCCGAAAATAGCACCTCCTGCATCTTCCCGATGTCCTCTTCGGGAATTTCTTCGCAGTCACCTGAACAACAGCTGTGCAGTGTGCCATAATTAACAATAATTATCCGGTTAACTCTATTTGGTGACATTCTCGCAAACGAATTGGGATCCTGGACAGTTATGGTGATTGTGGCGGTTATCACCGACAATCCCCATGTATTATCGCCAAATGAGTAACGACGAAAACAGGCCAATGAGAATTTATGGCTGCGACCCAATGTTACTCTGCTCTTCATTCCCGACTAAAGGCTAGCGAAATCCTTTCACTCTGTCCTAATGCTGGGGACACATCGGTGACGGGCAACAGGGAGCTTTCAAGACGTCACAGGAAACTCGGTTAGCTATTCAATTGATAGCGGGGACTTCCGAGAGCTACCTGAGTGCGCAATGATCTTCTTAGCTTGAGATGCTACATGACTCGAAGATGCCACACTACCGTCTGTTTTCTGCACCACCTAAAATCAAGAACAACGTCTCCACTGTGGCAGTTGGAACGTGACTATCTGATTGTCCATTTACTTTAATCAGTCTTGTTCTCTCTTCCAGATGGATGACATCATTGCCTTCCCTGTCACCCACGCTCTTCCCTGGACAGGATAAGGAGTTTCCAGGTAAATGGCCAATTTCAAGCCCGGGGATATCCATTTTATAAACCGGCGTGATCTTGCCACTATGTTTTTCTCGAGGAGGCTATCATGTGACACGGGGTTCCAACTCGCTTGGCACGGCTCGCACAATAGCAATGCGTAATATATTGATTTTATCCAAAGCTCTGAAGAATATGAGACCTCATTCTATGTGTTATCTTATCGATTGCTACCAGCATCAATAACTCCCACAAGTCGGAAGTCTCTCAAAAATAAGCTCCAAGTGTCACTTCAAGCTTGAGCGGGCTGCCATATGAGGCAGGTGAAGGGTATTGCTAAGAAAGTTGCGGAGTATGTCCAGTGACCGGAACCTCATGCGGGTCTCCTGGTGCGAGTAACACAAAATTGAAATGTGACAAATAATTATTTGTGAGACACCGGCGAATGTCGTACTTCATTGCAAAAGCACAAAGCACGTGGCAACCAAACAATAAAGCACCGTAGTGAGAGACCACCCAGGTCAAGCCCTAGCCATTGAGTTAATTAAAAAAGAAAAAGGTGTCAGCATCTGGTACAATGAGGAGGAAGCAGTTAACAGGATAGGAAAAGAGAGGAATCGAATATCGTCATCGGAGATCTCCATCTCGAGGTACGGTTGCATGACCCCTCTGCGGGGTCGGTCCTGGAGCTGGTAACTCTGGTTTTCTGACTAATGCTAAGGACCATTAATCCTAAAATAAAACCAGTAAATTATTGTCTTTGGCACAATTATTGTTGCTAATTATGTCTATTTGGTGATTAACCTGGATGGTAATGGCGGTTAAGAACGCAACGTGAAGAGCCCAAAGAGTCTGTAGCCGAGCTGTTATTAATAGCAAATTGAGCTGTATTTGGCGAAATTAATGGCGACTCGCCATGTAACATGCAACTGCAGAACTGCCAACCAACAGCACTAATTAACCCAGATTTACATTGGGCGGGGTTTGGTGTTGCTAATTAAGGGACATTGTTAGCGTGCCTGCAGCCTGCATTATCTTATCACGCGGGAGCTTTGGCCCTCCCCCACGGATGCCGGATGAAGATGCACCGTGCACGGGCACTCGGGCTATCTTAGCGCGATGGGCTTCCCGCGCCGTATGATGGACAGCAACCTTAGGATCCGCTGCTGCTGGCTTGACGAGAGACGCCCAATGAGCGCGCAGGAATTGAAGCTTGGCATCGCGCCAATCTCGCACTCCGTTCTGACTGGTCCGTCCTCGCGAATATCGGCCGGCCCGTCCCTGATCCGCCGATTCTATTGGACCGGGTTTCGATCACGCTTCTACGCATCGATTGGCCGAAGAACAGAGCAGCATCCAGACTGCCCCGCCCATTGGTGACTTGCGGCCTGCCAAATTTCCACAGATGTTCCTCATCGGGCCAGTGGACAGCGACCTGGTGCTAGCGAGGCAATATGGACCATCGTGATTTCTATTCCCATGACCTTATCTGGAGGCTACGGAGCTATTCAGCCCGATCGCAAACTTTTCGCGAGTGGCCTATACGCCAAACGTCGATAGTGTCGTCCGGAGTACCAGGGATTGGGCGCAAACCCGAATTGCGCTCTCACAGCAGGAATATCCAGCGGTCTGTTACTTGCAGCATCTGTCTGGTTGGTTGGCTCGCGCCTAGGGATCCCGTTAGAGAAGAGAGTGTCAGGGTTGAGTTAATTTTGGCCTCCAGTCCAGGGTGCTGCTCCGTGAGGAGATAGCCCAAACAGGTAACTCCAGGGTATCACGCACATGCCGGGAGCCGGTAGCCCAGTGCCTGTCTGTGCAGGCATCGGATGGAAGGGCTGCTAGCAGCGCAGCTAATCGCTGGCGGCGTTGTTAGCGATCCTCATCGGCTATGCCCTGCCAGCCTATCAGGCAGAGATACCCTGGCTAGTCGCACGAGCTCTCGTCTTCAGTCCCCTGATCCTGACAGATCAACTGGGTCCCCAGGCGTTAATCCTATGGATCGATCCGCTGAGGCCATCCATCTTCCCGCTTGGCCCTATCCCCTGCCCGGCCGTGCACTAGCCGGCAAGATCCTCGCCCATCCGAATCCACTTGCATTGCATCGTGGGCGCCTCCCAAATTTAGGCTCAGCGCTCTCGTCCACGAACGGTTGACATGGCCTGGGCGCCTCTCATTTGCCCATCGACCTCCCTGTTCTGGTGTCGAGCTCCAGTCGTCGAGACCCCACCCATCTGGGCTCCGCAGATTCTCCCCGAACTCTACTGCTGCCCGTTGGTTGCTGCAGCTCTGCAGGTCGAAAAATAGAAACACGCAACACCTACCGTTGGTCGCATCTTAGTTTTAAATCTCAACATGTCCAACAGTAACGCAAATATTTACTTCAGGCTGTTCGCAAGTGATGGTGCCCTTTCCTCGCCAATTCCATTCCATCGTCCTTCCTTCCATCAATTGATAGCCAGCAAAGGCTGCCGGTCCAGCTTTGCGACTCCTGCTTCTCAGGTAGATACACAGCAGCTGGTGTCGCGACTCTCCACTACCGTCCGTCTTAACGTGTCGCTGTCCGTGACAGTCATCCTCTCGGTCCACAAATCTTGCAATTATTTTCGCTCCCGATACAGCGTTATCAAAATGCCGACAAAGAAGGCTGCTACAAAGAAGAAATCAACCAATTCTTCCACTGCGATTCCGGCGCCGTCAGAGTGTTCCCAACAACCACCCGCCCAGCTACATAAGAGATCACGCTCCGGTACGTCAAGCGCAAGTGCCCTTCTGCGGCATAGCTAACTTGGAGGGATCGAAAGGATGCTATACATGCCGCCTGCGAAGAAAGAAATGTGACGAAGCTCATCCCACCTGCCGCGCTTGCAGTAATCTCTGTGTGAGATGCGAATACAAAAGGCCGATCTGGTGGTCGAATGCAGAGCAGCGAGCCATACAGAAAGAAAGGATCAAGAGCAAGATTAAGCAGACCAAACTCAATGAAAGGAATTCGATGATGGCTGGTGGGATTATCTCTCTATTTCTTGCGGTCCGTGTCTCTCTAACATGGCCTCGCAGACCAACGTTATCGCGCAATGCCTATGACTTCTCCGTTCGTCCCTGAGTTCGACTTCAATCGGCCGGTTTTCCACGGAGCCTACGATCCATTCGCCTCGCACCTGCCAACTCCAGCTTTTGGGCCAGCCCCCTACGGCCAGTTCCCTCCGTACGAAGTGGATATCAAGACAGAGCGCCAGCTGTTTGTGAATGATGTTCCTACGCGATGTGACACGTCCTTCTCGTCCTTCACCACCTACGCTCCCCCACAGTTGCACGCGACTCTTCCACCTTTCCCCGGCGATGAGTGGATTCCTGAGGCATCTCTGGCTCACCCTCCGCCATTCGTCGGTATGGAGGCCGCGGCATATGAGCAGAACAATGAACAGTCTTATTCCCTGATGCAAACGTCGATCCCAGTTGATGATGCTGATCGACCATTGCTGAATTATTTTGTCGACAAAGTCCTGCGTCTTTCCTTTCCCATCCTGGAAGTCCACCAACGGGGTCATGAGCGTGCCCAGGCCATATTCCACAGTCTCGAGACCAACAAATCTTACCTGCACTGCTGTCTCAGTGTCGCTGCAATTCATCTGAAAAACACGGCAGGGGTTGTCGGCGAAGAGATTGACTATGACATCGTGCGACATCGCTACGAAGCAGTGTCCCAGCTTTATCGATCGTTGAATGAGAACACGAACTACGATCAAGCCCTAGACACCACTCTTGCCATGATCTTCTTCAATTGTTCCGTCTGCGATCCCGAAGATTACCACCTACCCAACGTTGACCTACCCGGTGATATTGACCTACCAGACATTGCGTGGAGTGATCACTTCCAAGCGGTGACGAGTTTGGTAGAGAGACTGGATCTCCCGTCGCAGTTGATTAAATGCGATTCTCCATTCACGCAGCCTCCCTTCAACATGACATTGACGGCATGGATCGATATCCTGGGAGCCACGATGCTTGGCAAATCACCTCACTTTGCTCACACTTATCGTACGAAGCATTTAAGTGGAACGTCGTCAGGCCTTCGTGAACTCATGGGTTGCGACGATCGAGTCATGTACCTGATCTCCGAGATTGCCTGCCTCGATGCGCTGAAAAAGGAAGGGGTCGTGGACGACATGGCCGTCTGCTCTCACGTGTCTGCCCTGGGAAGGCAGCTGGAATTCACGGAACCTCTCGACCCGAAACTCGAGAGCCCATTCTCTCCTGACAGCGGTGCGATCCGACCCGATCAGCTCACGAAAAACATGACCGCCATCTTCCGCATCGCGGCCCGTATCTATCTGTGCAGTTTGGTCCCTGGATTCGATCGGAGTCAACAGAACATCCTCAACCTTGTTGACGCTGTTACGCATGCTCTCCAGTTCATCCCAGGAGGCCCAGATGGCTATGATCGCTCTCTTGTCTGGCCATTGCTCATCACAGGGGCATTTTCCATGCCATCCAGTTCTTTCCGTCAGGTCTTGCGTGAGAGAGTTGTGGCACTAGGCGATCAGGCCGATTTTGGGAGCTTTGGTCGCATGTATCGCGTGTTGCAAGAGGTTTGGAAGCTTGCAGATGACCCCGTGGACGGGGGCCCAACGTCTCCTCCCATCGATCCGGCCGTGAAACGAGATACGTCCACCTCTCCGCCCTGTGGCACTCCGGGAATGAGGGAGATAAGAAAACGCGGCGTTCACTGGCGCGACGTGATGATTAAAAACGATTGGCGGTATCTGCTGATATGAAAGCAGCATTTTCTCCATCGTCGAGAACCATTTTATGAACTGCGCCTCGATGCAACGCAAATCTTGCGGCACTTGCCTCTTGTCGACAGGTTGAGGTCTTCAAAGACAGGGCCAAGAGAGCCACAACGCGCATGCATCGCACATTTACAATTCTTGTAAATATAATTCCAGAAACCCGTTTTTCCCAGGTTTGGAGTTTGGGGTCTTCGGCAAGTCTTTTCTTTCTTTGTTTGGCGGGATATACCTCTCTTGGGCGGCAGCTCGGCGAATTTCATTCAGTAGGACGATCCTTGAGAAGCTGTGAAATTCAATGTCATCTATCAATGGAGAGGCGGTACGAGACACAGATATGCTTGCTCCCAGTAAGCAGGACTTCTTTTTTACGACGGATTGAATGAATGAATACTTGTTTTCTCTATCATATTGGACTTAAGTAGGAACTCCTTGAAATACCCATTTTTTCCCTTCTCCTCTTTTCAGAGCGCATCATGCTTATTATTTTTCTTTTCTGTCTTAGAATCTGCGAGCGGATTTCGATGACGAGGGGGCATAAAAGAAAGGAACCTAGTTCAGCGGTCATGTCTGTCTTCTGAAAGCAGAACAGACCAACCGACCTGCGGCAATACACCCTTTAACGGACATGCACAAACGACAAGACACCAGGACGACACCAGCTGTTTTCAATTCTTCTACCTTCTAGACTCTTTAAAGGTTTAATCCCTCTTTTACCCCGCGTCGATCGTGGGGACTTGTTCGTCAACAAATTAATTACTTCTTCTTGCTGGATCGAGAAGAAACGAAGCATTTGCCTATCACGCAACCAGGCATACAGCCCATGGATGCAAGGATGCAGGTCATCCTGTCTAATTTAATGATTGTCTTTTCATCCTTGTTCTGGTGAGCAGATTTGATGGACGAGCGAGCGAGCGAACGACCGTCCAACGGATTATTCGATTCGACATATCGGTTGTCTTGCTATGCGATGCAATGATTGATTCATTGATTAGTATAGGTAGGTAGTTGTTGGAATCGGAGCTCAGTCCCCCGGGACATATCTACCTAGGTATGGCTATCGTTTCGTTTTCAGGTTTTTTTTTAGTTTTTGAATTATCATTAAATGCCTCTTTTCTTCTCCTCTCTCCGTCTCTCTCTCTTCCTTTTTTTTTCCCCTAAGCATCTGATCTAGTATAATCTTATTTGATCCGATCTAACCATTGCATTGATTAGGACTGCATTATCCATTTCTACCGATGACCGATTCTTCTTTATGGAGCTTCGAAATGAAACGAAATAAAATGAATAAGGAGTCTCTATCTATTATCGTTGCGTCGGTGAGGAACTAGCTATGCGGTGAGTAACTGGTACAAGAGTAGACGGGACATTCATTATCCTGTCTGATATGATTTAAGGACGAAGATAAGGATGACTAACTCTACATCTCTATAGATACATATGCGAGAAGAGGAGAAAATAAGACAAAGATTTGGGAGAGGAAGAAGATGTCGAAGAGTGTGGTGGTGAAGGATTGGGTTTGTGTTGATAACAGTGCAGACATTACAAGCTGCAGTGAGGATGCAGACAGCACTTCTAGGCCCTTTTCGAGCTGGTTCATCCTAGTGTTTACACATTTAGGATGTATATATATACATAAATACATTTGCATCAGGAATCATGCTATATTTACATGATTCCATCTATGTTTAAAAGCCTTTCTAAGTAATCTGTCAAATCTACTACGGGCTACCTCCTGATACGAGTTTTTTTATTCTCCCTTTTCGATATTTGATATCTCGTTATTAACCGTAAATCAAGGTGCATGATGCGTTATGCTATCATTCAAGTCTGTGTAAGGAGTGATGATCCTTCTAAACTAGCTGTAATGAAAGGACGGTCCATGTGCTTCGATGATGGACCTTCAACACGCGATGGGGTGGTGGATCCGACTACATACATGAGGTATTGCCGTCGATGTCGCTGCACATGACAGTAAAGGAATGGAATATCAGTAATCTAACCTATCTGATCTGATCTGTTCTTTTCTGATAAAGTCAAGTCTCCACTTCTCTCGGTTCTTCTCCTTCCTTTTATTTATCTCTTCCTGTTCGAAGGCTGAGGCACGCCGCTTTTGCTCACCCTCACTTGCTCCGGCAGATGAGGGAATTTGCGTGGATTTAGATCTCTTGGAATTGGATCATCCTGAGTACGCAGGTATGCGGTATTATGAAATTTTGGTGAGTCAGCAGCTGACAGTAAATGTATTTCTCTATTACCAGCATAAATTCCAATTTTTCTGTTTGCTGCAGTTGGTAAGACTACCCATATCCATTTCTGAGAATACTTTTTCTTTTCATGGCGTAGACTCTCGATTCGGATTTCGGAAGCAAGAGATGGATGATGCATCCTAAAAATGCTGTGAAGATCTATACTGAAGGTGAAATCGTGTTCAGGATGTTGCGGTTGCCAGTTAAAAAGTCGGCTGAATGCCAGGTGTAGTGTTCCAGAAACCCCATGCTCATTGATCACAATGGTTTCGGTTGGTGTAGGCTCAGGTACTGGTACAGCGAAAGTCTGCACAGAAGCTGCTGAATGGGTGGAGCTTCGGCGTGTTCATTTGTCTCGGTGACGGCGGGCTCGACAGCTGCTCCGGCTGCAGCGAGATCCACATGTCCCCAGGCTATCGATGAAGTGCCTTTATTGATGTATCAGTATGAAGTTTGCATATATAGAAGCAAATCACATACGATACACCTCATATAAGATACCGCCTCTTTCAATTATGGCTGATCTTTTATGCAATTCTTTATTGCCCACATCTTCGTTAGGTGCCAAAAAGTAATGAAATGGCGACTGCCGAGGTGTTGTTTCTATGGAAGTTTCCATACTTGTCGAATTGTTCGAGGAATTAGTAAACAGGATGGGTGAAAGGCAGCTGAATGGAAATCTTTCTGAATCAAAAAAATTAGACCTAAGGAGGAATTAATAGAGCTGCATTTTGGCTTTTTGTGGACGGTTTTGGAAGGAACGACCCGTTGTTGACTTGGGAAAGCAGCAGAAAGCAGTGACTGCGAGAAGAAATCGATGAGAAAGAAATTCTAGGTTTAAAGGACAAATAAATACCAGGCCTTTGGGGAAAGAACCAATTGCTTATTCACATCAACGAGGACCTTTTCTTTCTTTTTCAATTTGCTTCACACTTATTTTGCTGCCTACTTTCACTTTTCCTTGTTTTTCTAGTTTGACAACACTCGATCTATCACTTGTCTTCACTTATCGATAATACTTTTGCTTTCCCAGTCATTATTCTCAGTTTCTGGTTACTGGCAATCTCTTTGTCCGGTGAAATGGGATTCCGACTATGGCTGTAACTGCATTCTTATCCAGCTATAACTATTGATCTACCTGTATTAACTGGTATTATAGTACCATGTAAGGTACTATAACTTTACATACTTGACCATAATAGCAGCCTAGGGAAATACTAGTAAATAGCAGTAGGACCAAGTGATTTAAAGAGAAACTATGTGACTGGCAGGGGCGCTGTAAGCAGCACACTGAGGCAGGGTGAGGATGGAGGTGAGCCAAAGCAGCGGGCCTCGAGCGCTAATTCACCCAGGTATTTTCCATTTGGTTGTACTGTTCATTGCATGCAGATCATACAGAAAAAGTTGTGATCTGATCGGATCATATCTGGTGAAAGATAGCCTAAATATCTAGTTCCCTTAGCCCTTCTCCTTCCTCATATTCATCGCCGTAGCACTCCCGCTTCACTGCTTCCACAAGATCGCGATCCCCACCCGCCAGCTTGGTCAGATACTGCTCCAGAATGTATATGTTATCGGTCCACATGGATGCTTCTTGCTTCCAGGCCTTTATCTCCTCCTTCTTCCTCTCCACGCCCGCTGCTCCGCCCGCCAAAAGGGCGTCCTCGTCCGCTCGAATTCTTCTCACCTCCGCCAGCAGCGTATCTCTTCTTTGCATGAGAATTTCCCTCTGAGCTGCTTCTGCTTCTGCTGCAGCGACATTCTCATCATCGTCGTTGTCGCCGCCGTCAGCTCCCTTGGTAGCAGCAATCCTCTCCTGCAATTCCATCTCTAATTCCTCGATCGTCTTTTGCACCCGCCCCAGCTCCTTGGTCAATCGCTCTTTGACCTGTTCCCGTTCGCGTCTCTCCTCGCTTGGGAAGCTCCAGTACCAGTTCACGCTCCCGATCTTCTCCATGCGCACCTTGTTGTCGTCCACCAGCGCTTGCACGTAGTCCTTCACCTGCATCCCATTGATGGACGCCACGGACGGGAGCATCTTCTCGAGGTCTTTCAGCGTGTGGCAGGTGCGGGTGGACCGGATATGATCAAGGATGAGCTGCTGTTTAGCAGCGGGCGAGAGAGACTTGTTGTTGGGTGGCTGTTGTCAAGAGCATTAGTAGGTGAAGTTATTGTTCTTTTTTCATTTCTAGGACAGGTAGGTGACTGTATGACAAATTGATCGACTTAACATTTCAGGTAAAAAGAACGTACCATGATGACGATTATGGCTAGGGCCACGAGAAAGATATGGTCAAGTGGCTGCCAGTCCTACATCAGAATGTGATGGAGGAGATGATATCGTGGTAGTAATTCTCTACCTCTCTTCAAATAGCGAAGAGGGATGGCAGATTGGAGACCAGGTAGGTGATGCTACGCGTGAAAGTACACAGGGAAGTTGCGGGCTATCTCGAATATGGGGAGGTCACGTTCTTTGCCGAAATAGGATGCCATTATTTGGCTGCTGAACGGTAAGCCCTGGAAATCTACAGCTAGAAAAATACCAATGACGAGACGGATAACTGCTAAGAATAGCAAGGTTTCAGAGCCACTCAATCATTATTTATTCAGTTGTAGATAAATTTGGGGATATAGCAGTCATTAAGGGCACTGACCGCTCAAGGATTTTGATCATCAGCAACCTCATGTGGCTGAAAGGACGCAACGTCTTAAAGACACACTAAGGAGAACTCATACAAGACCTCCATAGTGGTGGTTCCTGTGCTGTAAGCATTGCGCACGCAGGACGCTATCAAAATAGGTCCAGAAGTCTCCGTCAGCTGTTATTCATGCAGAATCTTTAATGCCCACACAGCGACTGGAAAACTCAAGCTTCAGCATCTGCCTCCGTCTCAGGAGCGGAGCTCTCCGGCCGGGGTGTTTTGCGCCTTCTCTTCCTCATCCTTCGTATCGATCGCAACTCCTCAGCCGAGCTGGCATGGACACTGGCGTTTGACCGTTTCCTGCCGGACTTTCCTAGAGATGCGACACTAGCCTCGCCGTCGGAGCCTTCAATCTCCTCTCCTTCTACGAGAACCATGTCCCCAGTTTCACCCAGAGACTCCTTCGCCATCTCTTCCAGAAGAATACCCATGGCAATCAACGCCGTTTCATCCATGCTTCGAAAGTTATCCGCTCCACCGTCCGTGATGGCGTTCTCATAGAAATCAGCCGAGTAGGCGTGAATCGCTTGCAACAGGTCCGAGGACGGCAGAGGACAATCCGGCGGAATTTTCTCGTTCGCAAAGTAAAAATCATTTTCTTCGTATCGCACCGGGGCGCTCTGGCGGCGGAAGAGGACCTCTTCCGGCCGTACCGCTACGGTGCTGGAGGACGCATTATCTCTGTACCGAGAAGAGAACCGCGTTTGGGCGCGGAAGCCACCCACAGAGATACGTCCTACGATTGTCAGATCGAGTCAATCCCAGAGAATACCGGTAAATACTCACCAGCGACAGCGTCATAAACGTTGGCTTGGCGTTTTTGTTTCGACTTGGAAGCAGTCACCGTGCGATCTTTTCTATTGTCTGACGGAGGCTTGAGAAATGCATTCTGGCTCTGCGAAAGAGATCTGCCATGAGACATGGCACGGATCTGAAGACTCCAGCCTCCAGAGACGCTCTGCTGATGGATGGTCTTCAGCCTGTCAAAGAGCTCGTAATGTTAGATATCGGTGCATCATTTTTCCGTTCCGTGCTCTCCGCCGAGCTCTCCGCGTCGAGTCGCGATAAACTACGTCTTATCTGTCGAGCAGATGCGGCTTGCAGCTGATCTTTTCTATATTGTTCGCAAGCTAATGGTCACTGATGTATGAATTCATTCCTTCTAAACAGGGCGCAAGGGACGATCAGCCCTTCCGCCTTTCATGTCGCTCAAACATCGCGACTGGTGCAACTCCTTGAACCGGCTCCCGGTATTCGCTTCACCAGTCATAAGCCTGTTCCTGGAGTTATAAAATCCGAGGATGACGGACCGAATTCAACGCCCGTGGATGAGGTGTTCGCCCATAAAGCGGGTGTAAATGTCCTTGCTATCGATCAGCATGAGGGACGATAGTATGTCTTTATATTATTCCTTCGTGTTCAATCAAAATCCGTCTGTAGGATGTCCAAGGCTAAGGTCTCGATGTAGCATGGTTTCCGGGGGCGCAGACCCGTCTATTCGTTTGTGGGATCTCGAGAGTCGGGGCTCAGAGTTAGAGCATCTGCACGAATCCGTTGCTTCGGTCCACAAGTGAGGAATACAGGCATCTCTACAGTCTTGCTGGACGATAACTGACTAGACGATAGGGCCTCGCATGAGTCTGCCCATACTCATGCTATCACCTCAATCTCGATATATCCGTTTGACCCAACGCCGTCTACGATTTTGACGACATCCCATGACAACACCCTGAAATTGTCTACCTTGGAACCCCCCGCCATCAGGCCAGCCCACACGTTCAATCTTCACGTAACGCCGTATTCTCATTCCTTCTCGTCCCATCCGGCTTCAACACTGCTCATTGCTGTAGGCTCATCAGAAAAATCTGTCCGTCTTCTCGATCTTCGCACTGGGCTCGCGACTCATGCCTTGCCAGGGCATAATTCTTCTGTCTTGTCTGTAAGCTGGGCACCTCATCATCCTCATATCTTGGCTTCTGCTTCGACAGACAATCGAGTTATAATTTTTGATGTCCGCCGTGCTGGCCATAACTCCGCCATAGCCACCTTGGATATGGACGATGCTGTTGGGGTGATCGCACCAGATTCTGCGCCTGAGTCATTTTCAGCTCGCCCAGCCTTTTCTCGTCAAGCTCGCGCTCACAACGGAGCTGTAACTGGGGTCCGATGGACGTCGAACGGCAGTCATTTGGTGACAGCAGGTCAGGACGCACGGATCCGTGTGTGGGATGCAACAACGGGGGCAAATACGCTGGTCCATTTTGGTCCGCGAGTCCGCAATAGCGTGTCATCGCATCTGGCCGAAAGGGCACCATTGATCCTGCCGAATAGTCTTTTGCAGCCTGGCCATGAGATACTTTTGTGGCCCAACTTCAACGATCAGGATGATCGTGGGGAGATCTTCATGTTCAAACTTCGAGACGGGACACTTATCAAACGACTGAAAGTGCCCGGTCTAATGTCCTCAGCTCGCCGACAGATGAGCGGCCGGTCCAGTGCGCTCAGTGCAGGGAGAATAAATGCCCTAGTGTGGAGAGGGAATGGCGGGTCAGGAGAAGGATTAGAACTGTTCTCCGCCCACGGAGATGGGACAATTCGGGCTTGGGTGTCGCGCGTACCTGATGGTGAGCCTGACGAGACGGACGAAGAGGAGCAAGAAGAGAGGAAGCGCAAGAGGGATGCTCTCGAGGAAATATACCGCGGATTGACAGCTCCTTCGGTGAGATTTACGTAGTCTTGGTGTCTTTGAACCTAGGAGGAATCACGGCATATATAAGCGTCTCTTCTGCGACGAGACTCTCAAGGACCCAGATTCTATTCGAACTCTTCTGTCCGTCTCGTTTCGGCTTGACATTTTATTCTCTTCGACCATGCTTACGCACCAAGATCCTGGAACACAGAACGCAAAGACAAGAGCTTATAGGTTTGATCCCATTTGAATGACGATGATATTCCACGAGAATTGCGCTCAGGATACATTCGAGAAGTACTACTGTACTGTGCATAATGATACAGTCTTCGTATCTAAATCTTCAGCGATATATGCAACATCGTTTTGACTCGATTCCCACAAACCACAGCATTTCTCGCAAGAGTCATGTTTTAATACCGATGCTGAGGCTCTTGCACCGCCTCCCTCGCCTCCGGGTCCTCCTTCGGAGCAAGCTTGTCGAAGATACTCCGGTTCAGAGTGGCATGCTTGATGGGCCTAGTCCGGCCCTTAGTGCCAGGATCCTGCGACTTGAAGTCCAGATTCTTCGTCTCGATCTCCGCGGGGAGCGAGTCACCTAGGGCAGTCATAACTTCGCCCGAGGCGTGGGTGTCACGCTTGCTCCGGGGCATATCGGTCGGGTTATCGGCCGCTTTTACCAGAGTTGGCTGCGCGAGCCCGTCGTAGCTGAACTGGTGGTTTTCCTCCTGCTGGTCCGGGCGCGCTTTCGAGGGGATGAGGTTCTGCAACCCAGCGTCGTTGGGCATGCGCGTGCCTGTGGGCGCCATCTCTGAGAGTGAGCCACCGGTGTGAGGGTCTGGAGAGGCCATGCTGCTGACACAGAACGAGGTGTATGCCGGTGTGCGTCCTTCTTTTCTGCTGAGTAGGATCGTATTAAGTGCTCAGGTGGCGGACCTAGATACGGTAGACTAGTTCGATCTAGAACCTAGCTAGGTACTAAAAGAAAGGAGTGAGGATGGGCATACACAGCAAGATGCCACAAGTCAGATTAACCGTGCAGTCCAAGATGCTTCCTCCCCAGGTACAGAGTACAGGAGAAAGTGTGGTGTGATATCACCGCTGGCCCATGGCTGCCCTGATATCAGTGATGATGAGATGATGACATCTCTGTATCTGCGGGGCGCCACTTCCAGGGACACCGCCTTAATTTCTAAAAGTTTTACTGGAACAATCAGTCATTAGGCTAAGCACAAGTACTTAGCTGGAATTGAATAGTTGTTGAAAGCATAGTAATATTTCCTGAAGTAGGCAACAATGCCCTCCGTCGGACCTCGATTTTAAAAAAGAGATACAGGCACACACAGAGAAATAAAATTTTTTTTTCTTCTTGGCCAGACCAGGACGGAGAGAGTCAATGCAAGAGGATTCTCAGTTGTAGAAATTCATGTATAGATGGATATCTTTCCCATGTTCCAGAGCATCCTCAGGCCAGACCACCAGTATCTATCTAGCTTAGGGACCTTTTTTTTTCTGTTAACAACCACCACACGCGAATTTTCAAAGCCTTTCAAAGCTTAATAGTGGTAGTGGAGTGTACCTATTCCGCACTATACTGCTTAGTGATCTAGGTTCATTAGCCGAAGCTTCATTAGAATCAGGTGGCTCGCGGTCAGACCCCCAACTCAGTCGCCCTCTTCCTGCCGAAGGTTATTTGAACTCAAAAACTCGATTTATGTTGGCCAGCCACATCAAACGCTCCTTTCCATTCTTGGATCGTTGCATCTGATATCAACAACCCTGACATTTTTCATGACGCTAAACAGAAAGCTGATTTGTGCCCGCCTAAAGACATGCGCATTGGCCTTTATATAAAATTCGGCCCCTCCCACTACAGCGCATTCTTCCATAAAATGCCGCAATTGCATCTTGTTCGACCGTCTCTAAACTGTTGGAAAGTTGTTCTTCGTGCCTGAGTTTACGAATCATCAAAACTCAACAACGGCGGAATCATGGCACAGAACGAGTTCACGGGACAAGATAGTCATCACGCTCTACCTGCAATTGAAGTGGATTCTCAGGTTTACAAATCTTAAGTCATTTGTCATAACAATGATGGTTTCTAACGGAGTCCTTAGGTTACTGACAATGATTCTACTTATGGGCAAGAGCTGTCAGTAACAGATTTCTGCATAGGCACCTTTACTGCAGTCATACGACTGACTATATAGCCAGTTCAACCTACAGTGCCTCTTTGACCTCTTCGGTGGTGAATTACCGCCATGAGAATGGCAGGCGCTACCATGCTTACCGCGATGGCAGTAAGAGGCCATTTCTTCGAATGCTACCTAGATACCTAAAAGCCTGCAGTCTCACTGACTTTGGTGGCTATTGAAAAGGCTACCTCTTGCCTAACGACGAGAAAGAAGCCGATCGCCTGGACATGGGCCATGAACTGACACTGATGGTCATGGAGAGGAAATTATTTTTTGCACCTATTGGTCCATCACCACAGCGAGTCATTGATCTGGGTACTGGAACCGGAATATGGGCAATTGATTTTGGTAAGCAGCCATTTAACAAGATTTATATATATTTCAGGGCTTGGGACTGATGAGTTGTATTTTAGCTGATGAATACCCTTCTGCCGAGGTTATTGGTAACGATCTGAGTCCTACTCAGCCATCCATGTTAGTAAGGACTCCGCCCCTCTGTTAAATATATATTAATGAAAAGAATGCCTCTACAGGGTTCCTCCAAATCTCAAATTTTATGTCGACGACATCGAATCTGGATGGACGTACGAAAATCCATTTGACTTTATCCACGCTCGTTATCTGGCTGCCTCCATCAAAGACTTCAAGAAGTTGCTGAAACAATGTTTCAAGTAGGGCTTCTATTTTTTTTCCCCATTCTAACTTTTTACCTAAAAAGGCTCTGCCGGACTCATTAATAACCAATCAATCAGCAATACCAAGCCTGGAGGCTGGGTAGAATTCCAGGACTGGGACATGTTGATAAGGTCCGAGGATGGAACGACCAAAGGCTCCGCCATCGAGAAGTACTATCAGGCGATCATCCCTGCTTTTGAAAAAGCCGGCTATCCCACCAGACCTGGACCACAACTTGAAGAGTGGTTCCGTGAAACAGGATTTGTGAATATCCACGTTCACAAATATCGGGTTCCGATAGGAGTCTGGCCGAAGGATTCGCATTATGTGAGCAGTCATCCCCCTCCTGCAATTTTTTTTTTAAAAAAAAAAGAACAACCGCTAACCTTATCAACTTATCTATGGACTTTACAGAAAAAACTCGGAACATTGTTTCTACTAAGTGCCGAGAAAGGTTTCGAAGGAGCTGCCATGGCTGTCCTGACGAGGTTCGAATCATGGTCCCCTGAGGAAGTCACAGTTCTTGCGGCTGGGGCTTTGAGCGATGCCAAAAATCCAAAGATCCATGGACTATTCGACTTGTAAGTTTTTTTTCTCTAATTATTATTGTTCTTGAGATCTGACAACTCGGTCTGTATGTAGTTATGTCGTGTATGGTCAGAAGCCCGAGTGAACTGTCAATCGCAGATGGCAAGGATGAGGAATTTTGACTGCATCAGGGTCAAGGCTTTTTTTTTGGCGAGACCAAGACAGATACAGAATCAACGCAGGAAATTTGTCTGTTGTGAGGATTCATAACGACATGTAGATACTTTTCCCATACAGGTCAGCTAGTACAGAGCACCTAGATTTATACAACCGCAATAAGCGAACTTTCAGAGCGTTCCAAAGTTCAATATGATGGAGTGCACCTATTCTCAATTGTATGCTTAGACGAAACCAAGGAGCAGAATGTCGGCTCACCATCTCGTTTATCCACCTTCGATAGGCTAGTTTTGCAGATCAGAAACTGCAAAGGCCTTTTTTTTCTTGCCCCTCTCTTGCTCAGAGTCTTACGGATGTGCTATTATTATTGTTGTTAATCAGACGCGCGTTCAAAGGCCGACGCCCCATGCTAGTTAGGCGGGTGATGACGTTTGACGAGTACGAAGGAATGAGATGACAGATCCGATCCGTTCACATGCCAGTCTGCCAGATGTACCCGCGTGCCTGCATCTTGGAGCAAGCCAAGCCTTAGGTGCCTGGTTCACAAACTGTCATGGGCTGAAAATAATCCCGGTGGTTTGCTTGTTTCGTCTTGTTTGGACTTGACTTCTCACTTGGCAAAAAAGCTTGACACGCTTCTTCCCGGGTTCTCGATGGCCTGAAAGGCTGAAAGCCCAACGCCTGATTGAAGTGGAGATGGGACCGCGAAAGAAGAGTGGGTCGTGGACCTGTGGACCACCAAACGTTGAATACGGAGTACTCCGTACCAAACACCAATTACGCCAGCGAGAAAGGGAAAAGGGAATTACTCCGTATTGCAATTTGGAGAGTAGTTAAAATGCGACACGTTGACTAGGAAATACAGCGTAACTACCAGGATGGGAAAGTGCGATGCAGAGAGATCTACAACCACGTGCTGTTCCATTACCTGACGGCGTGCAAGTCACTCAGTGCTGGCTGTCGTGTGATTTGCAGAGGTCTCTCCAAATAAGGCCTGCGCTATGAGTTCTATGTGCTTAGCGCAGGTGCCATTTGACGAGTCATTGGTAAACTTGTTCGTTCAAGTGAGTTGTCTCGTATCGAGTTCTACTTGAAGAGCGTTCTTTCCGTCTGGGGAGCTTCGATCGGGAAGGAGCCCTGGACGGTGCGGGTCAACAGGCTGCCTTCCGAGCTGGGCAGCCATTTGTCTCCGGCTCACCGGTCGTCAAAATGCAGATAGTGTAATACTGCAACCACGCATGAAGACGAATCATCACCAGGCTGCAGGACTGCGACTTGATCCTGGACTGAGCCTGAGCTGTCGCGTTCCTCTTCCTCTTCGGATGGGTGTGGGTCGTGGTTAATAGTCAAGAATTTAGGCCTCGAGAGCGACGCGGTGGAACGGCAGCGGGGGACATCAGCCCACCTGCAACAGAACAGCCACGCGCCTGACCGACACAAGCCTGGAGCCCCTGCCCAAAGGCCCGGGATGCAAGGCCCTCCCTGGACGAACTATTGGCAGGCTCCCCCAGGGCCCGCATAAAGCTTGACCCGGCCAAGGACGGCGTGTCGGCGGCCTTGGTGCTTATCTATCCGCCCTTCGCTCTCGCCCTCTTCTGCCGGCGTTCGGTGCTGCTTCTTGGCCTCCCTCGCGCTGCGATCCGCGCGTTCTTCCCCACATCCTGTATCGGCTCTCGATCCTCTGTCCACGTTCTTCTTCCAAAACGCATTCTTCAATTCATTCCTTAGTCCCTCTTTGTTCCCGCTTTCGAGTCGACCTGCCGTGCAACCCTACCTACCACTGTAACTGCCCAAGGGAAGACCGGACGTTGGTAGCGCAGAAGCGCCCCGATCTTGTCTCGGTGAACCTGAACCTTTCGGAGACGGCTCAGATAGGCGGATCACGAGTCATTGGCACTCTCGTGCAACTGGCTCGCCTATTTTCTCTCGTTCTTGTTCCGTCTTCTCGTGCGAACGATGCGCCCTGAAGTCCGTCCTACATCTGATTGAGTCGCTTGTCTCCCCAGCATCTTCGCCCGTCTCTCGCTCTTTCCGCTTCCCGGCGCTTTTCGACACTGGCGTTCAGCCAATCTGGCGCGTGTCTGCGACGTGTCAGGCTCGCTGTCGTACAGTGTACTTATTGTGATTGCAGCTTACCCCCCGTGACCCCTGTGACAGCGCTGGTCGCCTCGTCATCCCTCCTGTCGCGCACTTGTTGGGATACTCCGAACGAAACCTGGGCTCTGCAGCATTCAACAATCGGAGGAGGAAGAACTTTTTATGGATCCAAGGGCGTGTTCTTGAATTGTCATGTCTGTCGATCCCCTCTCGGCAACGTCCCAAACCCCGCCCTCGTCCCGGAATCGTTGGGTGCTGAACAAGCTCACCTCCCATTTTGGTCACCGAAATCGCAACATCTCCGAGTTCTACGTCCAGCCAGACGATCCATGGAGAACCTACTTCCCCGGCGACGTCATCAAGGGCACGGTCGTCCTCACCGTGGTGAAGCCCGTCCGCATTACACACTTGGTCGTATGCCTACACGGATTCGTCAAGGTATTCAAGAATACGGTGGCTCCAGGGGAAGCGGGCCCTGAAATTGGGTTTCTTGGTCCAGGAAGAGGCAGGAGAGGAGGCCAGTACCTAGGCAATGGGCTTGCGACACTATTTGAGGACGAGTTGGTTCTCTGCGGCGATGGCCGCCTCAAGGAAGGCATTTATAAGTTCCAGTTTGAATTGGAGCTTCCGCCTTATAGCCTTCCTAGTAGTATCAATGTATATCCTTTCTCCCAGTGCGTCTTTTACCCATGGCAATACTAATGGCAAGTTTCTCCAGTTCGAGCGCGGAACAATTTCATACGTTATCACGTCCACTCTGACTCGACCAACGACCATCAGTCCCACAATGTCTTGTCACCGGCGGATTACTGTGCTCGAAAACCTGGACATTGCGCCATTTCCCCCTCCTAAGCCTCGAGTCGTCTCCTTGGAGGCAGTATCGAAAAAGCCCAAGGCGATTTTGAAGCAAAAGAACCCATCCGCCGATCAGGTTCAGGATTCAACCTTACTGGAAGCGTCCCTGAACGGCCTTTCGGCAAATGATCAGAGACCTCCCTTGAGTCCCGCGCCTAGCGAGATCAGCGGTTCGAGTCGCGTGAGCACCAGCAGTCAGAGTTTCCAGATCCCGGGGGACCCGAAGTCGACGAGAACGGGCAGCGTGCGGAGTAGTGGAGCTCGCAGCACTACTGCATCCTTGCCAGAGAAGACCATTACCGCGACAGCGGAGCTTCAACGAGCCGGAGGATTGCCTGGTGACACCATACCTATCAAAATCACCATTAATCATAACCGAAAAGTGCGGAGTCCCCACGGCATTATTATCACCCTCTACCGGCAAGGTCGGATTGACGTTCATCCGGCCATCCCTGTCGGTCCACCGGGCCCAGACGGCAAGCAGAACTATGAGGATTACCTGCCAAAATCGCGGACCGGGCTGAGTGGTCTTTCTTTTGGCACCAGCCGGAGCAGCAGTGTCTTCCGGAAGGATCTTTCCCAGACGTTCGCGCCGTTAATCGTCGATCCGGTCACCATGAGCGCAACCGTCAAGACCTCGATTCGGATTCCCGAGGATGCGTTTCCAACGATCGGGCGTGTTCCGGGCGGAATGATCAGTTTTCGATATTACGTTGAAGTGGTGGTTGATCTGCGTGGCAAGCTTGCCGCGCAGGATCGCTTTCTTCCACGTTTGAACATGGTCTCAGGAGGTAGCAACTTTTCCTCCAGTGGCCAGGTTTTCACTGTCGCGGATAAAGCGGGCAATTCCATCACTTCTAACTGGGCTGGCAACATTCTGGACACCGATCAGATTCGACGCGAGAAAGGTGTCGTCGCCATCGTCTTCGAGGTTGTGGTTGGGACACGAGATTCGAGCCGTCGTCCACGTCAAACGACGGAGGAGAACGCCTCGCTCGCTGATCACTCGGCCGCCTTTCACAGTACCAGTTTCGATGGAGCTGATAGGTACTCCGATGGACACATCGATATTGGGGAGGAGCAGTACGCCGCTGAAGGTTATTATCCCAATGCAGATTACTACTACGACCATGAGGAGGAGTATTGGGATGAGTATCCCACAACAGGAGGGCAGCCTTACCAATCACTGGGTGAGGTCTTTCCACCTCCGCAGCCCGAGGAGCCGGTGGATGAGAAGACTAGGTTGCGGCGAGAAGAAGAAATGCTCTTGCCGAGTCGCCCGCCAGGTCAGGATGAAGCCGGCCCTTCCACCGTGGTAGCAACTGCTCCCACAGCGCCAGATTTGCCGGACGATGACCCATATCCCTACAATCCTCCGAACAGTGGGAATGATGCCCCCTCTTCGGCCCCGTTGTCATCTGCCTTGTCTGTGGAGACTATCGTTCTTGGTCCTAGCTCTGCCGGCCCAAGCGAGCCTCCTCCCGCTCGCGGTGAGGTCCAGTCTCACGGGGATGATAAGCAGGAGCTCGAGAGGCAGCGATTAATGATGGAGGCTAGTGCCCCGGATCCGGCACCCGGTGGTAGTACTCCAGCTGCCAACGCCGTTCCTTCTGCTCCTGTACTCGACGAAGAGGATCAGATTATAAGTCTGGATGGTGGTGGAGATGAAGCTCTACCGCGATATCAACGTTGAATCAAAGATACTGCATTTTTGGGTTGTGCCATGGTGGCCCTGGCGTTCTGTTTGAAGAGAGAAACGAGAGATCTTATATTCTTGCATTTTTTGCAGCTGGATGTTTTTCTATATTGGAAGATACCACTGTCGTTGTTTTGGAATTTTACCACTCAGATGGTTGGATGGGAGCTGCAGGCGTTTCAAGACCAAAAAGGCGGCTTGCGAATTTATAGCCTCGGACTAGATATGATTTGCGGCGTTGCTCTGATTTTGGGGGCTGCATTGCATTTTTTACGGGATGTGCATTACATTGTTCGACAACGTTCATCAGCTCTGTTCTTGTCTACTTTGTCGTGATGCTTGAGATGTGTATTCTATATTCATTCTTTGGGTCTTTAGATCCACGGTCAGGTTTGGGAATTGGCCAGGATTACTAGCTTCTGGACAGATCATAATATGAATGATAGAGCCAGGCTCTGCTGGAAGTTCAAATCAAATTTTTCGTAGAAGAAATCTGTCAAGCATCCCGAGGTCTTTTCATAAGGTACCAATTAGGAAGGAACTTCTTCGCTTACGCTCTTGCCTGTGTCGGTCATCAGTTACGTGTAAAAATCTCACCTTTAGAAGCCAGAAAGCACCGTGATAAACAACCCGAAATTGTTCTTCCTACCTATCTTTTTCCTTTCTTACTGCATTTCACTGTCATGCGTTGCCGATACCCTGGCCTCTTTCTCACCGCTATAGTAAGCCAGCACAGCCATGCACCTTTCCTTGCATGTATTTTCCTGATTACATGTACCACAGGTTTGTCTATGAGACGAAATGCAGTAATCGAAAACCATTGACAGGAATCGATTTTCTATGCAGCCTTTGCAGGGTTTCCAGCCATGTTTCCATCAGTCTTAGTTTCCTGTTCTTGACTTCTGAGGCGCCTGCCTTCTGCGGTAAGACCCCTTGCCGAGGCTCCTAACGAGCAGAACTCCCACGTGTGTCCGCCTTTTGAATTCCATCCCATTTCTTTCTGTCTTTTATTTTTTTTTCCCCCTTCTTTTTGGTCAATTTCCCGTGTCATTGGGGAATGATTATATAAAAATGAATTACTTGATCAGTTCAAGACCTGGATGAACGATCAATGCTGAATTGATGAGGCCCTGTCAATTTTGGTTTGTTCGAGTCCGCCAAGTAAACTAAGTTGGCAGCGATCCGTGCTACCAAACCACTAAGGACAGCCGAAGGGAGGTTATCTTCTCAGCTCCGGACAGTTGTCACGAGAGCGATTCCCGTCAAATTTGACTCCCTGTCATCGACTGGATCGGCCGGTCTAGGATTCCTTTTTCTCTCCGTTCCTTCCACCTGAATAGTGCAACACACACTCGCGATACACATCGCGAGCGAGAGACCTGAGCAGCTGCCGCTGCTATCAACCACTGTTGCCCTCCATGGCGCTCAAGAGTGGGTCGTTTGCGACCTTCCTCATCGTCTGTCGTATGTGACCCCTGTTTTGCTCTGCTACAGCTTTCTCCACCTGCGATCGCCTGCACGGATCACTGTGTCAGCAGTGTATGTGTATACAGTTGTGGAGTTGTGAACCTGAACTCTTGCGATTCCTTGTCTACAATGCCGACGTGACTAACGAATCACCCGCACAGCAACATGTTTCTTCCTCGGCATCATCTTCTCCCTGTTCCCGTACGACTATCCGCTCCTGTGGTCTGGCGAACCGACTCCTCCCTCCCACTATGATTACCTCGAAGCTCACCTGCGCTTCCTGCACGCCTCCCCTCCCCTGATCCCGCGGATCTTACATATCGTCATCTTCATCGGCTTCGCGGGCCTGCTCGCGAAGCTGTACAAGCCGTCTGAGGCGAACATGCTCTTTGACGGCGCCAGTCTGGTTCTCTACGTCTGCGGAGTGACGGTGTACATCGCCAACATCGTTAAGGGTCTACGACTCGTCAGCGGCGGCCAGTACGGCGCGGACCTGGCCACGACACCGGAGGAAGCGGACCAGATTCTCGGCCGCGAGGACAGCCTGAAAGTTCTGGCGGCGAGCAATACCATCCTGGCCCTCGTGCTGGTCGGCGTGTTGATCTTGCAGGCCGGACAATGGTACGCGGAGCGGAAGGATGCGCAGGAATATGAGACGCTGAAGCGGAAGAGAGCCGAGACCTCTCCCAACAAGAGAGAGCGGCCTGAGTCGAGTCCCAATCTGGGACGAGTAAGTCGCCAGGGAAGCTCGTCAAAGAAGAGGCAGTGAAAGAAAAGAATGACGAGAGGGGTTATGTTACGTGTATGCCTTTTAAAAGAGGAAGTGGGACAGACAGTTCTTCTTTGGCAACTGTGTGTGTGCGTGTGTTGTGTGTGTATGTGTGGATGGACAATGTATCCGTGTGTTTTGTCTTAAACCTCGACCGATCCTTGTGCGTCGAGTACGATGTGGTTTAGGTACTCGATTCATTCGATCGATTCGTCATATATACAGATAGAGACATTGTCGAGGAACGAGAGACGAAGTGTTTTTTTACTTATTTACTGAAAGTTCGCTGAACGATATCAAGGGGAAAAAAAATTCCATTTATCACTATAGACCTGCTATCATGAACAACGAATGACGTTGCCTAAATATCAATATTAATCCTCTGCATTCAAACCTGGCTGTCGTTATGTTCGTATCGGTAGGTTTAAAAAAGTTCATATAAGAAAAGACATTATATACAAAATGTGAGGGCAGCAGAGTGGGTATATTTGAGTTGTGCGTGCGGTGGTGCAATAACAAGAGAAAGACGCCAGCTATGCCCCCAACAATGACAATGACAGGCAAGATTGTCCAGTAAGTATGAGCTACATACAGAGATTTTAAACGATTGTCCCAGAACACATGAAATAAAAACAGATGCAACGAAGGTGCCTAGTAAGGGGTATAGAGGAAACGAATCAAATAATCTCGTGACCAGAAAAACAAAAGTCTGTCGCTTAGCGATGGCTCGGGTGCTTATTGCTTATTGAAGAGGGGACATCTTTGTTGTCGCCAACGACTGCAACGCGGGCAATTGAGTAGGACGACAACAATATTGTGGAACGAAAAAAGGACAACTGTTATAGGCATCAGCATCAGCATCATTAGACATCATATATATATATCAAGACGGCCTCAGTATGGACAGACATGAGCATCCAGAAAAGTTTTTGCGGGGGAAGGGGAAAAACAACGGCAGGGTCGTTCATAGATATCTGCGCATATCAGGTCTCTTTCGTCGCGATGTAGCGCATCGTATCCTGCGGTGAAAATGAGAACGGGCTACGAGGAAGATCTGGAGAGCGAGGACTCAGAGCCTTGGCGAATAGTTCGTCTCCTGAGTCAGTGCTCTCGGTGCGTTTCAGTGAATCGAATCCAAATTCAGCACCACCCTGCTGTGCCTGTTGGATTGATTCCGGCGGGTGATGGGCCACCACGCGTCGGGTATCAGACGAAGGAGGTGGAGCGTTGCGGAAGGAGTTGAAAGATGACACTGCAACATCCGGAGACTCGGGGGAGAGGAGGTGGGCTCCTGCATTAGCATCGTTATGACCGGCTTGTCCTAGACGCATGTGAGCAGAAAGTTCTCTCCGTGAGGTGATGTGAAAATAAATTGACGGAAAAATTGGTCACACCTTCTGCCCTCTTGGCCAGATCCATTTCACTTGTCTGGAGCTTCAACCCTTTCAGCTTTTCCCCTAATTTTCTTCCCCCCGCAGGCGAGATGGGTGTAGTGGGAGGATATGACGGCGCTTCTGATGATGGTGCTGGCGAGGATGACAAAACATTCTGGGAAGCAGACGGAGCTGAAACACCAAAGTTGGATTCAATCCATTCCTTCTCCTGAATTGCCATCTGCACCGCGACGCCTTCTGAGTTCTTGATGAATTCCTCCCGGATCTCCTTTTCAAGGGCTTGCAGGCGCTTCTTCGCCCATATTGTATGCAACACACCCTTCTTCCCTGCTGTCCGTGCCGTCGCGCCCAACTCTGCTGGGAATATGGCGGGTAGTGGATTGAGCTGTACCGACTCCGGCTTGACGGTGGATGCAGAACTTGGATGCGGCGTGTACGTCAAAGTCACCACTGGAGGAATCGTCACGCCAGGAGGGAGCAGGAAATAAAACCGGCGCGTATTCTCGCTCGTCTGCTCGTCGGCAGGAAGCACTGTCGTCTTCCCTTCCCACGAAACGTGCCACGAGCCTGTTGAGGATCGGCTTAGGTCGTCATCTTCCCATTCCACCATCAGGATCTTGGTCCCCTCGTTCCCCTTTCCAGCCTCGAATTCGAAACGTGCAAGCGCCGTGATGGAGAGGCTGCCGCCATTGGGGACGCGCGGGGTCTCCAGCGGGGAGAACTCGCTGTCGGGGGAGAAGGTCTGAGACATGGCTTGACTTGTCCAGGGCTATCTGCTCCTCAGGGTCGACCTCGGAACCGTGTAGGAGACAGTGCAGTGGCTTATTCTGACGAAATGCGGGGGCTGGAAGCGTTTGGAGGAAGCACAGGGCAGCACATTGCCTGCTGCCGAAAGCAGACTGAGAAGGGCAGGCAGATCACGGGATCTCGGGGGATTCCTTTCAGGGTCGCTGGTCGGCGACCGCAAGGCCGCCCGCTGATTATCGCCGTTCTCCTTTCCACATTGTCATCATCTGTCAAATCAGACCGCGAGGAGGCCGGCGACGATCTCGTGCTTGGCAGCCAAACTCTTCTAAAAATAGAGGCGGCATGCGTGCAATGTGTGCCGGGAACGATGGCTTGCCGGGATCGTCATTGGATGTCGGCTCTCGTTTGGGAATGCAACCTCGCGATTTCAGCCAGCTCGAATGAAAACTGCCCTCCCGAATAAGATGAAGGAGCGGTTGAAACGGCTGGTGCCAGCATCTGAAGCCAAAAAGTCATAACATCCAGCATAAATCGGTCAGAGGACAGAATGTGGTCGTCAGAGTATTCCGTACTCGGCCATGGACCCCGCATGCTCGGTGGAGGGGACAACCCCCCAAATGCGTTCTTGGCATTAATCAACTCCCGACACTGGCCGGTTCCTGCTTGAATCCTTCGTCATCGGCGCTTAACTAGGTCGATACTTACCAAACAGGTGAATATGAAGTTCAGTTCAGACTCTCCCTTCGGATCTTCGATGATGACACACGTACGGCATTGAATGAGATACCACCGAGTCCATATCTCATTTTCTTGATTCTCCGCCGCATGTTGGCACGGAGACCAATCTAATCTGATCTAAACACGTGATGCAGACAACCTGTCTACATAAGGTAGCAGAACGGCGCTTATTAAACGCTTTTGCAGAGTGTCTAGATGATATTAATAACAGACCTTATTGAAGTTTTTCCAAAGACAAGTGTGAGAGTTCAATGCTGTTCTCGATTCTTATATCAGGATTATGTCCCTACCCAGAAACTTTGAGCTAGATTCATGCGGTTTTGTCAGACCTCTGATAATCCCTTGAATCTCCCAGAGATGCTCCAAGCTCCAGTTAATATGTCGCTTACATGAGACCCGACAAAACTCGCGGCCGGCTTCACAATACTGTTGACAGACAGCTGCTGGCCAATACGTTTCTTATCGACCATAGCCAGCAAAACAGATCAGATGCCTGATGCTAAGATGCCTGATTTCGACTTAAAATATCACAAAGGTTTCTGTTGATCTTCATTTAGACCATGAAGTTGGTGAAGCAAACAATCGGCACCAATCGCTGCAGAAGCTGCAGAATGGCATCGCGATTCGCGAATGTCGATTTGTTTCGACAGTAGCTGCTTCACGAAGGGCCAACATCGTGATTACATATTCATAGAAGCCCATCATTCTTTCCATATGCACGACATTCTGGTACTCTGGTGCGTGCTCGATTGGCTCCAATATCCCTGTGGCCATGCGCTTGGCGGGTAGACAAGATCTATGTCTAGGTTCTCGACCTGATTGGTTCGCCCCTGATCCAAGTCATTGGAAGCGCCCTGCATTAAGGAAAACAGAAGGAAAAGCCATGAAGCAGAATATGCAGGTACTTGGTTAGCTGCGAATCAGATACCAGATCAAGTGAGCTGAAGAAGGAGAGGGCGCGTAAGTAGGATCGAGGAGTCATTGTTTTAGGGCCGTGTCATCGAAATAGGCTTAGTGTAGTTCTCTCGGAGAAAAAAAGAAGAATCTGGATGTTTACTTCGAATGTTATTGTTGTGAGAAGTCACCGGAGTTGCCCTGATTCTGGTCAAGCAGTTCACTGTAAAATCAGTAGAAGAGAAACAAGACACTCTCAGGCTAGCAAAGGATAATTACAAAGATGATCATGAAGAATCGGGGAAAAAATAAATCCAGCGCTCTGTGAGGTGAGGAAGACAACTGGACTTTCCAAGCGCCATATCTAACCACACTATGTTATCTCCGGCTTGCCTGTTGTTTATGTGTTTACACGTTGGCGAAATCACAGCCACACCATTGAAGCACAGATCGCAATAAAGAAAAAGAGCAGTTATGATCCTTCGTGGGGCGAATACAAGAGTAGCTGGCTATATCAGAGGCTCACAGCCAGCTGATGATGTTTTTCAGCCCCAAGCTGGCGTTCGTGGGCGGTTCGCCCGCTGAGGCCAGAGCCGCGCGCTTTCAGCTCCACGAACCAGAGGGCCTCCGCCTGCCGAAATCGACTTCTTTCAGGGGCTCCAGGACATGAAACTCAAGAGAAATAGGAAGTTAAATGGCGGCGATTCGTAAGGCAGAACCGTTGAGGCTTGCCTCAGATGGCGCGCGGGAACTCGAACATTCTTCTTGACCTCCGTGGGCGGTTAGGGAGGCAGCCACCTGATATAAGAAGAGCAGAGCATCTTCCCCTGTCCATCATGGATGCGATTTTATAAGATCTTCCGATTTACATTGTTACGCAGAAGAAAAACAAAATTGTCGAGTTCTTCCAAACCTTGCCAACAGCAAACCGCGAGTGCGGCCTTGCTCTTCATCAAGCTTGCTTTCCTTATTCGAGTGAGCCCGCCAGAATCCTGAGAATTCCAATCGCCCAAGAGGGCACCGGCACACATTCGTCTATCGAAGACTGGAGTGTCTCTGGTTAGTGCAGCTTCAGACTGGAGCCCAACAACACAGTACGTACTGAACAAAGTCGTGTTTTGCTGCTGCGATGCAGACGCTCGTGTAGCCTTAGCGCTGCCTGTTGGCGCTAGGCCATTCCTGGTTGGCTGACTCGAAATCTAACTCAATACGCAGATCAGTATCGGTACAGTACAATACGGTGATACATGTATTGTACCGTTTCTCCATACGGCCGCCTGTCGAACGTCTATACCTAGATCTCACTCCCAAACTCACGGGTGGAACTATCGTCACAGCCCCCGGCCTTTGCTAGCCTTTCATTGCTGGTTGGATGATGCCCCCTTGTGATCGCACCGAATGCGTCTCCGCCTCTGACGCTGCGTCTCTGGTCTTGTTTAAATATTTTAAATCGATTCCCTCTCACCTCCGCCCGTGCTCCAGAACTACACACCGTTCCTCCCAGCACATTCGAGCCTCAGGCGTGTCGGACGCTGCTGTCATTCCTTTACCTTCGATCTGACTGCCAGATTGTCCCATTCTGCGTTCAAGTTTATCAATTTGCAAGTCGCGATCATCTTCGCAATTTCATACCCTTGTTAATTACAAGGCACAATGGCCCCTACGAAGCCAACTCTCCATCCTCTCAAAACTCCAAAAAGCACGACATTCCCGTCGGAGATTCAAAGTGGCTCTCTTTCGTCTCCGTCAGATACAAAGCGTGAAGATGCAATGTCCACTCCAATCACGCCTCCTGTCGCATATGCGGAATTCTTGAAAGCCCTTACGCCAGTGTTTACCAGTCCAGTCAGTCCAGGGACCAGCTTCCCCAAATTTCCCATCGAGAGGACCTACACATCTACGTCACAGCCGTCTAGCGCAACAACCGGTTCATTTCCTAGTGGCGATGCAATCAAATCTGCTTCTGCAACCTTTTCACCTCAGTCTCCGACAGCTCCCCCTCTTTCTGCAAAAGGATCGAGCGCGCGAAGACGTTTGAAAATATCACCCGTCAAGGGGCCTTCTACGGCATTCTCGCCGACTACAGACTCTCCGAAAAGCGCTTCGACCGTCAAGTCTCCATTTTCACCATCAGATTGGAAGCTTCGGTATTTTGAAACCACAAGAAGCACGTCTGGAAAGCCAGTAAGCGTACGCCAAGTAGTGACTCGCACTGTCACCTACAAGCGGACGCCGCTGGATCCTCCCCCAAAGGGCAAACGGAGGAAAACCAACGAATCTTAGGGATCTTTTAGTCGCTCGTTTGGCATCCGAATCTCATTGCAACCCCTGTCGAAAATGCGACAACAGTTACGACCATTTCATCTCGCATTTCTTAGCGTTTGGATCGAATTTACTTGATTAGCAATAATACCTTTTTAGACTGTCCGCATCATACCCTGGTGGTTCATGCGCGGCACGTTACCGATCCTAGTTCTCCTACGTTCATGTCACTCGGTTTCCTTACGATATAACGACACGTCTTTTTGGGGAAGTGGGGGCACGGAGTTTGGCGGCATGCTTTCCTCCTTCTATTCGGTCGATGAATGTTTCCGGCGGAGCGAAACGAATCGTGTTCGGGTATCACTTCACGAATGGGCTGCCGCCCATAGTGGCCATTGTTGGTTTCTATATATCTCTGTGTCTTTCTGATCTTAAATCGGGCACGGACGGCGCAACTTCTTTCCAATTGGTAGGGACAGCGATGCTTAGAGCAATGGTGCCGATTCATGCGTCGTCATCCTGTGTTGCTTGGTGTGGCCCGACCTACGGCTGTCATCGTTTGTTATCTGTCTAGTCCTTCCAAACTCTCTTTATTATCTCATGTATTTTAACAAAACGAGAGAACATTGGTTCCAATCAGTCTTGTTGGCATCATCGCAGCTCTCTCCTGCAACTCCAATTGCCTGAACGAGTTAGGGCCGTACAATAATGCTACGTTCCATAGTGAAAGGTGCATCTCACCAAATCCGGAAATTTGGTGATCCTAGGTAGGATCTTTTGTTGGCGGTCGCTTCCCTCGGGACGATAGAAAACTGACAGAGCACAAGAAGCCCAAGCCATACGATATGACGGTAGCAATGGGAAGGTCATAGACAACCAACAATCTCAATTATTGAATGAACTGCACTGAAACCAAAGTCTAATTATCGACTTTCCGGAACTTGCGAGTCATGGCTATACGGAATCGCCGAGAAAGCATGATCAACCTCTTTCATACTTGGGATGATTCCAATCGCGTCCCGTGACAAGCAACCAGAGGTTAAGCGTCAAGGCAGACGCCAACTTAGACGCGATGCGTCTGAGAACCCACACAACATGACTGCGATCTCGAAATAGTTAGTTTCTGGAGCCACGTCCACGCCAAAGAAGCTAACAATCTAGCACATAGTATCGTTGTCTACAAGTCATGACAGAATCCAACACGCGATGGAGTAGATATCATTGGTCGAGACGTCAATTGGGCCTCCTCATCGAGTTCCACGTGGGCCGCGTCTCTCGAGGAGAGATCCCGTAGTAGCAACTATTCTCTCCGAACTTATCTCGCTCACTGACTACATGTACGAAGAGTCATGGCTTGTCCCGAGCGGCACTAAACTTCTCTGCAGAATTTGTGGAAAACAATGTCTCCCTATTTCCGATTCAAAGATTGCGTTTGAGGCTGCGGTCGTCTCAGGCAGAGCTAGGGCAGCCTGACCCTGAGTCTGGCAGCCTAGTCAGTCCATGTATTGATGTATTGTAACGTAAACGGTAACGGTATGTAAGGTTTCGTGAAGGTATGGGTATGGGTCAGTGGGGAAGTGTCATGACATCTCCGCTTCCTTTCGACCTGCTCCGGTTTGTTTGTGATCATTGAAAATGGCAACAAAGTGAAAAGCCTCACTATTGACGCAAGTTGATCCAATGAGACGTCATAGCGAAACTATGCAGAACCGTATATCCTTGCCAGATTGTGGCAAGCCTCTTCCAGTGCATGCAGCACAAGTGGGAAAACGGCCTCCCGTGGTCACAGGCAGTTAATAATAGGTAGGTGCCAGCAGGGCATCCATACTTCTGCTCCTTCCTGGTTCTCCAGTTCCGATCCTGTCTATGATAGGCTAAGCCCGGCCTTAAACGGATGTTAGTCACCTTGAGCGGCCATCCACTTCAGCTCCCCTGCAATTTGCGACTTCTCGAGTTCAATCATGACACCTCAATGATGTTCCTCCATACTAGGGGGAGGCCTGGTGGCCTACTACACACGCTAAGATGGAGGATGGAGGGGCTAGTGTCAATCGCCCTATCCAATCTCCACACATCAACGTTCTGTCCAGTTCGTATCTCACGTTAAGCGCCGGCGCCTTTCCCTCCCGGTGATAGCGGCCTCCTCTACACGACCACCTTCGATGCTGCATCGCAACAACGACAGACGATTGGCCTCCTGCTCCCAACCTTATGCGGGGATCAGGCCGACGGATTATTTTTGCTGCCTCTAGTGCCGTAGGGAGGCTGCCAAGACGGAGGGTCCGGCCGCGTATAACATGGTTCTGGGACACGCCTATTTTTGGCATATCGAATCACCATCGCCAGCGGGGTGTCGACGTTTCTACAGTGATTGTTGCGAACGGGATGGAAGCGCTGGAAACAGTCCGTTTACTATTAGCGCCAGCACCGTGCACCAATTGCCGGTTTCACGGTGGATTCGGTTAAGGAAACATGCTCGATCTTGTGTAGCCTTTGACATTTCATGTACAGTACATTGATTGCATTCCTTGCTGACCGTTTGAGACAGGGATACTGATATTGCACCTACGAAGGTGGGTTACGGTATACGAAGAATGTGTAATGGGAATAGCAACAACCTGGATTCAAAAGGCGACAGGCGCAACTTAAGTCGGTGAAGATGTGGTCGACTACCAAGTGTTGATCTTATGCAAGCTGCAAGCTAGCGAAGCAGGCCATGGAGATCCAAAAAGCAATCTTAATCGGTCTGGACCCGCTCTCGGCATAGAATCCAGGCAAATATTAATTCTGTCATGTGAGCAAATTAACATTGTGATAATAAGGTACTTCGTGCAGGTTGTCGCCCAATCAAGATCTTCAGTCCGACAGAACGTGTTCAACAGAAGAAAATCACTTCGAGTGGATCGAACGCAAATACAAGAAACGGGATCCTACAATACTGCGAGTACCTCGGCCAGACCTGCTCCAGAGCTCGAAGCTGATTTTTGCTGCAGTCAGGATCCAAATGTCTAATTGTCCTCAATAGCCGCTTAGGAAAGCGACCTACCGGAGAATTTCATCATGACCAAGGAGGCCTGTATGCCGTTATGCAGTGTCCAGGGTCAATTGACTACCCAGCAGCTATTTTTTTGCCCCTGCTAGACCGGCCAGTCAGTCTGAAGACTCCATTTTTGGCATCACCCAGGCGCCAACCTTACTGAAAAGAGGTAGCGTTCACAGATTCTATTTATGAGGTAGGTATGTCATCTCGATTTACCAATATAAGATTCACATCACCCTTGATGACAGTCCTTGATGCTCTCCTTGAATGCACAGTCCTGTTGCTGATAGCTAATTTAGTACACTACTACAGGTCAATTGATGCAATATGGATTATTTGTTCAGCATAAAGTCAATCAAATAAACGCCATCTGGGTTCCTGCCTGTTAAAGATCTATAGTTGAGACGATGCGCAAACCATATTGACAGTCACACGCGCACAAGCCGGAACCGTTGTCAATGTCATCCATGCGCAAGATGGTCTATTTCTAGATAGACCTACTTAAATATGTCATTGGGTGACTCTCCAGCTCCATGTGTGACAATTTGCATAGTTACCATGCTTATTTTTCTAAAAATAGCTCGAGCAAGGAGCAAGATCCATCTCGACCAGGCATGGACCAGATTAGACTGGCAGCTGGCTACCTACATATATGGATGACCCTGGGAGCCTCGTCCTCCTCGCGTAGTTTACTTGCCCATGCACGCCACTAAAACAGTTGTTTATAGGTTATTTACAACCTACCCGTGTCCACGAGGCAACCACCGGTACAGTCCTTGCTTTCATCATCTCACTAATTTCAATCGGCGGCTAGATAGCTGTGTCGAATGGATCTAGGAGGGCTTTGTTTGCAACATTGCCTACCTACCTACCTACCTAGGTAAGTACTAGATACAGAACTCAACCGGGCATCAATCCACTTTGCTGCTTGCTTGCTTGTTTGTTTGTTTCCTTGTATCTGCCAATGAAATGGGTTATCCTCTCCTTTCCCCTCTTCCTCCTCCCCTCCTTGTCTATAGTATCTACGAATCATTTCACGTTTCCCCCTTGCATGCGGGCATGTAACTTCGCTAACTCATCTTCCAGTAAGCTTAACTTATCGTCTACCCCATCCTGTTCCCTCCGTGGTCGTCGACGTCGAGTCATCACGATATTTATAGAAGTCGGTCAGAAATAACAATCACACAGCGTCCATGCTATCTCCAATCATATGGAGCATGTACCCATTTCAATGTCTGGAGTCTGTTCGTTCCCGTTAACCTTCGGTCAGTCAGTAGTCCGTAGGATAGATCAGCCAATTCAATTCAACTCTGGAGATGGTCTCGTCACATGCGCATGTACAGTACTGCTACTGTCACGACAGTAGTAGTCTACTTGGCGGTACTATACTATGTGTAGCCCCGTGGGATACTATTTCTGGACACCTACCTACCTACTTACCTACCTACATTCAGGAACTGAACCAGCCCGTACCCCTATCACTGTCACTGTCGCTATCACTACTATCACTACCCCACAACTCCCTACCCATGTCTGCACAGCGCCGTCCCGTCCCGTCCCGTCCCATGTCAAGAATCTTATACTTTCGAGGAACAGAAATACATACTATACGTATTTCTGTCTGTCTGTCTGTTCGTTGTACGTAAGTATGTAAGTATGTATCTGTACCAGTACCAGTATCAGTATCAGTACAAGTATGTATCAATGGTATCAATTGTCACATCGATCTAAAAAAAAAAGCTTCTCCCAATAATACTCTCGCCAATGTCACGTCACTTGGCTAGCTAGTGTTCTAAGTTTAGAATATTATTGATCAGAATCTGGGATACCTACATATATACCTATATATATACATATGTCGTAGGGGTAGGTGAACTGAACATACTGTCTGGACTTATCAAAAACATAGATAGGTAGATATATAAGGATGGATCCATCTCTGATAGCACTCACTCACTAACTCATCCACAGATACGTCTACCTTAACGGCTTATGTATGTATGTACGTACGTACATACGTAGAGTTGCCACGCACATACAAAAACTATACTTAGGTAGCTAGTAGGCAGGCTAGACTAGTCGAGTCAAGTGAGTACGAACAGCCAAGTTACCAACCTTCTCCGTTACTAGAAATAAGAAAAATGAAAAATAAAAAAAAGTATTATTATTCGATCAAATTTCAATAATGTGACTGACTGACAGATAAGTATATAAGGATCGCTGATTGTGTGTATAGTAGATGGCCGGATCGTCAGGGGGCAAAACGAGAGACAGATAGTAGGCGACATTATTATTAAGGGAGAGACGTTTGTTAAAACAGACACAGGAAAGGAGCGATGAAAAGACATTTAAAACGTGCCAGATCCAGACCGAGCCAGAGACGATTCCTTTTGTACCCATCCGTCCACCATCCAGCGAGACTTCGTCAATGTAAACCATCATCCTGTTCTAATGTACACGGACAACAAGGAGCTATGCCAGTTATGCGAAGTTGTTGATTATATTCACAGGATGAAGGCCAACGCGCCGGACAGCGCTGCGACAAAGGTCATGGCGATTCCGGTGCCAGTAGGGACGCGCAACGACGGAGCACCGCCCGTGAAGCCAGTGAACTTGGGAGTCTGCTCCGAGGTGGTAGTCGGGTGGGTGGGCGGCTTGGGCGCGACGTACGTCGCAGGCTTGGTTGCTTCGGAAGTGGTGTGGGCGTGGGGAGTAGTGGCAGGAGATTGGCTGTGGCTATACGCAGATGGCTGTGGGTGGCCAGGTTGAGTCGCAGTAGTCGGCTCAGCGTGAGGCGGCTGGGGATAAGTCTGAGGCTGTCCCTTTGGTCCCTCAGGTTGAGGAGGGTTCGGCTGAGGATAAGCCTGAGGTTGGCCAGGGTGTGGTTCGGGCTGTCCCTTTGGTCCTTCGGGCTGAGGATTCGGCTTAGGATAGGCCTGAGGTTGACCCTTAGGTCCCTCTGGCTGTCCGTTAGGGTTGGGCTGAGGGTAAGTCTGGGGGTGCGGCTCTGGCTGACCAGGGTGGTTGTCAGGATACGGCTGAGGATGAGGTTCAGGCTTGCCCGTGGGATGAGGTTCCGGGTGAGTCTCCGAGTGAGGTTCAGGGTGACCATAAGTCGAAGGTTGAGCGCAGGCAGTCTGGACGTGGGTCAGAGTCTCGGTCACAGTGATCACAACGGTATGATCGTTGTGGTCAGGGCTTGGCTGCGGCTTGGGCTCTGGGCGTCCATACTGCACAGGCGCCGGGTGAGAAGGCTGGCCGTACTCATTGTGCTGCTCATTACGGCCATATGGCTGTGAATGAGCAGGAGCAGGCTTCTTCGTAGGCTCGGGAGTAGGCTTTGGTGCTGGCGCCGGCTTGTTGTGGTGATCATCATGATGGTCATCATGATGGTCCTCATGATGGTCCTCATGATCATTATGATCATCATGGTGATCGCCATCGTTACCATTGTCGTCATGGCCATCATGAACAGGTGGCGGAGATGGTGGCTCTTGAATTGAGATCACAGGCGCCACCACCGTGTTGTCATTGTAGTTGGATTCCCAATCGTCGTCCCGGTGCAGCTGGACGTCTCTCGCGACATGGTGCTTGCTGTCCGTATCTCCTAGAAAGTCGCCCTTAGGGCCGCCACCCAGAAAGTCACCTTTACGAGTATCGCCGATGAAATCTCCCTTTGTGCCGCCACCCAGGAAATAATTCTTCTGCGTATCGCCGACAAAGTCGCCGTGCGGATTATCACCGAGGAAGTCCGTGGCTGGATGGTGTCGAGCAACCATGCTGTTGCCATTGCCTCTCATGGAGTCGGTGTGGCCGGCCGCCGCCACGAGGGCCAGCGGAAGGGCCGCATAGATGGTCTTCATGCTGGCTTTGCCTTGCTGCTGGGGTTAGTATCGTCCTGGGGCTGGAGGCACGAAGAACTAGGGCCAAAGGAGTGACTGGGATGCGTCTTCAAACGAGGGACTGAACAAGGAAAAACAAAAAAACGACAAACGAAAGAATTGTCGAAAACGCTACCGCTGGTCAAGAGAAAAGGAGAAAGAAAGCAAAAGCAGCTCGAAGAGCCTTTGAGCCGCTTTAATTGCTGTCGAAGACATCGCGACATCCTCATGTCGCCAGAATGGAATGTCCAGCGACGCGAAGAATCATACCAAAGAATCACGCCAGAGGAGCCGTTTCGACGCTGAGAATGCAATCAAGAATGGCACATGGTCCAATGTAAATGCATTGTGAAGCCAGGATCCAGCAGCTGGCAGTCTGGACTTTGGGTGAGCTGGCCCGATTAGGCAGGCTGTCGGAATGTCGACGCCTCCACAATCATCAGGACGCGTCGAAGATTGGCATGAACACCACATGCGAAAACAAATCAGCCTGGCTGACGAGCCCCTCGCATAAAATCTTGCCAATTTGATGGCTACAGCGAATCAGACTCTGAATACTCTGGAGCAGGGTTCCAGATCCAGTTCAGCAGAGCCTAAGCAGCATTTGTTGGAATCCAGCTCTAATCTTTCAGGAAAGAGAATCTGAGCTGAAGGATGGAGGCACTATTCAGAAACTTAGCATTAAATGCATCACATTCAGCTACATAACTACTGACAATACAGGGTAAATGGACAGTTACTGGTGTATCCTATCATCGACATTCCCCCTCCATCGCCCTCACTTAAGAGGACCCAAACGGAAGGGAAACTTCCTATCAAGGAGGTTTGCTCTCCAGAACCAAACGATCTTCCCTCTGAGGATCAGAGAGAAGATCACGGCAACACATCGTCGTGGAGGCAAGCAGACTGGAGTGTCTAGACGACGGTCGTGGCAGGTTCTGTTGGCTTTTCGACGTTGGAGAGGAAAAGAGAAAAAGAAGCCGAAGTTTTCTGTGGGCGGCGGCTTTTGTAGTGGTGGGTCACGTGGGTTGCGGATTTACGTTGTTGCGGATATCCACAGCAGGAAGCAACATCTCGTCAATTAAATTCGCGCGTATATAATTATAGACAGGCCATGAGCCCAGCTCACAACTCCAATACTCCAATACTCCAATGCTCCGCTCGTGATGAACAAGTCATGCGCAGGTGTGCGCTATCCAAACCCACGCTCTCGATGTCTTCTCGACAAAGCGCCTTCGGGGTATCACATTAGTTGCAAGTCTGATCTAGACAGCACATGTCTCCTGCTCTAATTCTATCGGTTCCTTCTCTCCCTTTTTTGAACATGGCATCACGTCTCGACGGTTCGATGAAACAAAAGAAATAAGGCAAAGGCCGAGACCAAAAGAACGGACATGATTACAAAATTCTATGTGCAAAAGAAGTAACATGTCATAATTAACCTGTCATAGTCTGTCAGTTTTGATTGGAAGCACGCCAGGCCCGATCTTCACATACCAATTATTTATCGGTGTCAATTCTTACCCTCCTATCGGGGTTTGCCGGTTGTTGGATCTCCAGACGCCGCCCCCGACCGCCGCCGTAATCCCCAGCGCGATTCCCACCATCGTTCCCACAATGATCACGGCGATGAGCAACTTGACCGCCAGTCTCTGCTTCGGACTCAGAACCGACAGGCAATCGCAACGCTTTCGTTTTTGCTGCCACAGTTTCGACTCTCGTTTATTGTGGACTGGCGACCGGAGTCCACTTTCGAGATCCTGCGAGTAATACCCTCGGCCTGTTATCTGCGCTTCGTTTTTGAGTTTCTCGATCGATGGGGTCGCGTGACAATAGAAGGGTGAGTAGGGTTTTGCGCCAACGGAAGGGTCGAAGTCCTGGGTTGTCCCGTCCGGTAAAGACTGATCGGTCGTTGCGGGTGATGGCATCAAGGGACTGGGAGGCTGAGGGCAGAGCTTCTCCTCCTTCGGAGGGACAGTCGTGACATGGGCACCAAAGACGGGTGGTGAGTCCATCGTGGAGGACCAAGAATATATGATGTAGACGGGTGACTATATATGGGAACCGCTTTCTCGAGATGGTTGCGGTTGGAGGTTGAGGCGCAATCGACAGCGAATCGAGTCAGCGATTGCGCTGTGTCAACAGTCAGGCTTTGCAGGGAGAAGCGATAAACGGCGATGCTGTTGTCGACTTCGCGATGAATACCCTTATCAAGCCTGACTCTCAGTGTTGACAACAGCCAGCGGCGATGACAGAATCACAACAAGGCTTGACCAATCCAGGCACTCGATAGCGGTTGGTTCAAGAGCGCATTCCTGGCGTCCGGCGTGCAATGTGTTGAGTTTCAGGAGCAAGTCGCAACGCTCCGCATTCCAGTAACCACGCAAGATGTAACAGCGGACAACGTAAAACTGGGCGAGGGAAATATTGTATAGCGATGAGGAGTAGACGTCAGCCCTGAATGCCCAGACAACGGCCAAGCAGCAGTACAGACTACAAACTACTGTACAGACTTGATCACGGAGTGATCTGTACCCAAGCAGACACCCTGCTCCACTAGAGATCGTATGATCCCGAGGGCATGCACCTGGAATCACATCCAAGACTTAATTATGGTTCCCTAAAAAGGGGTAACAGCAGCAGTAGCGTAGTGTACGAGTCCAAGCGTCCGTACGTCAGTCAAGGGGCGCCTGGATGGGCCCATTCATGGCAGCTTGTTTCGGAGGATTGCGTGCACGGTGATTAGGCTACTGCAGGTCCAAAGGCTCCAGCGCTACCTAACTCTGTACAGAGTGCAGTAGTAGCATAGCATTGTTGATACATCACACAGTGATAACAACAGTTTAACGTGGCTACCTAATCTACGGAGAACATTCGTTAGAAATCATATTCTTCCGACCGAAATAATCAGAATTCAAGCCGCACGCTCAGGCACGAAATCCTGCGTAATGAGTCCTCTCGCTCTCGCCAGCTCGGCATAGCTGCCTGCTAACTGCTAGCCCGCCCTGTCAGATTCTTACCTAGCTTGGCGCAAGTCTTGGTTCTAGCTAATAGCTCTGGCGGAGTGCCTGAACGGGGAAAGGATCTGAGATTGCGACTCGACCGTCGGATCTTGATCTGCCGACTATAGACGACCGACGGTGCTCCCTGGTGTAGATCCTAGTGGCTATCATCTGGCGAGTCGCGACAAGAAAAAAAGCACGAGAGAAGAGAAGTGCTTCACCGCTTCTTTGCTGTGGGCTAACTCTCTCTACTCCGTACTCTACTCAGGTATATTCTGCTACGCCAGATACTAGCCTCGAATAACCTAGTTTTAAACTACTGTCGCTGAGACTTTCCTGCTGAGTACGGAGTAAGAGGCAGACGTGGAGGTCTCATTTCGTGACTCTATGACTGGACCGGGGAAATGCCCCGACTCCACAACCACGTCGCTATCCCCCACCTCGTACGGAGGACTCCGTACGTATGGAGCAGTCATAGTTAATTAGTTGACTGCTTGGAAAATTAGGTCTCAGTCTCACTCTCAGGATTGTGGTTCCCCATCCACACGCAAGCAAGGGGTTCTTAGTGACATTTTTTAGCCTCTTGCTCAGTTCACCTTACTCCGTACTTGGCATTTGGCGGGAGAGATTAGCAGCACCTAAGCCTAAGAGTCAGGGCGAGTACGGAGTAGAGAGCTCTTCTTCACTGCCTTCTTTTTTCCTGATTCCTTCTTCTTGATCAATGTGTCATACTATTGTTCTGACTTTGGATAGCGAAGAAGGACGATGTATAGAGTCATGGATTATTTGAGTACTATCTCCCTACCTGGTATCTACTAATTAGCTAGGTGCTGGCCTAGTCTCAATCCCTGTCGTGACGGTCGTTGGCATGTGTCCATGGCTTTGGACGCCCAGTGCAGCTAGCAGGGCCTAAGTAGTAGTTAGACTACCAGAGTCACCAGACTCATGGTACAGATTACGGAGTAATACGCCAGTTTCTAGTACGGAGTAATACTTCATAGTTACTCCGGAGTAGGTTAGTTGTGTCCTATCTTCCCCTTATTTCTCTTTTTCTCCTTCGTGATGGATGGTAGTTGCAGTCTGTAGAACTATTATTACAGTGGCAGTAGCAGTAGTAATAATAATAGTCCATCGAAAGTCATCTCAAGAGTCAAACGGTGTCATCTATCTAGCTTGTAGCAGCTCATCACACCACTGGGAAGACTTACTCGGTTTATTCATTTACAATTAAAACGTGATGTTGCTGTCTATTCGCCTTAGGTGGTAAATTAAATGAAAACAGACCAGATTGACTCGTTATGAATGCCGTGTGACGGAAAAAATATGTATGAGTTGCATAACGGATGTGATATATATATCTCTACACACTCCTGTATCTAACAAAAAACAGAAACCACGAAAACAACGAATCTATCACCATGTCCTCCTCATCATACGAATTTATATAAGGTTAAGTACAAAAACTCTATTTCTAAGCCCCAGCAGGAGGATTCTTTATTTCTCTTCATACAGCTCACAGTCTCACTCCGATTGTAACGCCTACCTATCTACCTATCCACCTGTCAAATTTAAATTTAGGATAACTTTACTCCGTACAAGTTAGGTAAGGTAGGGACTGTTAAAGAATAACTTTGTTTTTTTGTCGAAAAAAAAAGCTGCCAAAAGCTTATTCTATCAAGAGCTAGAAGAGGTTTAAGAGGCAAGGTTTATTTTTATTATAAATAGTCACTAATTTAGGGCTGTATTCCTTTCTTTTCTGGGTGACATTAGAATTAGATAGGATTTTATTAAATCCCTAACCTATAAAAATGAAATTTCAGTACTCCGTAGTATATAGAATAATAACTAGTAATCCAACCATTTTTCTTATCTATTAAAGATCAATTAATCACGACATTTGCTGTCGCTCAGTGATGATATAATTTTGCTAATGACATGCCTGGTATTTTCTTATCACCACCTTGAATCAACCCATCGATACATTACATTATAATACTCGTATCTCGTACATACACACATCAAAGCTTGTGAACCCTCAATAGAAACACACACACTCATGACAGAGTTCTGAAATTAATTACACTAGCTCTCAACAATCAAAAATTCGTCTGATACGCCATCCCCCTCGGCGGCTGATACCCCATCGGCGGTGCCATCCCTTGTCCATCGCCCAACCGTGTCTTGGCCTCTTTCTCCTGCTGAATGAGCGCGCAGCAAGGACAGCAAAAGGAAGCCATGCAGTCTGTGCAGCAGTTACCCTCTGTGATGCCGAACCGGTCGCGCATTTCGCCGCGGCGGATGGTCTGGAGGATCCATTGGATGCCGCAGAAGGAGAGAGCGGCGAAGAGGCAGCACTAGCAAAAGTCAGAAAAAATCAACTTTTTTTTCTTTACTGTGGATTGGATTGGATTGTATACTTACGTCGCCGTTACAATGGCTGAAATTCCTCAGACTCGGATCTTCAAGACGAGCCTGGGTCTTGCCGAACAGACAGCAGGGACAGAAGCAGCCGTAGAGACCTGTCGCAGTCAGAAAAAGAAGATCGATTGGCCTGTATGTATGTACTGGATGTAATAGGCAGAAGTGGACAAAGAAAGGGAGAAAGAATTCCATACAGGTATCTACCGGTGTGCAACATCCACAGAAGGAGTGGGACCATTTATTCCCATGCTGATGAGGATACGTAACCGGAGGTCCATAAGCTTGTTGCGCCATTATTTTTATTGGTGTGTCGTATTGATGTGTTGCTTTGTAGGTATCGATTGTTGAAGATGACAAGATGATGACAGTAATTGTTGCTGTCGATCGATCGATCGTTCGTTTGTTCTTTTCTTCAATGTCGTACAGTACCTACAGCAAACCAAACAACCCTAGCAGAATCCTGTGTCACAGGAAAGAAGGAGTGGTATGGTATGTGGTACTGTATCCAGCCAATCCTGTCGTGAAAGTGAATATTGAATATGTAACAATGGGAAAGGCTCAACTTGCACAACATAGAATAAAAATATAAATAAATTAAAAAAGGACAGAGAGAGAGTGTGTGTGTGTGTAATACTAAATTGAAGTATGCAGGCAAGCAAGCCTAAATCAAATGCAGTGCAGTGCAATGCAATGCAATGGCGGAGAAGAAATCACATTCTTTGCAGCGTAGTACGTGTAGTACGACCTATTATTATTACTCCAGAGAGAGGACAGTGTAGTAAGTAAGAACCAACTAACCAACTAATAACAAGGACATTTTTTAATTTACATGTTGGTATTTGTTGGTTGATGCGGCTGAAATTAACTACCAACATAAGAACCTGCCTAATTGAGGAGGAGCTGCAATTGTAGGTAGGATCATCGGGTCGTCAGCCTCAGCTGAAAACACATTAAAAAAGAGCCAACGCCAAGCTTAAAAAAGAATAAGATTGTACTAGGTAGTAAGTGAGTAGCTAACCTAGAAGCTAGAGCTGGAATCTTCTTAGAGTCATGTAGTTGTCTGTGATGAACAGGATGTTTCTCACGCACACGCGTGTTCGTTTGCCCCTTGCTTGGCTTTGCTTGCTTGGGGAGGTAGTTGTACCTCGTTTGTAGCCTTGTAGGAGTCATAACAGTGAATAAAGAACCTGTTTCTAGGATATGACCCCAGCAGATATGTACAAGCGTGTTGATAAATTAACTCATTAGACTGTACTTTTATCCAATGTATATATATATATCATCTCACTGTTCATAATCAGGGCTGTCAAAATCCTCCCTCTTGATCCCGCTCCGGTCGCACATCCCCCGAAAGATCCCATTCTTCTCCCACAGCTTCAACGGCGTGTCCATCTCCGCAATCTGCCCCTGGTCCATCACACAGATCCGGTCGTACGTGATGATCGTGCGCAGCCGGTGCGCAATACACAGCACCGTCTTGCCCTTGAATCCAGTCGCCATCGTCTTCTGGATCTTCCGATCTGTCTCGAAATCCACCGACGACGTCGCCTCGTCGCAGACGATGATGCGCGAGTCGCGCACCAGCGCGCGAGCAAGTGCCATCAGCTGGCGCTGTCCCAGCGAGAAATTAAGACCTTCTTCCTCCACGGGCGTGTCCAGTTGAATACGAGTCGCGCTCTGTGTCTTTTCGCCATTCCCGTTTTCCGCTGGGCCACTCTTCTCGTCCTCCTCCTCACCCGGCTCTTTCCCGACCAGATCGGCTTTCCTCAACGCGTCCCACAATTCCAAATCGGTATGCTCGTTGAATGGATCCAAGTTGGACCGAACAGTGCCTTTGAACAAGGTTGGATCCTGCGGGATGATCGCCAGGCGCGACCGGAGGTCGTGAAGACCGATTGTGGAAATGTCGACACCATCGATCTTGATGCTGCCTCCAGAAAGCTCGGTGATGCGGAACAGCGCAGACATGATACTTGACTTGCCCGCGCCGGTCCGTCCAACGATACCGATGCGCTCTCCACCGCGGATATCCATGTTCAGTCCCCGAAGGACAAGAGGGAGACCAGCACGGTAACGCATCTGCACGTCAGTAAATGTAATCTGGCCTGTCTGCGGCCAATCAGGTTCCACCTTGCCAAGGTGTGATGGTGCCTCTTCCTCCAGCTGCGTTCCGTAATAATGGACTCGTTCAGTAGCATTCATGTTATTTTCCACTTCGGCCAGCTGACGAATGGTGAATTGCAGCATCTGCACAATGGCAAGAATATATGAAAGCACAAGACCAGAGATACTGGGCGACACATCAAATCGCGATGTCACCACAAGAATACCTGTCACAAACACCATCACGTATCCAACGGCATCAAGCCGGATACTCAGCCAACGCTGATTGGAGAACGTCAGGAAGTAGGCACTGTCCATGTCATCGATCGCTTCAGCGATGCTGCGACTGAACTGTTTCTGCAGTCCATATGCCCTGATACAAGCAACGCCGGAGATCGCTTCACCGAAGCGAGAAAAGACGTGTGATCTCAGTACGGCTTCGAATCGTTTCATGTCTCGAGCCGAAGCCCTGTAGTAATTCGCCGCAATAAGGAAAAGAATGAACAAGGGGCCGAGCGCAATGGCGAACTACGAAGGTTAGACCAGGCAAGAAAAAAAAACTTCAGAAAACTACGAAAATATGGACACTTACATAGTGGTAGAACACAATAATCAGCACTATCACCGACAGAATCATCGTGATGGTGAGAGCATAGATACGCATCGCGTCTGTCAGTTCGTTGTCCATGACATGGACATCCTTCGAGAATCGATTCGTAATCCGTCCCAACGGCGTCGTGTCAAAAAAGGACATAGGTGCTCGGAGCACTCGAGTCATGGCACGTTGCAGCATAGTTCGACTGGCGTTTGTTCCAGCGGTCGACAAGACTGTCGAGAAGATATACATGAACACCGCCTGCGAAGCACCCAGCCCCGCATAAATGCCAATGTACTGGCCCTCCGAGAGTGGAAACTTGTTCGATGTCCAGTACGACAGCCACAGGCTGGTCACAATATTGGCTCCATTGGTCAGGATAATCGCGCCGAGAACGATAAACAGGTTCAAAAAGCTTCCAGACGCCGATATGTATGCCTTCCATACGTCCCAGCCCACCGAGTCCACAGCTCTCTCCTCCTGCTGCATCAGCGCCGCTGGTTTGGCAGTTTTGCTCTTCTTGGGCGGCTTTCCCCCTTGGTCTTCCTCGACTTCATCCTCCTTTTCCTTCTCCCCCTTCCCCTTTTCTTGGGACGTGGTGGACATCAACCTCTGGAAGACCTGGTTGTCGCGCATCAGGTTGTCAAACGTATCGACGGCATTAATGCGGCCATCTTCCATCAAGATGATCCGATCACAGCGGCTAAGCACATGAAGTTGATGGGTGGCCAAGATTCGACACTTATTTTTCAGAAGTCCACAGATGGCGTTGTCCATGATATGGCGACCGACATGGGCGTCTACGGCAGACAGGGGATCATCCATCAGGACGATATCAGCATCAAAATAGATGGCTCGAGCAATGTTGAGACGCTGTTTCTGACCGCCCGATACCGTGATGCCACGCTCCCCAATCTCCGTTTGATCGCCAGCCGGGAACACGTCAAAGTCGGGCCGCAGCGCACAGGCGTCGACGACTTGATTATACCATTCCTCGTTGTATTCCTTGCCGAACAAGATGTTATTCTTGACGCTGGTGTTTTGGATCCATGCGTACTGAGGACAGTAAGCTCTGCTGGCACCGAGCCGGACCTCTCCCCCGGTCAGTCGCATCTCCCCTGCGAGGGCCGAGAGAAGGGACGTCTTGCCGGATCCCACCGTTCCGATCACGGCCAGGAGTTCGTTTCGTTTGACGGAGAAGGTGAGGTCGGTCAGTTTGAAAGGCTCGACAGCGGTGTCGACGCTCGAATTGTCATCTTGGTTCTTCTCTGTCAGTGCTTTCGGCTGCTTCGGGGGATTTTTCGATTCATTTTCGCGGGTTGGCGTTCGCTCCCAGGTAAAAGACGCGTGTTCCACCTCGATGGCGTTCTCCATCGACTCGTCCCATTTGATATCCTCCTTCTGCTCCTCTGCAAGCAAAAATTCTTGAATGCGATTGAGCGCGGTCCATGCATCGGTAATCTGACCCAGAACCAGTGGCACCAAGTTCAAGGGCATCCGGAGAGAGTTGAACAGCGCCAGGGAGGAGAAAATCGGAGCCGGGGTAAGAGTGTGCTTGGAGAGAGAATACGTGATAAAGGCAAGCATCGACGCGTAAGTCGGAAGCGACATGGACACGCACTGAATGGCATTGCGGATCGCCAGCAGCACTTGGATGGAGCTAATTTCACGTTTGCGGATGACCTTGAGACGCTCCAGGAAGCTGCTTTCCCAACCAAAAAACTTCACAAACCTGACCGATTGCAGGATCTCCTGGGTCAAAGATACCCGCTGATCAGTGAGCTTGTTGATACTCCTTCTTCTTTTGATGAGAGTTCGGATGGCGTAGGTCAGACCCGGCACACCGAGTACCAACAATGCGTAACCCGACAGGGCGCTGTAGCCGATGTTTATACACAGGACGATCAGGGTGACGATGATACTGATAGGTGCCGTCCACAGCAGATGGAACATTCCCATGGCGGTGTTGATCCGGTCCGCGTCGACGCTCATCAACGTGATAATCCTCCCGTTGCTCCAGCCTCGACCATCCCCTGCAATACCCTTTCCAGCATCCGGTGTCACCTTGGGACCTTTGCCTGGCCGTTTCAAGAGGTCGTCCTTGGCCGACTGCAAAGCCTGAGAGTCTTCAATCGCCTTCCCGCCCGCTTTGGCACGGCCGGACAGTTTCATGGCCTTGTCAAAGAGCATATTGATGAGCACTGCCCTGATCTGGGCTCCGACGATGAATCCACGGTAGATGAATTGATTGTTGCCTAAGCTCTGAAGGATTTGCATGCAAGTAATGCCGACGGCATAGCCAATCCCGTCGCCGATATGAGGCCCAGGCTGGTGGTTGTGTTGGGCTACATACGCACTTGTGGCGAAGGCGATGAGATAACGAGTCATGTACGGCGAAAAGACCTGGAATAGAGCGCTGAAGAGCTGGCAGATGCCACCGATCCAGAATTCCACTTTAAAGGTGTCGTAGAGGGCAAACAGGAGTGGATAGCTATCCCCACGATCCAGGCGTCGCTGAAACGACGCATCGAGCTTCGCCTTCAGCACCTCGACGGACCGGTCTGGATTGACCTTCCATATGTCTTGCAGCTCCAGTGGACGGAGATAGCCGGTCTATATGGGAACATGTCAGTCTTCTCCTTCTTCCCCGTTATACTTGACAGGGCTGCTTACATGCATCAAGGGGGCCATCCACTGAAAGGTGATAATACTGAAGAAGTTGGCGCCATATTCGCGAGAGACGGTTCTCTCTTTGGGGACCGGAGGGATCTTCTGAAGCCGGAGGGGATTCAACTTGCGATACCATTTGGACGTTGTTTGGCGTCCCTTGGGTTTCGCGGCGGCGTCATGATGGTCCTCCGAGCCTGAGCTCGACACGCTCGACGACGGCTCTAGCTTCGTCTCGGCCGCTTTGTCGTCGTCCAGGATCCCTGGATTATTCTTGTGCGATTCTGCCGCAGTGGCAGCTGGCGCCTGGGATGCAGCGGCCATCTCCAGCCGAACTCAGAAGGCGGTCTAGACCACACACGCGCAGACGCTGGCAGTTGCTCGTTCGAGGGTGGTCGATGCTTGCACCAGGGCCAGCGAAGGCGGCAGATCTGGCGAGCAGGGAGAACATCATGGCAAAAAGATAGGCGCGTCGGTGGGAGGCACCACCGTCTTGACTAATATAAAACCATCGGACTGGAAGCTAGATTTAGTTCCGCTCGATAACCACGCGAACAGCATCGGACTTTAGGCGAACACAGTCCCGGGCAGGGAATCTGGCCGACAATCCGATAGGACGGCCACAACGGCGCAGACAGAAACGCGTCGTCGCCCATCTTCACCAGGCTGCAATGTGGGGAAGACGAACGGAGTCGGAGAGACGGGCAAGAGAACTCCGATGGATGTGATTGGAAGTGGAGAATTGGCAGCAAAAAGTCATCATTCCTACCTCATCAGGCGCTCCTTCCTCGGTCGTCCCTAGGGTCGCTGCTAGTGGAGGCAAGAGTGAGCCAGCGACATACGGCGCTACAATTACTAATAACTCTCCGTGGAAGCAAAAAGAAAAAATCAATTAGTGTAGATAGATGAGCGCATACCCTCCGACTGGAGCATTAAGCAGCCATGCCGGAACCGACCAATTAAAACGGCCCGTTAAAATTATGCACGCCTGACGTGTGGGACATATCTGCATAACCTGCTCGCTAAGCTTTCTGGGCGCCTTAGGCATGTACGACGGATACGAGTACATAGATCACAAAAGCGGATTCTTCAGTTGAGAACAAACTTACCTAGATAGGGATTTCTTATCACTTGAATACTAATATAATGATTTTTTCGGAGTACTTGAAGACGAACGAATTGATGATGACACATCTGACGTCGAATAAGATTCTCCGCGGGGTAAAACGATGGAACAATGGAACAATCCTCGTCTTCTACCTATCAGATTGATTACTAATATCAGTGATGATCTATATTGACAAGATGGAGTCTGCCAGAAAGTCAGTAACACCACTGTAATCTTTTTTTTTTCAGGAAAAAAAAAAGAGAAAGAGAAAGATGCCCTGCACAGTCCGCTTTCGAATCCAATGTGAAGGAAGTTAAGTAAGTTCTACCAATCTGAACAGCTTCTCCTGTGCCGGTTTATCCGTCAGGCGTGCTGTTTGTTGAGATAGATGCCTTCCTTGACCGCCTTTCCTCCTTCTCTAACTCCAAGGCTAGAGTACAGTACAGTAGGTGCTATTGCTAGGCAACATGTCCAGGTGGAGAGTGGGAGATGACATACTGTAGATCCAGGATCCTTGCTTGATTGAGCGGAGATTAATTATTACTCCGTACTCCGTATTCCGGGCCCCACGTTGACAGACAGAGCCCGGAGTCATCCTTCCGATCTGATGATTCTGGACCGACCTTTTTCGTCTAATAACTACCAAACTGCATCCGATGGTCTGGCTAGCACGAGCAGAAATTCGGCATGCTAGATCATCCATGGAATTAGGTAGCATTAATGCTGCGCCTATTTGGTTGGCATCATTACTTAGATTCCCTTAGTTAGGAATCGTCTCTAATTATTCCATTTGCATCTGATATACCATTCAGGACATTCTCTCTCTTCTCTTTTTTATTTTTTCTATTTTCGGGAGGGATATAGGTCTCACTAACCAATACCCCTCCTTGACAACCATCCATGCACTGCAATATGAATAATGGTGCATGCCGCTCGGCGCGGCCAACTTAGTATGCGCGGTTTTGTGACGAATCCACGCCCGGCACCAGAAAGTTGGCGCGCAACGACGCGACACGTTATAATCTCTCTCAATTTCCCTCACCCTCCCTTTCCTCCAATTTCTCTGTTTTTGTCTTATTTATTTCTCTCCTTCTGCCTCGTCTCGCCCGTATCTAATACGACGGGCATGCAAGGCACACGGCTCGGCGTGCTGGCGGAGCCGGGTGATTGACGTCAAGCCATCCGACTTTATGCCTCAACACCAATCTTGACTTTCTTCTCTGGAGGCGGAATGATCTTATCTTCCTTCTCACCGCCAAGATTGGGAAGCTCGTTGACGGCCTCCTCGATCATTTTCAGGGCCTTCCCAATCTCTTGCTCGGTGATCACGAGCGGGGGTGCCAGGCGAATGATGTTCTGATGAGTGGGCTTGGCCTGCATGCAAACAGTCAGCCTTGATTCGTCGCCTAGCAGAAAAGCGAGCGCAATGGAGGAGGAGAAGAAGAGGGCTCCAAGGCTTGACTCACCAGCAAACCCTTGTTTTTCATTAACATGCAGAGATCCCAGGCAGTGTGTCCTCCCGTCTTACTCTCATCGATTACGATGGCATTCAGCAAGCCCTTTCCGCGGACAGTCTGAATGATAGGGCTCTTGCTTTTGATTGCCTCCAATCCTTCGCGGAAAACGCGGCCAAGATTTTGGGCACGTTCCACCAGTCCCTCGTCCCGGATGATCTCCAGGGCGCGAATGGCGATGGCCGAGCCAAGAGGGTTACCTCCATACGTCGAGCCGTGCGTACCCGGCTCGATGGTGAGCATGATGTCCTTCCTACCTAGCACGCAGGACACGGGATACATGCCTCCGGAAAGGGCCTTTCCGAGGAGCACCAGGTCGGGCTTGATCCCGCTCCACTCGTGACACAAAAGCTTACCAGTGCGAGCTATTCCGGTTTGAATTTCATCGCAGATCAGCAGGGCGTTGTACTGGTCACAAAGAGCGCGAGCCTCCTGCAGGTAATCGTCGTCGGGCACAATAATACCAGCCTCGCCTTGAATGGGCTCCACCAGGAACGCGGCCAGGTTCGAGCCCGCCTTTTCAAAGGCCAAGCGCAAGGCCGCCTTGTCATTATACGTGATTGGCTTATCCGTGCCCGGAATTTTGGAACCGATATTCGGGAGGTACGGGCCATAGTTGTCACGAGATTCCGGGTCCGACGACATGGAGATGGCGGCAAACTAGAAAAAGAAATCAGTCATGATTGCGGTGCAATACGGAGATCACCTTGTGTCTCCGTCTCCTTGACTCGCGCAGTGCTCTCTCACCGTGCGACCATGGAAATTGTTTTCAGCGCTCAGCACAATGGCTTGGTTCTCAGGAATGCCCTTGACTTTGTAACCCCACTTTCTGGCGATCTTGACGGCCGTCTCGACGGCTTCGGCGCCCGTGTTCATGGGCAGCACCATGTCGAAACCAAAGAATTTGGTGACGAATTCGGCGAACTTGGGGAAGACATCATTGTAAAACGCGCGAGAGCTCAGAGTCAGCCTGGACGCCTGGTCGGCCAGGACCTTCACCAGCTCGGGATGGCAGTGTCCCTGGTTGACAGCAGAATAGGCGGAGAGGAAGTCGAGATAGTGACGGCCCTCCGGATCCCAGACGGAGGCGCCAGAGGCACGGGCAAAGACGATTGGGAGAGGATGGTAGTTGTGAGCGGCGTACTCGTGTTCCGCAGCGATGGCAGCCTCCGTCGACGCAGCGTGATACTTGGACGACTGGGCAGCAGCCTTGCTAACGGGCTCTGTCGAGACTGCACTGGGCGCCATGGCTGAGATAGTCGGTGCTCGCCGCGAAGTTGCTGGAAATGGACGAAGAATTGAGGTTCTGGACGGTTAAAAAAATGTTGGAGGATATTTACGCAGGAATGGTAGGTCAGACAACTGGAGTGGTACGTAGGGGTTGCGTTTGGCTCAGGAAGGGGCAGACGACGACGGAGAGAAGAGAGAAGGAGAAACCGGACTCGAAGACGAAAACGACTCCTTTGTGCAGGGCATGACGGGCGTGTGAGAGCGATTCCGGTGGATGGCGGAAAGCGTTGGACGATTCCACGGCATGTGTGGTGAGCTAGACCTCTAAGTGCAGGTGTATCCGCTCTGGACACGCCCAGCAAATAAATCCTGCCGGCCCGGTCGTCGCCGGAGGGGTCGCTCCACTGCCGGTTGCGCGCTGCGATTTCCCCGCGCTGCCATTCGCTGCCCGCTGCGTCTCCGGCGCGGCCCATGGATAGCCGCGTCCGGGCACGTCGCGTGCCGACGTCAGATCGCTATGAATCCTACAAGCAGTGTATGTACAGTTACAAGCGATCGTTGATGAGTCTGTTCCACGACCCTTTAAAGAAACTGATTTTGCCGTCATTGAATGTTACCTCACACTAGGAAAAATTAGTATATTTGGATAGTTTAATAATTTAATATCAGACGCACTCGTATTCTCTTCCAGAGTGGGGGTCGCGCTTTCCGCTGCCAGCCTTCCCCGGCGTCCCACGTGCCGCCTGAACGGGCCCGTTTGGGGAGCGGCTGACACTCGGAGCTCTGCGCCTGCCATGCCCCGTCTTCAGCTTCGCCGCTGACCATGTCGACGGCTTCATCAGACCTGGCTCTCTCGTCCCCAGAGGCGAGCAGCCATGTCTCGTCCACTTCGATCCGCCGTGGGAGACGGTCTCCCGCCGCCCCCACAAACATCCTGCTCTTTCTCGTCGCGTTCCGCGTCCTCAACGCCCTCTGCGTCCGTACCTTCTTCCAGCCCGATGAATTCTTCCAATCGCTGGAGCCCGCATGGCAGATTGCCTTTGGCAAGGACAGCGGCGCGTGGATAACCTGGGTGAGTGCTGAGTCATGTCCCCACTGAACTTCTGGAGCTAACTAGAGGGGACGCACAGGAATGGAAACACCAACTACGGTCGTCGATCCATCCGGTGTTTTTCGCTGCGGTTTACTATGTTGCGGGCTCGATCGCATGGCTTCTGCGCCATTCCCCGTTGACCGCTGCCGATCTTCTCATCGCCGCCCCGAAGACGACGCAGGCAGTCATCGCCGCGATTGGGGACTACTATACGTGGAAGTTGGCTGGCAGGGTGTACGGACCAGATAGCCATGGCGCGTGGGCAACTGTATGTAGTAGAGTCGAGACACGAGACTTCCGGTTCTAACGAAGCTCTAGCTCGCGTTGACCGTCCTGAGCCCCTGGCAATGGTTCTGTTCCACAAGAACCCTGTCCAATTGCTTGGAAACCACGCTGACCGTGGTGGCCGTATATCACTGGCCCTGGGAGTGGTTTCTTGGAATTGAGGAGGATAATGACGATGGAGGAGCTTACAAAGACGCGTCCCAAGCGCCAAGCGGACACGGGACTGGGAGCAGGCTTGCAAGGTATGGTTGGGCTGGATTGAATGCGACTCTCATCCAGTAATCTTTCCTAACACGCCATTGTCAGTTTGCGCAAGTGTCTTCTCTTCGCAGCGCTGGCTTGCATCCTGCGCCCAACAAACGTCCTGATCTGGATGTGCCTGGCAAGCTTTGCTCTGCTCAGAGTTCCCAGGCCAACACATTGGATCCTTCTGAGGGAAGCTGTCGGATGCGGGTGAGTCTCGAGAGCAGGTTCGGGTGTCATGGTGACTTACGCTACGTTCCCTAGTTCCGCCGTGCTTGTCCTTTCAATCCTGGTCGACCGCTTCTACTACGGCGCATGGACGTTTCCACCTCTCAAATTCCTCTACTTCAATGTCGTGCAGTCCCTCGCGGTCTTTTATGGGAGGAACGACTGGCACTATTACCTCTCCCAAGGCTTGCCGCTTCTTTTGACCACTGCCCTCCCGTTTACCATCCTCGGCGTGTATCGGGCCTTGCGATCTAATTCTACCTTTTCTGCCCCTGGTGACCGGCAGCTATTGATCAAACGCCAGCTCGCCTTTGTATGCCTGTTCATGCCGTTCGTGCTCTCTCTTATTGCCCATAAAGAAGTCCGCTTCATATACCCTCTGCTGCCTGCTTTACATGTTTTGACCTCGGAGCCCCTTGTATCATTCTTCCTTCCTGCCGTCTTGAACTCATCGGGAGCCTATGTGCCCCGCAGATTGATTCTCCTCTTTCTTCTACTTGTGAATATTTTCGTTGCGTATTACACCACTGTTTCCCATGCATCTGGTCCGCTGAGTGTTCTGTCATATCTCCGAGAGCGGCACCAGGCACATCATGAACCTTCGCACCTCCTTCAGCCCCCATTCCCATCACTAGGCTCTTCCGCCCCTAACAGAGTAGCATCTGGTGATTCCCCCAAGGACATGACGGTGGGATTTCTCATGCCTTGCCACAGCACGCCGTGGCGCTCTCACCTGGTCTTCCCGTCTATCCACGCATGGGCTTTGTCTTGTGAGCCCCCGGTTGGTTTTAACGAGAGCCAGAAGGCTGCATATCTCGACGAAGCAGATCAATTTTATGCAAACCCGAGTGATTTTCTCCGCCACAACATGATTGGTGGTTTAAGGCATATCCCTCGCAGGCCATCTTACCTTTCATCTATCCGGTCTCAGTCCGTTCATGGGACTCAACGAGATGACAGTGTCCAGCATGGATGGCCGGACTATCTTGTATTCTTCGCTCAGCTGGAACCGACATTGAACAGCCTTCTCCGTACTAGCTCCTATGCCGAGTGCTGGCGGACGTGGAACACGGCATGGCACGACGACTGGCGCCGGCGAGGTGACATTGTGGTCTGGTGTCTTGATCCGGTGGAGCAGCAGAATTGGCGAAATCTGCAGAGGAAGAGGGCCATAGAGAGACGGGATCGGCAGTTTGATCGAATCATCAAGGAAATTAAGAAGGAGGCAGCCGCTCGGGGTCTGTGGGGCAGAAAACAAGCCTCTTCGTGGTGGCCTTTTGCGCCATCGTCGTCGCTCTCCTGGCCATGGGCGAAGTCGAGAAAGAGTTATAGAATCTTGTCTGACTTTCATCTTCCGTCTTCATGGCCATTTTCCAAGAAAACGAAGAAGGAATCGTCCAGTAAGTCTGATCTTGAGCGGGACCTGTGGTCCTGACCCGGTTGATGCATCTTTCTTGAACGTTTGTCTATAGAAATTAGTTTATATCCATACTAATCATTAATATTCCTTCCTCACCGTTTGCTGCTGACTCCTTTTTTTTTTCTCACTTCCCGTCTTTCTCTGTAATTACGTGAATCTATCACCGGGATTATCACCAGGATAATGAGCTGTTCCAGACACTAATTGCGCTATATACTCCATATGTTGCTGTTATTCCGCTCTCCCCGGCGGCGAAGTGCATTAACTAGCATCTTACTGTCACTTTCACACTATTATTATTGGCTTTGCTTATCTAGGCTTGTAAGCAACAACGCCGAGGCTAAATCTGCAGTTCGATCGATTAGGATCATGAGGGGAAGCGGATGATATAAGCGCGCCTTCGCTGTCTTATATTCCGTTCACATTCGTGCACTGGTTGTTACTCATCCAACTTCGAGATCGTTTTTCTCACATTGCTGCCTCATAGACGAGACACTTCAAGATGGCTGAAACAACAGGCGCTGTTGGTCCGAACGACCCCTTCGATGCTGATATTCAGGTGTGTTCCGTCTACAATCCACGATCGTCAGGCAAGAATGTCTAACAGCTCAGGTCTAAGGCGGATGAGACTGATTCGAGTCTTGGAGAGGACCTGTTCGCAATTGCATCCTGTAGACTCTTTCCTGCTGGCCCGATGGCTAATACTTGGTACTAGTTCGACTTATACGGCTTCTCTCACCTCATCCGTTCTGAATTATCGACAGGAAAATGGCAGAACTTACCATGGATAGCACGATGGGAGTATGTATATGCGAAATCTAACGTTAGTAATCTCTTTCTAATGACCTACAAGACTACCTCTGACCCAATGACGGAGAGGAACAAGACCGGTTGGATATGATGCATGAAATGATGCTGACCATGATGGATCGGAAACTGTTCCTTGCACCAGTGGGAAACTCCCCACGGCGTGTTATCGATCTCGGTACTGGGACTGGAATCTGGGCTATCGACTTTGGTAAGAGATGGCCAAACAGAAGATTTGCAACATAAATTCACTTATGGTGGCAGGTGATCAATTTCCCTCTGCAGAGGTATGGTATTTCTTTTGCTCCATGTTCAATAACAACTGCACTTTGGCTAAGTAAACTCCTCTTGTCCAGGACATTGGTACGGACCTAAGCCCTACTCAACCTTCGCTGTAAGTAACCTCATACACTTTTTTAACAGTCTTGACTAACAAAAAAAAGGGTCCCTCAAAATGTGGGATTCCTCGTGGATGACATGGAGGATGAGTGGACATACGAGAATAAGTTCGACTTTATCCATGCGCGTTTCCTGGCATCTTCTCTCAAGGACTACAAAAAGGTGTTGAAGCAATGCTACAAGTTAGTTCTCCTCCTCCTCCTCCTCCTTCTTCATATCCTTCCCGGTATAGCCAGTCCATGCTAACTTGTTCTTCTCCCTATTCTAGCAATACCGTTCCCGGAGGATGGGTCGAATTCCAAGACTGGGACATGTATACATATTCCGAGGATGGAACTTTGAAGGACGCATACCTGGAACGGTACAACAAGGAAGTCACGGAGGGGTTCAAGAAAGCCGGATACGTCGTGAGTCCGGGACCACATTTGGAAGCGTGGTTCCCTGAAGCAGGCTTTCAAAACATCCACGTCCAGAAATACCGCGTCCCTTTGGGGACCTGGCCAAAGGATCAACACTACGTATGTATATATCAGTCTTGCATGTGCACGGTGGAGTGAGTTGAGCGGTCAGCTGATATAATGATGATGGTGATATCAAGAAAAAGCTAGGACCCTGGAACCTCCTACAGGCCGAGTCCGTGTTCGAAGCCGCCGCGATGGCGGTCTTGACGAGATTTCAAGGCTGGTCCAAGGATGAAGTGACGGTGCTGGTTGCCAGAACTAAGGAAGACGCGAAGAATCCAAAAATCCATTCAATGTTTGACTTGTAAGGGTCTTTCCTTGATTTTTTTTTCTTTTGCTGTTAGGTGATATTTAACTTCTTTTCCCAGTTATGTTGTCTACGGTCAGCGACCAGAGTAATAATGATGGAACCCTACTGATAATAAATTATGGAGCGTATATGTATGCAAAATTGGGTATTGATTGATCGATTGATTGATCGACTGCAGTCTCTCAACCTAAGTCCTCCTCCAACAGGCAAGAAAAAAAAAGGTGTGCTATACCCGAACAAACAAAACCATTATCCCACTCAACGCTGCATTGCATTGCATGCATGCATACTCCGTATATCTCTTTTTTTCCCTTTTTTTTGTTTTTTGTTTTATTTCCCCCCTTTTTCCATTTGCCGCTTTTTTTTTTTAAAATAATTCTCTCCCTCCCTGCTCTGTACATCACGATACTATCTCGTTCTCTTTGCCCTTTTTTTGTCCTTGCTTGCAAGTCTCAAGAGACAGACAGACAGACAGACAGACAGAGGGACAACAAGACAAGAAAAACCCTGGCGTCCAACGCCAACAACCCAGTTATGTATGTATGTAATGGTAATGCAAGGGACCAGAAGTAAGAAGAAGAAAAACAACATAACCTTATCAGCCGACCCTGTCGAAAAGTAAAAAAGAAAAAAAAGAACATTTCTCACAGATACATATCCAACAATGTCCACATGGTATGCAATGTGATGCAACGCAATGTAATGCATGTATGTATGTATGTATGTACCTATGTACTGTACGTATATGTACGTTTCTGGTTTATGCACAACTGGATTTTTTTTTCTCTCAAGCACACACACCACATGGCGAGTTGGTAGTTGGTTCACTAAGCGTATCGTGCACTCAGATTTGCAAATGCATCGGGACTGTGACGGCCACTCTGCAGTCCGTTGACGTCAACGCTGCCTTGGCTCATATGGCCCCTTGGAGGGATATTGTTCATTTGGGGTGTTTTGGATCCAAGGCCAATTCCAAGCCCAGATGGAGCTGTGGAGCCTGGCGCAGCGGCTGTCGTTGACGGCTGCGAGCTAAACGGTGTCGTTGAACTCAGGAAGGGGTTTCGTGACCCTGAAGTCGGCGATCCCATGGGTTCTGGCATTGTGGCACTACGTTGTGGGGTAGAGATGTTGAACGACGACTGGGTCTGCGGCGTAGATCCCAATGAATTGGTCAACAGCGATGGAGCTGGACTGGGACCTGCTGAAAACTGCGACTGGTCCGACGATTGCGGCGTCTGCTGCGCCTGCTGCGTCTGTTCCGTCGTGGAAGACGAAGACGGGGGCGGGGCGAGATTGTACAGAGCCAGGATACTGTTCTTATCGATCCGACCAGTCTTCTGTGGTGCAAGCTGCTGAGGCTGGTTCTGAAAGGTGGGCTGCGACGGGTAAAGAGATTGAGGTTGCGCTTGAGGCTGCTGGAAAGTGATCGATGGATTGGCACTGGCTGTCATCGATGCAAATGGATTAGATGAAGTTTGGGGTGAGCTGTACTGTTGTTGCTGCTGCTGCGGTGGCGGCTGAGAGAAGATAGACGTAGAAAAGGATGGCGTCGGGTCTGTATATTGCCTTTGCTGGCTTGGTGCTGAGAAGACAGATGCAGACGCCGACGGTCCAAGCTGGGCTTGTGACGAAGCATGGCCAAAGAAAGGGTTCGATGGTGAGAGACTCCGAGTTTGAGGGGAGTATGGATTTCCACCACTGGACTGTGCCGGAATGGCGGACTGGAAAAACGGATTGTAGTTGCTATTTAGTGGCTGGGGTGAGGACACAAGCGGGGATTGCAAAGACGGGAAAACTGGTGGAGTCAGCGGTTGTTGATAAGCAGCTGGCCCTTGTTGTTGACTGGGATAGCCGCCGGTAGAATGGGGGAAAAGAGGCTGAGAAACTTGGAGGTTCTGAAATGACGCTTCTAGAGATTGTATCGAAGACTGTTGCGAAGACTGTTGGATCGTTGGTACATCGAAAGGATTGTATGACTTGGTTGGCGCCGCGCTGGAAGCGTTCTGCTGTGTCGGGTTCTTCTCATCGAGCCGATCAAAGGGGTTGGTAGATGTGCTGGGATTGGGACTAGGTTGAGGAGTCGTCTTTGGAACCGGTGTACGGGCTCCAGAGCCCGGACTGCTTCCTTCTCCAAGCCGAATCAACGATTCGATCGTTCTCTCCAAATTTCCGCTGAGGCCCTTAAGGATGGTAGCGTTCCGCTTGTCATCGGGGAAACCCATGTCCCTTAAGACCGCCAGCTTGGATTCAAATGATGAGCTCATCTCCCCTACGCTGGCGCCGAACACTCGAGACTGTTTGTTTATTGGGACTGGTGGCGATCGAGAACCGAACGTGTCGGATCGAGGGGACGACGGATTCGAGTTTTTGTCGGAGGATCGAGGGAGATGCGAAGTGGAAGAGACGGAGCGTAGACCGAATCCAAACTTCCTCCCGCTCTTGGGAGGAAGAGGCGGCGGAGAGTCCTCCGACGACTTGTGAGTATGATAGCCCGAGTCGTCCCTGCTGGGGGGCTTCGGCTTGCCATCCTCCAAGCTCCGGTGTTCGTACTTCTGCCGTATGAACCGCTCCATCGCAGAGTCGGCCTCGTCAATGTCGATAGGCACAGGTGGCTTGACGTTTCTCGGGTTGTATATCTTATTCACAGCCTCATTCCCGTTTTTCCTCATGTTCTGTGTCCAACATCAGCACAGAGTCAGCCGACTGAGCTTCCTGGTCCAAAAGAACTCACCTCCACCTGTTCGGATGTCCAGCTATCCATACTCAAGGACTTGACCTTGGAAATGTGCGTACCCATCTTGCGATGCAGTGCCGCGCACCGCATGCAGAGGAAGACACCCAACTAGAGACCCGTCCATCAGTAACTGTATATCGTCGTAAAAGAATGGAGAGAATGTGCCGATTAAGTTGACACGTGCGGCGGGGACGTTGTCGCATGCTTCGACTTACATTCCAACTGGCCCATCCTGGAGGAGAAATCCCACGTTAGTATCTAGCCAGCAGCTCTAGAGGACACTATGACAGATGATGGACCGCACTCACCTGGATTCCGTGCCTGACAATCGGCACACCGATCATTCCCCGGTACCGTGCGGATCAGCTCTTGCAGCGCCCGTTCATTCCGCGCCTGCTGGCGCTTGTTTGGCAGAGTCACCATCGCGTCTCAACAGTCCCGATCCGCAGGGTGGAACGAGTGAGAGAGAGGCGAGCGACGAGGAAGATTTCGTGTCGTAGTCGCAAGGACTAGGAAACGGCGTGGAACCGGTTCCCGGATTGGGCGTGAGGGGGGCGAAATTGAAAGTGGACGCGGACTTTCAGCCAGACAAGCAGAGGCATAACGAGTCATCGAAGCCGCATCGCAAGTGGGCTGTCTTTTTGCACGGAGGACCTGCAGACAAGTATCTCTCTCTTGGAGGCGTGACAGTTGGCTGTTCGTTTTCTCTTGAGTGGAGCCGCTGGCGCGGGCGATGGCAGATGCTTCCGGGGCGAGGACTATTTGGCTAAGTTAGCTCCCAGGCCAGACTCCACCGTTTTTTTCCCTCTCCGGAAGACTGGTGACGGCGGAGGGTCTTCAACTCAGGGGCAAATGCTGCTAGTACGCCGCAAATCTACTAGAATTGCGAGGATATGCAAGCGCATGGAGAAATACAGACAAGTCACATTGACGCTCTCCCAGCCTTACGCTGGGAACTCCATTATTCCTCCTCCGTTTCCGTACTCCGTACTCTGATTTACACGCTGTATCTACTGCAATTGATTCGAACGCCAACATTGTAACGCTGCTTGAGATGGCGTTGATAACAATAACCGCACAACAGATGTCACCCTGCGGTTAAACCTTGAGCGGCCTGAACGATGGACGATTGAATTAATCGCACGCGAGACTATCTAACCGCCGCCCCGAACCACGTTAAAAAAAGCCCGACGAGGGTCGGTGCTCCCCGATTGTGATGCCTAACAACGCAATACCAAGCACTAGTTGGCTAATAATAACGCCAATCATTTATCGATAGTTGAGCAGTGCACTGATCCTGTTGCAATTACTTGGCACTCCCAAAATAAGGGAGCAAATAGGCACTGTACAGTAAAAATACGATATGTCGGGGCAGCAGGTGACTCCCTCGCCATGGCACTCAAGATCCTTTACAGAACCCCAGCACGGTGAGGAAGCCTTATTATGCCCAGCTTCACTCTAGTACGCCAATATGACCTACCATCCTATGGACGGCACAAAAGGCCAGGAACTGGAGGTTGATTATGCGTTCATGTCTCATGAAGTGTGAATGACGAGAAAAAAAGAAGGAAAAAGAAAACACACGCCGGCGAGGCCTTGGCGGTTTTTTAGTTGCGAGTGGCTTAGGCGGGCACATGACTTGCGTTTCGGAACGGAGGAACTTATTATTTCGACGGCATCCACAGAAACAAATTTCCTTTCGCTTTTTTTCGTCCACTTAACTTTTGTATTACCACTTCACGACTACTGATAAACCGTCTATTCTTTCAGTGATTCCCCTCAATTGCTCACCAAGAGGACATTCCTTCGCAGAAGGACGAGCTTGAATCGCATACTCCACTGGATGTTGTGGATATTGCAAGGCACACAGCAGAAAAAATTGACAGAACTACTCGACAACTCGACGTAAACAAAGAGACACAGCGAAGAAGGAGGAGAAGCAAAAAAAAAGGAAGAAGGGAGAGAAAACAACTACCCACCAGTTCAGCGTCTATGGTTTCCCACGTGTATTCCATAGATTTCGCTCGTTCGGTGGGAGAGCAAACCTCATCCAGTTTTAAGCAGGACTGGCGTCTACTCCACCCTGTTGTTTGCATATCAATCAAGCAGCAGGACTATTCTCATGACGGACATTTAGAGTACTGTTTTCCTTCTAGATTGGTTATTGATATATGTGAATGAAGATATATATATCTTGAGATATTGTTTCAAGTTGTACATACAAGAATGAGAACGATGGATGAATTCCTTCGCACATTAGGTCAAGCCTATCTGGCAATACACGCGGTATCAAGCGAGACAGCAAATAGGACGTCCGAAAAGAGGGAAAAGAAAAAGGTAAAGAAAACCCAAACTAGACTCCTCTCTCCCCTAATGATTCCTGCTATTATACACTAGATCAGTACAGAAACATTTCTTATGGGGCGCCTTTCACCAGCTCAACTTTGCCTCCTGCTGTGATCGGGAAACACAGAGGCGAGGAAGGTGGCCAGAAGCCTCTGAGTATTCAGCGCGAAGAAATTAGTCTCTACAGACGGCTCTGCAAGCGTCGTGATTTTCAGATTTCGATACTGAGCGACCTCTGGTAACAGCACCTCGGTTAGCCGTGGCGTTCTTTTTACTCAGGGAGTATAATGGAGATCACATACTTCTTTTGTACTGCTGCTTGATAGCTTGGATTTCACACACAAGCTGGCGTACATTTCCATCCTGAATCCTGCTGGTGTCGTGGAGCGGAAGAGCATGGCCGTTCCGCGAGTCGGCAGATCTGGTTCCTGCCCTGTTATGTTTGCCGTGAAAGACCTGGATGATGTTGCTGGCCCCTGCTTCCAGGTTCTCCAAAGCCTCCAGGGTCTCTTCTCGTGTCTCTTCTAGTTGGTCACGGCCATCTTCTCTGGAAAGGATGAGGTTATCGACAAGCGAGATCTGCACCTGGCTGATGACCACAACGAGGAGGATCGAGACACAGAGCATATGTCCCCATGCCCTTTCTTTGATGGACGAAAGCCTTTCCTTCACAAACTTGTCCATGTCAGAGAGGACGTTCTCCACAAGCTGTCTGTATATATCGAGGAATAGATGCTTTATGCCTCTGTTTATTAGACGTGAGGAGTTTACAGGAGGATTCTCTTCCACGCATTGATAGTGTCGCAGATTGTTGAGAATGGTCTTCGTGGCGTCTTCCGGTACGACGATCCGAATCGAGAGACATGTTACGACAAGAGTCATCTTCCATGCTCTCAGGAGGATTCCGTTGAGATCATTTCCATCTTCTCGCCCCTCATTGAAGCATCTCATAGTGTATGACCACATCGTCCCGAGAAGGAACTGGGTCCAGTATGCCCTGCCGCACGGAAAACAGGATCTGAGCCACTTCTTTATGCTTTGGCCATCTGTCACTGTCCTCTTGAGCCATCTGCTTAACATCTGACCTGTTTCCCCCCTGTTCTTCCAAGTAGGAACCACCGGAAGGCCACTCTTACGGTAAGTAGTCGTAGCCAACCCCTCGCCATCCGCATAGACCGCCCGTGAGTCGGAAGCCCCGGGCATCTTTGGGATGAACTCCATTCCGATGATCTCGATATTTTCTCCGAAACCTATATTCAACGGCAGAGGGAACTGGTTGTCTGTGAGAACGGTGCCGTGATTCTTGAGATAGCGACTGAACGCCTCCCTACTTAGTCGATGGGCGAGGAGACCTGATAGAAGACGCTTCAGCATCCCAGTGACGATTTCAGAGGGTGTGCTAAGGGCTAACCTGGTGACAGGGTTGCCGCGAGTTCTGCAAAGCTACGGTAGCAACCCTTCCACTTTCGATTTCTCTGGTTTGAGGCGATATCCGAACATTTTCTGCAAGGGCTGCCCCCGGAGCACTGTTGACTATCAGCCTCATACTTTCTGTGTTCTGGAAAACTACATAGACACTTACCTGCTCCCTGAGAGTCATGCAGCGCAAGCAGGAACCGACTTGTCGAACCGTGCGGGCATTATTTGCAGTCTCCGCCGGCAGATGAGAACCACGCTGACGCCCGCCTCTCCTTCTCCCTCCGTCAGATGCCTCATGATTATAGCTATTGATGCCGGGGCTACGAACCCCAATTGACGGGTCCTGTGGAAAGGCTTCGAGCTCAGACTGGCTGCCATGAAGAGGGCCGTAGTTGTTATCAAGAGACAAATTAGAGTCATCAGGGGCAGAAGCCATGGCAGCGTCGTAATACAGCCGCGTTTGAGTCTCTTGTAGACCATGCCATAGCTGTTCTCTGCTGTCTTGGGGGATACGTAGTTGGCTCCAGGGATCGTCACTCTGGTCGGCCAGAGTGGCAGCCATTTGCAGGCTTTCAGGATCATTCACTGTGGAATGTTCCAACATTTGTGCAGTGATTTCTGAGATCTGATAGCAGTCCTCCAATGGTGCGTTTGGAGATATTGGAGATTGTCCTTGTACACCTTGAAGATCTGCAAATGAGCTTAGTATACTATAGTACACACTAGCAGGGAAAGCACAAGACGAGACGTACCTTGCTGAGAGAAACCTAGAGCTTCTCCTTGATTGAAATCGGAGAGGTACGAGAAGTCCAAATTCATTTGGCTATGATAATTGGCATGGTTGCTGGTGCTTGCCTCGTCACTGTAGAAAGGCTGGTCATGCTGGCTACCGTCCCCGCATGCTTGATACAACTGGCTCGAGAAAGCATCGAGATTGGGCTGCGTCTGAGAATGCGAATCCGATGCTGTGGATCGTGTTTGGAAGCCTCCATAGGCACAGCCATCACCGTTGCCATAGTCGTCGGCCATCTCGCACTCGATATAGTCCCTTTCGACTGGGGTGTCATATTTAGCAGTGACGTTTACTTGCGGAAGAGCCAGGTGATTGCAAGCGCCCGGGGATGGATGAACGGCTTGATTTTCCCATGATGAAAAAGATGGGTCGTTGAGGACTGGAGTTGGAGAACGAGTATGAATTATCGGGATTCCCTCGGCGACAGAACGCCCTCTACGTTGACTGTCTCGTTTCATGTCGCGTGAGAGAATCGACAAAAAATTAAAACCCCTTTTATCCATTAAGACCGGAGGAAGCAAATAAATAGACTTTGGACGGATTTAGTGGAGTTTTCAGGAAATGGTAGAGACTTGTATAGAGAATGAATTTGTGTGTACATACATATACCTAGGTATATACGTACTGTACATATACCAGGTACTTACGCGTTTTCATATACCCTCATATCTCTTGGTGATGCACGCAATCGATCCAGGAAATCCATCTTTCCGGTTATATAGTCGAGGCGAGACCGGGCAATTGCCTGGGCAAAGCCGCCTCAAACATTGATTGTGGACCACTCGAAAAAATTACTTTCGTGACAATTCAATAAGAATGGCTGCATCGATGAGGCGGTTGCCCAAACCGGTATCCACCTGATCCTGCTGCGTTCTCTCTGACTAGGGAAGCTTCACACTGTGAGTAGTGGATCTCATAGAGGGCAAGGCAGACTTTGCTTGCAGAAGATGTCGTGTTCCTGACAATGAAACTGTGGACAGGGCTGTCATCTCAATTGTGAACAGACCTATCCACGCGGAAGTTGCGATACACTCCCGCGCAAGGCACCCTATAAGGACATCCGTGCACTGCTGCCTGCTCGTTGTCGATGTGTTGGCCTTGCGTGTGGCCTCATTCTCCGTGTGAGAAGCTCGTTCAGTAGCGTCACTCTCGCATCACTCTCCCTGCGCCTGACTACCCATTCCTGGCCTCACGCTTCGCGAGGCAAGACGGAAAACGTCGAAGCTGTTTAATATGTAAGTCTTGTTGCCTAGGTATTCTCTGTCCCTGCGCACCTGTGTGAAGCGGGCGTGAGCCCGGGTCCATTTGTCGAGTGTGCCTTGTTCAGGTCGCTGGTTCGCTGCGCCATCCGAGGCTGACAGGCCTGACGTCGGGGAAAAACCCTATGCTTCTCATTCCCAAGGAGCTTGCGATCACAGCCTCCTTTGCACAGCCCATTCTGCATAGTGGTGCTTGAAATGATGTTTTTAATTTTTCTTCGAGTCTCAAGAAAAACCGGATGCACTTTTCCATGCGAAAATCACCGGAAACCGGTGTCCTTTTGAATCGCAACCAGGGCACCGTTCCCCAGACGCATAGCGGCCAAGGCCACGTATTGCGATCCTACACGTCCAAATCGCGGTCTTTTAGGCATGAATGCAGAATCTAACCTATACCGAATTCGAGTTATTTTTGTTCACCGGTTGAATGGAATCAAGAAAATTGAGACCTGTGATCTACATATCAGCATTGGCTGCGGCTTCTGGTGCCATATTACCATCTGAGTGGACTCTTTTTTGCAGCTTTATATCAGTTGTCATTCTTTGGCATCAGATTTTTTTCAATTTCTCATGATTTGCTGCTCTGATATCAGATGTCGTTGTTACCATCTCGTTGAACAACATCGATCATGTACTTCCTTTGGCGCCATTCGCAGAACATCCGCGAAATTCGACACCAATCGGACTTGGCGAGGCTGAGCTTGCAGTATTCCCACTTGTTGAACGCGTGCTGCAAGTTATTTGAAGCTGAGTACGTGATATGGGCTTTTTGACCGTGTCAGCGCAGGTCATGCAGAGCGGGCAATGATTGGAGAGATACGTTCGTGCCTAGATATGGTTTGCCGGCAGTACGAAACAAATATCCAAATCTAAAGACACGGAGGAAAATGCTTTTGTTTCCAACAAACGCGCACTAATGATTCAAAGATGGAGGTCGACCTCAGAACTTCTCCTACCATGGTACAGCAAAGTCGAGCCGTCAATACCTCCGACATTTGATTAAGGGAAAGAGACAATTTTCATCCGGCCTGCTGGTTTCCTCGTGCATGCAGGTTACGTTGCCCTACACCAATTATTGATCGACCTCGCAATCCGATCCTATGAAAACTGTTCTCATAACCGCAGGTATGAAGACTTGATTGGAAAGCTGGCAAAACCCTATCATCAAGTCTGGTATGAGCATGTTGCATGTGCATTTGATGCTCTGCCCTGCTGCTGATTTCGGGTCTCCAGCTCCGTGACTGATTTCGATCATCCTGCGTGTTCATCCCAACCGGTCTAGGCACTGCCTGGAAATGGTGACCGATATACAATCGACAAGATAGACAATGCCACCTTTTATCGTCAGCAATAAATTGACACCACCAGCCAACTCCCAACTCTGAATCCTAGCAATCTACAAGATCTCATGTGCTGATGAAGCTACGAATTCGGAGCGCAAAAGACGCCTGTGACTGACGGAAGCTCTCTGCTACGCATATAGTACTCCGTGCCTAATCTTGTATTAGGTCGAGCCTATTTTCTACCTGATCTGGAGTGTGGCAAGGGAACTAGCCGGTTGGGTTAAAGTCGGTATGTACTCCATAGATCGGACACAGGTCACAGCCGGCACCCGCAACCTAGGGTACGGAATTCCTACCTCCGGTACCTATGTAGGGAAAGAGACTGGCCACTACCGAAAACCCTGCTGATGGTGAATTTGAGCCGTCCCTTTAGTAATAATCCAAGCCTGGAACCAGAAGCAATTCATTGACGGCAAGCGTGGCGACCAGCGAGCTGGCTACCCTCGGATTGGATCGGAAGAACCTAATGGGTTGCCGCCATGTGGCCAATCTGATCGCCTTCAACTGCGGGGGTCGAACCACCGGCCCATCGCCTGCATCCGATTACTAAGGCACGGTGCCTCCAGTACCTGGAACAGGTCCCTGCTGGATGGCAACCCTGTCATCTGCCGCGCACGATGGCCAGGACGCTTGGAAGCCAACGCGGAACGAGTTCGCTTTGTCGTTATTACTACACTGCCGGCAGGCGACGATCTAAGTCTTCTTGTCACGTCAGCTTCCAGCAGGCCCTGCGGTTGCATCATGTCATCTCCACTGGTCCCTGCTAACCAGCCCAGGTAACTATATCCAAGCCAACAACCGCTAAGCGGTGGAGAACCGAGGACGAAACGCGGAGGAGCTGCAGCTGCTGACTGAGAAAATGAGGTCCAGAAGCTGTCGAGCCAATGGAAGCGCTGCAATTGGTCACCCAGCATCCGACACCTTCGAACCGCTTCTCTCTGTTTGGCCTCCTTCCCCTCCCGCCCCTTATCTGCTGCGTCCTCTCCGCATGTCTCTTTTCTTTCTTTGCTTCTCCTCTTTCACTAGCATCTTTTGCGGACTCACGTTTATCGACTGACGTCTCACACGACCAGTCGAGCTTGGGTCGTCTCAGTCCGTACGCCTTCTCTTCCTTACCCATCTGTCGTTCGACTCGATTGATCTCGATTGAACGCCATGGCCACTGCTGCGAGGACCTTCACCCGGGCCGTCGCCCGGTCCAACCCCCTCAGACCCGTTGCTCGCAACGCCCGCTTCGCTCTCCCTGCCCAGACCCTGCGCGCCACCTCTCGCCGGGGATATTCGTCTGAGGCTGGCTCTGGCAAGTCTTCGAACAGCCCCCTCATCTGGGGTATTGGTCTCGCCGCCGCGGGTGGCGTGGGCTACTACTTCTACCAGAACGGAGATGTGAAGGCCAAGGCCAGCGGCCCCTTCGTCCCAACCAAGGAAGACTACCAGAAGGTCTATGATGAGATCGCCCGTCTTCTTGCCGAGAAAGACGACTACGATGATGGCAGCTATGGACCGGTATGTGGTTACCAACACAAAAAAAGCGGAACGGTTCTTGGAGTGCTAACATGAGCTTCAGGTTCTTGTTCGGCTGGCATGGCACGCGTAGTGGTACATACGACAAGGAGACTGGCACTGGAGGCAGCAACGGTGCCACCATGAGATTCGCTCCCGAGTCTGAGCACGGCGCCAACGCTGGTCTCAAGGTGGCTCGGGACTTCCTTGAGCCTGTCAAGGGTATGTCTGCACTTCTTCCTTTCCCCTGGTGGGGGGTTCGCTCTCGCTAACCTATGTGATAGAGAAGTTCCCATGGATCTCCTACTCCGACCTCTGGACCCTTGCCGGTGTCTGTGCCATCCAGGAGATGCAGGGCCCTACGATCCCCTGGAGACCCGGCCGTCAGGACAAGGATTTCACCGCCTGCACCCCGGACGGACGTCTCCCTGACGCTTCCAAGGACCAGAAGCATATCCGCGACATTTTCGGACGCATGGGCTTCGATGACCGCGAGATGGTCGCCCTCATCGGTGCCCACTCCCTGGGTCGTGCACACCGGGACCGCTCTGGTTACGAGGGTCCTTGGGACTTCAGCCCCACGGTCTTCTCCAACGAGTTCTTCAGACTCCTGCTTGAGGAGAAGTGGTCGTGGAGAAAGTGGAACGGTCCGGCCCAGTACACTGACAACTCCACCAAGACCCTGATGATGCTTCCTACCGACATTGCCCTCGTGAAGGACAAGGAATTCCGGAAGCACGTGGAGCGTTACGCTAAGGACAGTGACGCTTTCTTCAAGGACTTCTCCGACGCCTTTGTCAAGCTGCTCGAGCTTGGTGTGCCTTTCACCTCCAAGCCTGAGGACCGCTGGACCTTCAAGACCAGCTCGTAAAGAAATCTCTACATAGTGCCTCTGATTATTTTTGCCGCATGATTTCAGCGCTTTGCCGCTTCGATACCGGTGACTTTTTCCGTTGATATCTAATGTGCTTTTTAGGTTTTGGCCGGGCCGTCCTGTTTCGGTCTCGTCTTGTCTCTTGGTTTTCTGGAGTTTTGTCACAGGTTTTCCTGTGTTTTTGTCGCTATATAGCGTATGGCGGCTCCGCGTTTGGATCCCTGCTTTAGGGAAACCTGGCAGAGCATTTGCGGCCATAGATGTGCGAAGTAAAGCTGTACAAAATAGATAACCCCAATATCATTTCGTGTATTATGGTCTCATTGGTCACTCCATCATATCCTAGCCTTGTCTATGGTTCGCTCGCAGTATGACCTCCTGTTAGAGAAATAAGGTCTACACGTGGTGGCATATGGTATATATATATTCTTGCCCGAGGTTGGCATGCACGTCTCCAAACAACGGCCAAGTGATCCTTCATAGGCGAACTTTTAGAGATCCACCGATGTACTCCGTAGCCTGCCAGAGTCTCGTTACTGACACTGTTTATCTTTCACCGAAATCACTTGACAAGTACCTGCTCTCTACTTCTCCAGCCCTATCCGAACTTCAGGTATAGAACAGATCCAAGAGCGGGCATGACTAGGGAATTGCAATCCATGCGCCTCGGCAACTAAACTATTTATCCGCCTAGAATATCTGTTAAGTTAATTGGTCTGCCTTTTCAGACCCCTGTTGATCTGGATTGCTCTGTGGCGATAGGTGTTGTTTGTTGGCCGATTCCTCGATAGCGATATGATGGTTGCGGGTGGACCTTCATTTCACCCCACCAGTTAGTTCCAGGGCCAAATTCTTTTCGCAAGCAACGATCTCAACCTCAACTGCACACACTCACATACACACTAGAGATATGCTAGCGCTAGCTGCGTGACAGCAGCTTGTTACTGACTTTCTCATAGTCGATCTCTGGACATGTGGCCCCATAAACGGTCATTGTTTTCTTGAAGTGACGTGCCGCCGGCCCGGATGCAATCCAGGCCGCAGCAAAGGGAAAAAATGACAAAATCTGAACCAGTTGACTTCTACGAGGTCCTCGATCTCCCGTTTACGGGCTCGTCCTCGGTCCCTTCGAAACAGCAGATCAAGGTTGCTTACCACAAAGCGCTCTTGAAGTACCACCCGGACAAAGCTGGCAGTGCGCTTGCCAAAAAACCGCCTGCTGCGAAGGCATCCGTATCTGCCTGCGACTCACCACAAACACATACATTTACGGTCGACGAAATCACGAATGCGTACAAGACGCTGTCCGATCCAGTCCAGCGAGCGGAATATGACCGTGCGTTGCGTCTCCAGCGCCTAAGATCGGGAGAGAAGCTGAAGAGTGCGGACGCTTTTCACACGGGCTTGGAAGTCGTGGATCTTGAGGATTTGAACTACGAGGAGGGACCGGAGCCAAATGGAGACACACAGGATGAGTTGGAAGAACCTGGTGCTTACTGGTATCGCGGCTGCAGGTGCGGAGATGAGAAGGGATTTGTGGTGACAGAGGAGGAACTGGAAAGGGAGGCTCAGCATGGCGAGATCGTGATCGGGTGCCGTGGATGTAGTCTGTGGATGAAGGTTCTCTTTGCTGTCGCGGAGGAAGGCGATGGTGACGCAAAAACCTGAGAGATACGTTGTGTTGGACCAGAAGTATTGCGTCGAACTTCGCGCGAGGGATGTCAAGGGATGTTGATGCCTCCACACCGGCTCTATCTAGCCCGCGCGATCAAACAACTTCGTTGACAAGATGCGAAGGGCCCAGTGACTGGAAAGGAGAACGGTGACGCTGACGTCCTAGGAGTCTTCAAACGAGAGTTATTCGATGCTGAGCAGAGCATCACTACAGTTTGGATCATCGCCGGGATCTACCCAGGATGGCATCCATGCAGGGACCTTCAGGCTTCGGCATTGAGCAGAGCCTACCAATGTCGCATCATTATGGGCAGTTTGAACCTGCCTTAATGGGGGCAGTTCAATCAGTGGATATTGATACTGGACTTTCAGGTCGAGTTCCTTCTGTGCAACGGTACTTGAAAGAGTCTGGTAAATGCGAATAGCAAACTTTTGGCCATGTGATAATGGTGCAGTGGACCAGAGGAAATACGTTTGGATGGAATTATTATCCTGTTTGAACAGAAATTATAATGACGACTTTAGCAGCTTCAATCACCAGACGTAGAATACTCAGCACAATATTTACTTATTTAATTTCTTCCTTTTTATTGTCCCTTAATAGACCGTCATATCGTAGTCTTCACCCTGTGAATTTGCTAGGGCTTGTTGTCAACAGAGGTGCCTGCCTAGTTTATATCATATTGCCATTCTTAGCGAAGCGCGCGCGTTGCAGCAAACTCCCGTCTCGCGGGGGACGGAACTTCCAACCAAACCTGCCAATTCTTCCCCTCCACCGCCAGGGTCTCCTTTGCCTGCCGCCAAGATGTCGAGTCTCGTCAACATATCATCAAAGGAGCAATTTAGCTCTCTTCTATCGTCCTCGACGATAGTGGTCACAGACTGTGGGTTGCACCTTATTCCGCAATGCGAAAGCTGAGATTGATGATGACATACATATTTTATCTTCCTCCCCTCCCCCGCCTTCAACCCCGCTTCCGCGATAAAATATCTAGATGACTTTTTTGTTAACCACGCGCTGACCTTGGTGGGTTTTCCCTACAGTTTACGCAGACTGGTGCGGACCATGTAAGGCGATCGCACCTATGTACGAGCAGCTGGCGAACCAGCTGTCTCGTCCGAATCGGATCACTTTTACCAAGGTCAATGTTGATCAACAACAAGAGATAGCGAGAGCGTATGGCATCACAGCGTACGTCAGCTAAGAAAGCCCGTGATACTGTCTACGAAAAGAATACGACTGACAGATGATGCAATTACAATGCAGGATGCCAACGTTCATGGTCTTTAAGAACGCTCGAGTCGTGTCGACCGTCCGAGGCGCGGATCCCAACAAGCTCTCCGAGGTGGTTCGGAAACTGGCATCTGAGGCGAACGCTGTCGAGAGCGGTGGTTCAGGAGAAGGCTTTGGCGAGTCGAGCGGAGGACCAAGTGGCTGGGTCGGCGCAGCTGTTCCCAAGAACTACAACGACGTTACGGACCAGGTACAGATCAAGGACATCGACGTTCTGAACCGCGACAGCGAGAAAGGATCTGCGAAGGTGCTCTTCGACACGTCGAAACCGTCTGCTCTGACAGCCAGCGGCGGGGACAAGGGAAAGGCCAAGGCAGGCGAGGGTGCCGACTGGGTCGAGAGCGACACGGACGAGCAGCTGATGCTCTACGTGCCGTTCCAGTCGACGCTGAAAGTGCACTCCCTGCAGGTCACGTCGCTGCCGCCTAGCTCGGCCGGCGAGGGCGAGGACGAGGACGAACTGCCGATGCGGCCGAAGACGCTCCGTCTGTACACCAACCATCCGCACATCCTGGGCTTCGAAGAGGCGGAGGACATCGAGCCGGTGCAGACGGTGACGATCGAGCCGCAGGACTGGGATAGCAAGACGGGCACGGCCAAGGTGGAGCTGCGGTTCGTCAAGTTCCAGAAGGTTACCTCGCTGGTCATCTTCTTCGTGGACGGGGACGGGGACCGCGAGAAGATCCGGGTGGACCGGCTGAGGGTGTTTGGTGAGACTGGCGAGAAGAGGGAGATGGGTAAACTGGAGAAGATTGGCGATGAGCCGGGGGAGTAGACTAGAAGTACTCGGATGACATTGTTTCTCCTGTCTGAAAAGTATGAAGTAGATTCATTTAGCATTGATCTTCTACCGTATACGTAGGTGAAACAAGCAACTCCATGGCTAGGTAGTAGGTAGTATACTTAGGTGAGATCCTACTCCAGATACCAAGGTGCAAAAAACTCTACAAAATCACAATCTACTTCAACAAACCCTTCTATTTCGCAGAAAACACATTATTCCACTCGATCTCTCAATCTCATTCCATTCATCTCACTATCCTATCCTATCCTATCCTATCTAGCTTTTTTTTTAAAAAAAAAAGAGATATGTCCGATCCCAAACCAAATGGCCATCTCGCTTAAGAAAACACGAAAAAGAGACCATAAAAGCAAGAACCGGTGCTTAGCAATTATCACATTGTTCTCTGACGCAACTGACACCTGGGAGACAACGGTTTGAAGAATATGTCCAGGCAACACGGGAAACTTTTATTTATTCGTTGCGTCATTGCCGCACGATGAGAAGAAAAGAAAGAAAAAAAGAGAAAAGTTTTTGTGTGTGCTGGCGGTTTTTTATTGTGGTTGGTTTTCCTAGTACTAGTTGGGTTTAGGCTGGTTTCTGGGCAGCCTGGTTTGCCTGGTTTGTGTGCTGTTCTTGGCGCGATTATGTAAGTAGGGACTGTTTATGCCTGGGGTATCTAATTAATGCTTATATCCAGCTGGAGACTGTTGCTGTTGCTGTTGCTGTTGATGACTTGATATATCTGGTTGGACGGAGGATATCCACGTAATTATTGCAATGACAATAATTAGGGAAAATGTTGAATTGAATTCTATGTCTTTTGCTTCTGTTCTTTCCCCACTGTTGACCTAATTACCTGTTTGTTTGTTGGCATGTCGAGGATACAGTAGACTTGCTTGCACTGGCTAACGAGTCATGTCATAAAATGGAGGTCTTTTTTTCTTGTTCTTGCTGGAATCTCAACAGTTCAAGTTCTTCTATACGAAGCATGTCCATTTCAGACGGCTGTCTCTCGTACGCAGCCGGAGGCGGGATATGTGCAAAGCGACGATGATAATAACAGTACGGAGTACGCCAGAGTACTCCGTTCTCGGTGCGATTATGGAGATTCTCTCTGCCAGTCGTATTCCTGTTAGAAACATTTATCCACCTCTTGGCTGAGACTGAGTCTGACGCATACTGCGTACGTCTTAGCATAGCCATAGCTTGCGCTGTAGGATGACTAGGATCGGCCAACGAATCACTGAATTCGGACAGTGGCGTCTGGTGTCTGGACAGTGCTCAAGCCTCAATTCAATAATACTCCGTAATAATGCTAGCCAGGTCCAGGGCCCAGGACCAAGAAAAGCCGTTGCGACTTGGAAGTCTTGGACCTTGCCAGGCCCAGGGCCCGGGGATCTCCCGGCCGTAAGGTAGTTATTGTCCGGAATCACGTAGTCCGATAATTAGTTCGATTATTAGTGAGGTTTAGCTGGCTGGGCTGGACCTGGCTGTGATTCTGCTGCCGTCTGCACCGACTCCGAGTACGGAGTAAATACTCCGTACAGACGGACTACTACTTAGGAATTAGAATAATGATCCTGTGACCGCTGGTTTGGGATAATAAAATTCTCCGTAGCGTACGTAGGCCGTAGCTCGTAATCTGCGCTCTCGAGTCTGTGGAGTATGAGTCACGACTCACGAGTCATGACTGACCAGTAAAGGTCACTGAACAGCAATCATTGATTGATCAGATTGCACAATCAGCTCGATTTTCCGCCGATCGCAAACTCAATACTGCAGAGATTTACATTTTCGAGAATCTTTTTGCTGTTTCTTGTGTTTTGGAATCAATCCTTGAAAGTTCAATAGATCACGAATTATACGATCTTGACTTTTGTTATTAGTTAGTGGCGTATATCTCGATTCAGTGGACACTGGAGTATTCTACTCCGTACGGAGTACTCCGTCCGGACGTATGATGGTGTAGATTTACCGAAAATTGCTTCGCTTGTTCGCTTTCTCGCCGTAGATCCTGTCTGACTACAGTATGGCCTGGCAGATTGACACTGACAGAATTCGTCTCGGCTACCGGAGACGGATGGTGGCAGTTGAAGTCGAGGACGAGTCCGACTGTCCGAGTCGACAGACCGACTGACGATCATGATACTATCCTGTCACTGGCCCACTGCTATAGACAGGCCTCGATCTGGCTGACCTGTCCCGGATCCTCCGGCAAGATTTATTCTGACTGGTCAGTGCCGGGGCACTGCCCTACATGGTTTAGCGGCCCCGTGATGCCCTTGTTCCGTCAGCATCCAGCTTCCATCAGTCGATACTCGACAGTCCTCGTATGACAACATCTTGTCATTTCAAGACAAATCTCAGACCATTTTTCTTGCAGTTGAGATGTGTTGCAAATCTTCCTCTTGGCCTGGACAACTTCACCATAATGACAAGCGAACCATTAAACTTCGACAGACCAGCTCCCTACGTCCTTGACCCGAAGATAAGGATCGAACAGCTCAAGGAATTTCTTTCAGACGAGAAATGGCAATTCCAGAAAAAGAACATCCTCAAATTGATCAACATGTATGAAACCGGTGAACTGGGAGGACCAACCCCAGGCGTCGAGACTTGGCTTAAGGATGGTCAAGTCTTGGATCATGAGCCTGGTATTGAAGAGATTACAAAAGACTCTGTTATTTGGGGTTGAGGTAAGAAATCAGAATAAGAAGCTTTGAATTGTATTGCTACTATGTGCCTTGAACTATAGACAATCTATCACCAATACACGCAGCTTTGTTTTGTCAGTCCGAGGTATACACCTAGATAGGTTAGGGGAATCCAATTTGATGGACGACGCCTTTTACTATCCACACCCCGCTAAATTTTTTTTAGGTTAAGCCCTGAAATCGTTTTTCAACAAGAAATGCTAGAGAATTTGATCATGAATTTTTTTATGTTTAAAACTGTTCTAATGCCTGCCTTTCTCTCTCTCATGTAACTATTAATTATAATATTATAACTGGGAGGTTATGACAATCAGATTTAGTTGTATTTTTGGTAGAAGTATGATTTCGGAGTTTAACCTAAAGGGGTGTTCGTATCAACACTTAAGGTTAGGAATAGTCTTGTGTTTCCCTTACAGGAAAAGCTCTTGCTGACGATGTTGAGCCGGTCTCATAGTCGATGCAGATCATCCATAACTGAAAGCACGTGCGCCTAGACTAGCCGGTACAGATTACTCCGGAGTACGCCTTCGTCGTTGTCAGGCTCGCACGGAATAAAATAATCCGTACTCCGTGAGACGGTTCACCGTTTCAAATTCACACCGCATGCCAAGCGATTATTATTGAAAGAGAGGATTCCAGACTTGGGTAAGGTGCGTGATTTGTACTAGACCACGAGGTACTCGTAGATCGTGGCGTCACTATTGATTGCTGTGAACAGTGCGGCAAAATAGTTCTCCGGAAAGTTATATTATTGGAGCACAAACTCAAACGCACGTACAACAAGGTCCTCACAGTGTACCTGGCCATCTCGGTACCTGCATAATGCGCAATGCGGATGGAGGACTCCGTCAAGAAGCTTATCACTTGGCGGCGTTACCATGGCAAGACTTCAAAGTCAAGACTTTAGCGAAGTCAACAATCCACGGACATTGGCTGTCGACAGGACCGGCTTTCAAAGCCGCTTAGTCTTGTGCGGCGATGATCGGCCATCGACTGTGGGGAATGGTCGCCCGGATGAGATGGTTCCTAGTCAATTCGGCAGTCTCAATTTTTGGAACCATCGAAATTGCGGGGGAACGACCCGAATTCCTGAAGGAGACGGGCCTTCGCAAGCAATGGTCGATTTGTCGCCATCTTGTGCGTCAGCAAGAATGGCCATTGACCGCCCGTCGGGGACCGAGGAACTTGCGCCGTGACAGCGACGCTCTCACAGCCACTCGCCCTCTGTCAGCGCACACGCAGCAGCATCGTACGATCGGGGTCTACAACGGTCTGGAAGCGCCTCACCAGTGCCGCCGTGGGTCAGGTTGCTTGCCGGATCGGGTAAGCCTGGCACTGCGTCTGGAAAGCGACACGGTGGCCTCTTCGCTGCACACGTGCGGCCGTCCTGAGCGTTCAGCGCTTCCGACCGTTTCCCTTCCTCCGCCTGGAAAGTTCTATGGAGAATGGCTTCAATTGACAGCTCCCAAATACGCGCGCGGCAATCTCTGTCAATTTTAATCGGGCCAGGCGCGACGAACCCGGCACGTGTCATGAGGTGCGCAGTGGACAAGATGGTCGGTTTCGCACCGCCCAGTCCATTCGGACAGCGACATCGGCAGTTCGCGTGATGTCCCCGAAACCTCCCATCAATGATATTCCTCCAACGTGAGGCTTTTTCTGAGACCTAAACTCTCTTCGCGACGGCTGGTTAATTTCGGAATATCGCGGGGAGATAATAGTCAGCGCTCAATTCTGAGCAACGGCTATCTGGATATCGCATAGGCGACTAGAACTATCGTGGAAACCAGTCCGCGACCATCGCCGTTAGTCCAGCGCTGCTGCTAAGCCGCGCTGTCCAGCAACGCGGTCTGGAGCTTCTCCATCTTCCACTGCTCGCGGCTGCACCTCATTGGCCAGCTGTGAGACGGCTCCTCACGGCGTCGAACCCAATTCTCTGTAGTGCAGATAGCATCACCGCTATCCGGGACCTTGGAGTCGCCTCAGAGACGATTCCCAGAGCGCCGGAGACAGTAGTCCGTGTCAATCTGAATCTGAAACGCGCCAGAAGGTCGTCGGTTTCCACAAGAGGAAGGAAGATCCTTCTTCCAATAGACGAGCCTGACGAGGCAGACCGTGAGGCGAGGACTTGCAAGTTGAAAGCCCGCCGAGGTTACCGATGGGATCTGATAGTGAGCAAGTGGAAGGAACACTGTCCGCCGTAAGTCCTTCCATACCCTCGACTTGTCACCGCTTCTTCCAGTGGTAATGCGGCCGTTGTTTCGAGCTGTTTCTCTCCCCATCTTGGTCGCATGTTCTACAATCCTTGCTGTTATTATGACTCGAGCACTATGGAATTATGGATCTTGTCTGACGTTCCAGAAAACCTCCGCTTGTGCATACGGTGGCGTATTTAGCATCACCACTGTCACGGCTTTCTCCAGTTTTCAATATCTCGCTAGGATCTCTCTGCGATCGGTACACCGCACTATGTGGTGCTACTAAAGGAAAGGTCTCCAGAGCCGACTTTTTTGGACCTGTCGGCATTTCTCCGCCTGTGCCAGCCGAGCCGGCTACAGGCTAGAAGGCTGTGGCCGGATGAAGGCCTAACGTACGCCATTCGCAGCCATTGCATGCAGCCAACCGCGACACTTATCAGACCCATTCACATGCTTCAGTCTAAGGACAGGAAGGCCTTCCGCGGCGCCGGCTCTCCTCGTTAGTGTATTCACCAGTCCGTCAATGCGGATGTCCAGGACACACTATCCCCACCACTCCACCCGCCAGCGAGGCAAATTCCGAAGCCATCGGCCTTCTAGTATGCCAGACTATGCTTCGAAGGCGAGATCCTAAGATCGTAACAATCTAAGAGACGCTGAAGCTCGCGTTGGAGGCTTTTGTTACTTGTTAGTCGTCTTTTTTTTCATTCGAAAAAAAAAAGCACTCACATGCTGCTCGAGCAGGATTTCCAAGAGCAAGGGTTTTCTGCCAGCAGGATTTGTGCCTGCATTAGGGTAGTAGCCATGGATAATTGAGACTGAGGCTGGACGTCGTTATGCACGACAGAGCGTTGGAGTTGATTGCTCACTAACTGCGCCGGGGCCGGAACCCGGAACGGACGTCCAGTTTACAGCCAAGACCATGACAGCCAAAGGCATTCCTTTCTGATTCCTTTTTGCATTTTTACCTGGTTTCTTTTTTTTTCGACATGTGTGTGCGACAGCATCATCGACCTGTTTCATGCGACAGACCAGGGCATCCTTGCCCATATGCACGATTGTTGGATGATGACGACTTGTCTTTATCACGTCCATCCCTTACAGACAGCGGCAAAGTCCTGCTGCTGCTTTTGCAACCAGAACCAAAGTTCTATCTTTAGACATCTATACGGACCAATCCCGTAGACACACCACCAACTGTCTTTCCAGGATTCCACAGCCGGCCCTCCAGTCAGCGGCTCGACCCGCGAAACCTTACTCCTCCACAGTCCACGCAAGAGAAAAAAGAAATGTGATGTGGGCGTGCAGGACGAGTCTGACATGGATTTCTGGAGTGTTTGGTGCTGCCTCGACTGGTCAACATGACAGGCTTTATGTCGTGACCTATCAACTCTTTATCGTCCTGATTGCGCTCTCATTCGCAATCGATAACGACAAGAAAAATTTTTTTTCTTACGTCTGGTTTTGTGACTTGATAGCACCCTTGCATTTCAGTCTCTGCGCGTCCTGGAATTTTCAAGCATCGAATGCTGCTCTGAGTCTGAAACAACAGCAAGTCTTGCGTCCTGCAAGTACTCCGTACTGGCAGGAGGCGGTGAAGAGAACTCCTCTTCGAAGCCTCGGCAGAGGCATCAACAATCTCAACGGCCATAACCACAACTTTTGCGGAGATGGATTACTCCATCTGCAGACTTATTCAGTGTTCCTGCACTAGGGCGCAGATGGTTCACATGCAGCCAACCGTGGTGGAATGTTCAGATTGCTCTCTGTACGCCATTATGTACTGGCGCCCCGCTTCCTAAGATCTCTTTCTTTGACACCTCGAAGACGGCATCTGCGGAATCTGCTGTATGTAATCTCTCGCTGCAACACCAGCAGACGTAGTTGGATCGATCCCCATCACTTCATGCAGTTGGATAAGTATCAACCTATGACAGCGATGTGACATGCATGCAGCCCGAATCTGGAGTAAAGGTGGGATTTTTTTTTCGTTTGGCAGGCTGTCAGCCCCAGCTTTCTTCTTTGTCTACCCAGCTAGGCTATTGCGATAACCTGGCTAGCGGTGTTTCACAAATGCGGTTACGTCTCTCAACCAATGGATACTCGCGCTCGAGAGAGTTTCACGGTGTTCTTGCCACACTGCATCTACAGCAGCGATGAAAGGTCGAGAGAAAATTGTTCTTGGGGCGACGGCGAGCACAGTGGTGGCACAGGCGTAGGATTCCCATGTTGCTATCGCCAGCGCTGGCCGGGACGGGCAGGTGGAACCGGCTGGCCCAGCCCGCTAAGGGCCGTCGGTCACACATCGCAAGGGACCGGCCGCTGCTCATTGGCACCGTGCCCGCGCGTTGTTGCATCCAAGATTACGAGCCTGCGGTGTGCGCCGTCCTGGCCTCCTCATTGCTCGCACGAGTCGCCCAGTGTCGTCCCCTCCCTCGCTCCCAAGGAATCTGGTGTGGCAGTCAGTGCTTGAGACGCCGCCGGACGCTCGCCATCCGTTTCTTGGCTGGAGACGAGCCCCTCGCCATGCCCACGCACGCTGCGACGACAGGTCCAAATCTCCAGAGCCTGGCCCGAGTCCCAGCTGTGGCAGGGCGGACAGCGATGCCAGCGCCCGTTGTCGCCGGAAGGTGGGTGGCAGCCTGGCAGGGTGCGTGCAGCGGACTGTCAGTGGTCGTGGGTGATGGAGGGCCTGGCAGTCACAGATTAGCCCTCAGCGTCTCTCGACAACGGTCTCTGCTAGCGGCCGGGCTAAGCAGCGCGCCCTGTCTCTCTTGGGAAGTTGGAACTTGGGGGAGAAGTGCAGCGGCCATCCACGGCTAAAATCCCAGACGGCCGGTTCCGTGACAGGATGGAGGCCTGCTGGGAACTGGTATCAGTCGGCCTCGAGCGGTGCTCATGCGGCCTAGGGCCTCATGCGCCGCCCGTCGCCTATTCTCCGCAATTTGCCAACGCGAGACCGGGTCGAGATTGGCGGCTGCAATCTCCCATCTCTCGTGCTGGACGATCCACCCACCTGCGCGCTTTTGGGTTCCCCGGCCAAGAGTGGGTGCGCGGTGGGTGCTGATGCATCCGCTCAGGCACCGCCCTGCCTGACCAGCCGCTAGCGCTGCGCTGTCTTTAGCCTGCCAATCCGGCTTCGCTCGCGACGCTGAGGGACGCATTGGATTCACCGTGTCCCTGGGCGCATCAGCCAACTGGCCCACCGCATGGGGCCTCCTGCTGGCTGATATGCGCATCGACGTGACTGGGATGGGCGCTGCGCCATCCTCCCGAATCCCGCCCACGACCAGTCCTTAGTCTGCCGAGTGGATGCTGTGCGCCGGTGGGCTGTCCTCCAGTCGCTCGATACGGGCGACTTTGGCACGTCTGCTAGGTTGGACCGACCGGGCAGATCATCGCGCGCTCTCTTTAATCCAGTGTCCACCCGGTCCGTCTCTCCTTCCCTCTATCATACCCGAATTTGGCCCAGTCTCTCGTTGTCTATGGCCGTCTTGCCCTTTTTCTAATGCCTCATTTTTCGTAATTAGTTTTCTATTATTTTTTTTTGCTTTTGCTCTTGTCCGGTGCCTTATCGAAGCACGTCCCTTCTGGTGTGGCTTGCCTCGACTAAGGTCCTGTCATTCCTTTGAAACCCCGGCATATTCATATACTACTTGGGTTCACTTACTCGTTTCCTTTCTAATCCTACGGCATCTTAATCTCCCAAGGTGGCCTCTGTCCTCGCCGTCGACATCGGAGAACCGCTTCAACCCTCATTACATCGTTCTCCAGAGACCAGGGACTGCTAATCCATCACTCATTTGGCATTCGCTCTTTCGAGGATAACGCTTGTCCACCTCCGGCGCATACTCGTTATACTACCTATCTACTATTATCGATAGCCTGCGACGCATACTCGAGCATTTTTATATCTAATCCCCCGCATACTATACTACTAGTTTTTAATAATTCCGGCAAGACGTGTCCTTCGGCATTGTACCATAATCCCACTTCTTCGGAAGCCCCTCTCCATTTCTAATTCTTGACTGCATCCGGTCTGAACCAGTGAGTCATCAGCTTCGTGACCGATCGCTCGAGCGTGACAGAGGGCTGACAGCATCCACGCAAGACTGGAAGCAACAGTACAATGGAGGCACCTTACTCGATGCCCCAAGGTCCGATGCCCGGGCAGCCTGCATACTATTTCTACAACCAAGACGTAGAGTCTCAACAGCGTCAGCAAGCGGCGTTCACATCTCACCCGTCTGAGATGCCCGCCTTCCATGCGCCCATGCCGGTTTTCCAACAGCAGACGCAGCCGCAGCCGCAGCAGCCAATCTACACTTCTCATCCGATGAATGGCCACCCGCAGAAGAACGCATTCCAACAGCAGATGAGCATGACCCCCATTGCTTCGCCGCAACCAACGCACCTTAAGCCCACAATCATCGTCCAGCAGGAGTCTCCCGCTCTCTTTCCTCTGGACACCAGATTCGTCAACGCTGACTTCTATGGGTTCCCCTCCACGCCGCCTCTCTCCTCCTCCGGGAGCACCATTAGCAGCCCCCCATCGAGCTGTGGCATGCTGCAGACTCCCGTCAACGGCTCATTCTTCCCTGTAGAGAAGGTGGAGGGTGTTAAGGAAGGCTGCGAGGCTGAGGTGCACACGGAGATTCTGGCCAACTCGGAGTGGGCGCGATCAGACTCTCCCCCGATGACGCCAGGTGAGTTTGATGACTACTATTTTTGTTTTTTTTTTGGAGGCAGGTGTACGGGAGGATGAAAATAGATAAAGCAAAACAAACGAGGGAGCGGGCTTTGTTTGGAACGTGGGATGTTGGTGGATGTTGCCTGCCCATGCTAACAAATCGCCGTGCGTTCCGCAGTCTTTATCCACCCGCCATCGGTTACCGCCAGCCAAGCGTCGGAACTCCTATCCGCTAACGCGTCTTGTCCCTCCCTGTCTCCATCCCCTTCCCCGGTTTCCGATTCCTTGATTTCGTCTCAGCAGCCTGTCAATCTTCCTGCTGAGCCTTCGAGCTCCGACTTCTGCGATCCCCGACAGCTGACCGTCGAGCCTGGCGCCTCCACTTCTGCCCCTGCCGATTTCCCGCCCCTGCCAACGCTGTGCTCTGGGGATGACGACGAGCACAAGTTGGTCCTTGGAGGCTCGAGCCTGACCCTTACAACCTCAGAGACCTCGCAGGCTCCGTTCTCCAGCAGTGCGGAGGCGACCTTGAGCACCCTGCCGACATTCGACAGTTTTTCTGATCTCGATTCAGACGAAGAGCTGGTCGGCGGTGCTGCCGATTTCGCCCCGTCCACGTCCAATACATTCTACCTGGGAGACAAGAGGCAACGGGTGGGCCCATATGTTCTGGATGAGGACGAGTTCCTGAGCGAGCAGGGCTTTGAGGATCTGGATGACGAGGACGCGTTGGCGCGTTCTGGTCTTCCTACTACCATTTCTCTTTCGGAGCTGCAGCCGGCTGACGACAGTGCGACCGGAGACATGAGGGTCAAGAAGCGTGCTTCTCGCAAGTCGATGCAGAAGAAGCCTGTCTCGGATACGGATTCGGATGCTTATGATTCCCTGGAGAACCAGCCCCCGGTGAACAGCCGCGGAAACACCACTCAAGACCAAGCAACTGCTCCTCAGGGTAGCACTCAGAGCGACGAGAAGACCGACTCCACTGCTGCGGTCTCTGGCTCGTCGGATGGTGCAGCTCCCCCGCCAGTGCCTGTCAACCGTCGGGGTCGCAAGCAGTCGTTGACGGACGATCCTTCGAAGACGTTTGTATGCTCTCTGTGCTCTCGTCGCTTCCGTCGCCAGGAGCACCTTAAGCGTCATTACCGCTCCCTCCACACTCAGGACAAGCCATTCGAATGCAGTGAATGTGGCAAGAAGTTCTCGCGCAGTGATAACCTCGCTCAGCATGCCCGAACTCACGGTGGTGGCTCGGTTGTGATGGGTGTGATTGACACCTCCAACGATGTCACGCCTTCGACTCAGTCATATGAGGAGACTGATGCGGGTGTTCTCGGCGCGGTACTCTACGAGGCTGCCAACGCGGCTGCCACTCAGTCCACAACAAGCGAGTCTTCGTCCAGTGTCGCCTCGGACTCCTCAAGTTCCGGAGATCGTCGGCCCCAGAAGAAGCGCAAGCGCGAGGAATCTGCTTAGGATTATTGGACCATGTTTCACTAAGCGTCCTCACCTTTTGAGATTATGATGACATGTGACCAGGAGACATACATAATTGCCTCACAAAAATATAGGAGGCCTCTTTAATCCTTCTTCTGAACATAATTTCTACATCTTTGGTTGGGCTGGGTTTTCATTGGCTTGTTTTCTTCCCTCTGTTGGCGCTTGGGACTGGGCATTCTGGTGATCTGAGACATCTACTCCAATGCACATGCCTTGTCACCGTCATTTGTCTCCTCAACAGGATGAGTGCGGTTCAACACGAAAGCCGCGTTGCACGGCTCATCATCTGTGGCATCGGCGAGCAAGGAGTGGAGGTCTCATCTGATGGCATAGAGATTATGATGACTTCTTTGAAGTGGAAAAAAGTGGTGTGGGATACGAGCATAAAACTTGCCCTCTGCATTGTTCGTTGCGTTATTCCCGTCCTTCATGCTGATTGTTAATCAGTGCTGTTTTTTTCCCCCTTCGTGTACCCACATTGTTTTCTCTTCATTTCCCTTCTCGTTCATCTGTCTTTTTTTATGCCTTTACTGCATTGTAATTACTTTGTACTTCACCTTCTTTCTCCCCCCTTCCACCCATGTTTGTGCTGGCCACGCAACTGTATTATTGTTCTTTTCTGTCATTTCCTCATACCCCTTTTCGCACATGTGTATCTTTGGTCTCCTGCTGCAAATTTGCTGCATCATCCCCCCTAATTCGCAACACGATGTATCTTCGTGCATTTTTCACTACATTAGTTTGGCGCTGATTTCGCCGAGAAACTAAAACAAAAAAAATAACAAAAAAATATTAGATACGAATGAATCATTTTATGACCAAGATTTTGTGATATTCAGTCCTAGATTTTAAACCTTGTAGTGCGATGTGGCAGCTGTTTGACTTGCGTGGGCGGGTAGTCGATGGTGTTCCAACTTCTTTAAGTCGGCGGGTGCAAGTTTTCGTCCGGTCGTGGGCTTTGGGTCTCGGATGCCCCAGCTGCAACTTCCAACCTTGCACTTTGCGGTTTCGATTTTATGTTGGCATAGTGAAGAGTTAGTCTTATCCTTGTCCTTCCGCCAAGCAGTATACCTTGGTATCTTCATTGCATTTGGTGGCAGAGGAGAATTTGTATTGCATTGAGGGACGCTTGTCATCCACGCCCCTTTTTTCGCATCGACTGACCACCAGATGTCCTGGCTCTACACTGCATTGTTTAGGGACTGATAATTCATCAAGTATATCATTCTCAAGGCTTGATTATAATCAATTCATGCTTGAACATTGACTGCTCGCTAGGTGATTTTTTTTTCTTCTTTTTCTTAAAATTTCTGTCGCTGCCCCTCCACGATAAGATAGGTGGAGGGCGTTGCCCCATCACCATGACTTCCAACACATCGTCAGGACTGAATGTTATTGCCCTGATATCCGGCGGGAAGGATTCCCTGTACTCGATTCTGCACTGCATCAGAAATGGACATCAGGTGGTGGCTTTGGCGAATCTTCATCCTCCTATAAGATCAGATGAGTCGCAACAGGAGGATATGGACAGCTTCATGTATCAGACGGTTGGGTACAAGGTCATTCCTCTCTACGAGACCGCCCTAGGCATCCCACTGTACCGGGCGCCCATCACAGGAGGCGCGGTGGACACCTCAGGAGTGTACCGCAACGATGCAGAGGACCAGACGGCAGAGTCAGTACCGGGACATGACGACGACGAGACTGAGTCTTTGATCCCTCTGCTCAGGCGGATCAAGCGGGAGCATCCATCTGCGAACGCCGTCTCCGCCGGCGCCATTCTGTCCACGTACCAGCGAACCAGGATCGAAAATGTTGCCGGCCGTTTGGGACTCGTCCCGCTTGCGTGGTTGTGGATGTATCCCCATTTACCTCCACCGGAAGAGCGGAAAGGATCGTCTGATTCCATACCTCCTTCGGATACTGGTCTCTTGGATGACATGGCCTCCTGTGGGTGCGAGTCAAGAATCATCAAGGTCGCGTCGGGAGGGCTGGACGACGATTTTCTTTGGGGAAATGTCGCGTCTCAGGACGGCCAGACGAGGAAGCAGATTGCGAAGGCGATGAGGAGGTTTGCTGCGGAGGATCTTCGAGGAGCCGTTCTGGGGGAGGGAGGAGAGTACGAGACGCTGGCCCTCGACGGTCCCGACTTCCTCTGGAAGCAGAGGATAGTCGTCGAAGAACGAGATCGACAGGTCAGAAAGGGAGACGGCGGCGTGAGTTATGTCACCATCACGGAAGCAAAATGCGTGCCAAAAGCAGCAAACGCGGCCAGCATACAACCCGAGTCTGTGAGACTACCATCTAGACTGGATGATTCTTTTGAGCGCGCTCTCAACGAGATACGGACGAGGTCGGAGGCTTATCAGGAGGATTCTATTGCTGATCTGCAACCGACAACTATCACACGTCGTTCTCAGGCAGATATTGGCATAACCCAATCGAGTGATGGAAGCCTGTGGGCGATATCGAACCTTACAGCTCCTGAGGCTGGTCCTGGGGCGGGCGAACAAATGAACGGAATCTCTAAGAAGCTCGAGCAGATCCTGGAGTCGTATACAGATCCGAGACACCGCAGGCGAGCGCCAGAAGATATCGTCTTTGCTACGGTGCTCCTTCGATCGATGGAAGATTTTGCGTCCGTCAATGGGGTCTATGTCTCCTTGTTCAAGAAGCCAAATCCTCCAGCCCGAGTCACGGTGGCATGTGGAGACAGTCTACCGGACGGGGTGGAAGTCATGGCTTCCTTCGTTGTTGACCTGGGCCCGCGAGATATGAGACAGGGTCTGCATGTCCAGTCACGATCGTACTGGGCACCGGCGAATATAGGACCGTACTCACAAGCCATCACCGTGCCCAGCAGCCCAGGTCAGGCAATTGAGTCCGGTGGCGGACTGGTGTTTATTGCTGGACAGATTCCCCTGGATCCAGCCTCTATGGAGGTTGCAGATGGGCTGTCCACGGACGAGGATACATGGTTCGAGAATTTCAGCTTACATGCAACATTATCTTTACAGCATCTCTGGAGAATAGGCGTCGCAATGCGGGTCGACTGGTGGCTTGGGGCTGTGGTCTTCTTGGCTAATGATCAGC